GGAGGAGGAGGAGGGAGGAGGAGGAGGAGATGGCATCCTTAGTGCTCCCTGAACTGGGTGGTTTTCTTGCAGACGTTTCATAACCCAACTAGGTAGCGTCATCAATGCTAGAAGGGAGTAGGGTTTGTGGAGTGGAGGAGGAGGAGGAGGAGGAGACAATGGCATCCTTTGTGCTCCCTGAGCTGGGTGGTTTTCTTGCAAACATTTCATTACCAAACTAGGTAATGTCATCAAGGCTACAGCTGGCACTGATGAGGTTCCCTAGTTTGGTAATGAAACGTCTGCAAGACAACCACCCAGCTCAGAGAGCACCAGAGGCCTCACAGTTCGACCCTGAGCTACAAAGATTCTCTTCTGTTGGTAAACAGTGCTCTCAAGGAGCATTATTATTATTATTGTTATTGTTATTATTATTATTACTACTACTACTACTACTATTATCTTTATACCAACAACCCGGACAGCTGCCCGAATCTTACCTTTCCCCACCTTCTCTTCCTCTTCCTGAGACTTGAGATGCTCCAGACCAACTGGGGCTTCTGGCCTTGCCGAGCCATTGGCGAGGCGCAGGGATCCCCCCCTGCCTCTCGAGTGGTACAGGCCGGGGGCCAGGTCGAGCCACTCGATGTCGCTGTGCACGGAAAGGAAGAGCGGGTTCACGATGCAGAGGGCGGCGTCCTCGGACGTCACGCGGATGGAGCAAGAGGGCTGCTTGGACTTCAGAAGGTCCCCCTTGGGTTCCATGCCGCTGGCTTCTGCTTCGTCTGAGGCCAGGCCGTTGGCGGGATGAAGAGGCATCGCCCAGAATGCTGTGGATGGGGGGGGGGGAAACAAAAAACAGGAAATGGAGAACAGGGGAGAACAGGGGCTCTTTGGGGAAGGTGGGGTTCTCCTTAAGCCACCCGAATCGGCAAACTCTCCCCAAATACCAGAGCGGACTGGGGGGGTATTCTCACTCACTTGCGCCCAAGGTGGCAACTGCATCTAAATCAGCTCTGCCGGGAAGCTGAAGGACATGGGGGACCCTGAGCAAACAGGGCAGGATATCCCTGGAAGAGAAGCAGAGTTACAAAAACGACACCCGCTCTTGGCTCAAGGCAGGTCTTCTGTGCTGCCTTTCCCCCGTTATTTATTCTTCAGTTATCCGTTAAATTTCTACGCTGCCCGAAATGTGGGGCGAAATATAAATTTAGAGGACTGGGAAAGATGATGGAACATAATCAGTTAGAGTGCAGTACTGCAGGCCACTTTAGCTGACTGTGTTCAGCAGGTCAGCGGTTCAAATCTCACCGGCTCAAGGTTGCCTCAGCCTTCCATCCTTCCGGGGTAGGTAAAATGAGGACCCAGATTGTTGGGGGCAATGTAAATATATATATATATATATATACATTGCTTACTGGTGTACACCGCTTAGAGAGTGCTTGCACTTAAAGCGGTACATAAGTCTCATAAATAAATAAATAAATAAATAAATTGCAAATTGACGCTATCAACTGCATACAGAGAGAATCAATATAAAATGATTTACAGATGGCATTTAACACCGGCGAGATTGGCTGAAATGTATAAAAATATAGACCCGAAGTGTTGGAAATGTAAAATCAGAGAAGGAACATTTTATCACATGTGGTGGCTGTGCCCCAAAGCAAAAAATTGTTGGGAACGAATAAGAGATTGGATACAGGAGATAACGGAGATACAAATGGATTTTAAACCAGAATTATTTCTTTTGGGCATAATAAATTTAAAGATGGAAAAACAACTCCAAGATATCATTATATACATATTGACTGCAGCTCGTATAGCATATGCTCAATGCTGGAAGCGTGAAAATATTCCCATAAATGATATGATTATGTACCAAATCTTGGAATGCGCAGAAATGAATAAACTCACGTTAGAATTAAAAGACAAGGAGGCGACAGAATTTTATGAAATTTGGAATAAATGTTATAATTGGCTAGAACAGAGAAAGGAAAAGACATAATTACTGATGTACATAAAATGTAAGTAAGATGTAAAGAATGCTTAAAATGTTCTGTTAAAAGAAAAGATTTATGTTTATGTATTTTAAGTTTGTTTGGGTGTATGGTGAAAAATAATAAAAAAAAATTTTTTTAAAAAAATTCTATGCTGCCCATCTCCTATACAAGGGGACTCTGGGTGGCTTACAAATGATAGAAACCAACAAAAAACAGTTAAGGGGTTGAAAAGTTAAAACGAGCCCTTAAAGATTAAAACTTTGCACCATGGCGGCTGTTTTAAAGTGGGGGGCTCCTAGCCTATTTGGGGGGGTGTGGTCTGAGATGCCTAAACCTCCTCTTTTGATTCAAAAGTTGGGAAGGTCTTCCAGGGAAATGAAACATTTGGGAAAGGGCAGCTGCTAGGAGCCTCCCTCTGGATCTCAGAAATATCTGGCGCTTACCAAATTAATTAAGGTCACATTCAGCACCCGTAGGTTCCCCCCCCCAGCCCAGCCCACTTCAACACCACCACCTCCCTCTCCCTGGTGCTCACCTGCTCACAAAATGAAAGCCAATCAGCTCCAAAAGGTTTCTGAAGTACAGCTGAGAACCTTTGAGGTGAATGGCTGCTGGTGAAAGAAAGAAAGAAAGAAAGAAAGAAAGAAAGAAAGAAAGAAAGAAAGAAAGAAAGAAAGAAAGAAAGAAAGAAAGAGGGGGAGGGAGGGAGGGAGGGAGGGAGGGAGGAAGGAAGGAAGGAAGGAAGGGAAAAAAGAAAGAAAGAAAGAATAATTTGTTTAGTGATCGTCTGAAGTTAAAAGTGACTTATGATCATTTTCCCCACTTACAACCGTTGCAACATCATCCCTGTGGTCACGTGATCAAAATCCAGCCGCTTGGCAACTGACTCATATTTAGGACGGTCACAGTGTCCCCGGGGTCACGTGATCCCCCTTTGCGACCTTCTGACACGCAAAGTCAAAGGGAGAGGGAAGCCAGATTCACTTCACAACCGTACTACTTAACAACTGCAGTGATTCACTTAACAATTGTGGCAAGCGAGGTCACACAACGGGTGGTGGAAATCCACTTAGCAGCTGTCTTGCTTAGCGACAGAAACTTTGGACTATCTGTAGGTCAGTGGTTCTCCACCTGGGGATCGGGACCCCATTTGGGGTCGAACGGCCATTTCACGGGGGTCCCCAAACAAGGCTGTCCGCCATTTTTTCCCCTTTTCTTTGGCCACGCCCCTGGCACCCGGTGATGTATAAGTGGTTGGGGGTCACCACAACATGGGGAACTGTATTATGGGGTCGCGGCATTAGAAAGGTTGAGAACCACTGCTGTAGGTGATCGCCATGGGGGAGGGGGGAACAAAGGAAGGGTTCCTCTTTGGCTGGCGATTACTAAGGAGGGCACGTGCTTTATCGTCAGAATAACCTCTTCCCATTTTTTTTTTCCTTCACAATTTCCAACTGAAGGTGAAGAGGGGGGGGGGGAAAAGAGCCTGCAAAATGACTTGTAGGATGCCCCAACAGCCTGACTCAACAGCTCCCTTGCTTGATTGGGACACATCCGTAGGTCACAACAGAACTTCTGGAGGGCATAAGGAAGTCTGAAATTCAACTCCTGAGGCTTCTGGTTGGAAAAAAAAAAAAAGGTTCTCAGGGCCCGGATCATCTCAGGAAGAGCTAATCAACCTCAGCAGGGAAGAAAATGCTGAACCAAGTGGGATGGATGGATGGATTGGGTCAGGGGGAGATCCCAGCCTAGAACTAAGGAGAAATTTCCTGACAGGGAGAACGGTTAGTCAATGCAAGAGCTTGCCTGCAGAAGTTGTGGGTGCTGCAATCACTGGAGGCTTTCAAGAAAAGACTGCACAACCCTTTGTCTGGGATGAAATAAGGGACTCCTGCCTTGAGCAGGGGGGGTTGGACTAGCAGACCTCCAAAGGTCCCGTCCAGCCTTAAGATTCTGATTCTATGTTTTGGTGTATGTTCTCCATGTACTTCCTTCCTCCAGGGGAGGGATGAGGATCTTGAAAACTCTGTTTTTCATAGGCCAAGAGCCTCTTCTTTTGAAAGTATCAAGATTTCCTTCTATATCGAGGCAAGAAACACAGAAGCTATAGTGCAGGGGTTCTGAACCTTGGCCACTTTAAGACTTGTGGACTTCAACTCCCAGAATTCCTCAGCCAGCTTTGCTGAATTGAATTCTGGGAGTTGAAGTCCACAAGTCTTAAAGTGGCCAAGGTTGAGAGCCCCTGCTATAGTGTAAGCTTTCCAATAAATATTAAAATAGTTTAAAATCTACAACGTCAAGGGCCTTTTGATGGTGGATGGCATAAACAGCTGAATACTGCATGTAAAATAAAATAGCTTTGAGAACATAAATCGACACGATCAGCTCTTTAGCCTATTAGCTAATCCAGTAGCCTGTTCTTACAGCGGTCAACCAACCTGCTCATCTCCCTCCAGATGGCCTTCAGGGACAGTCCCAAGGCCATCAAGATCAAGAGCTGTTATTCTCCGGGAATTCTACAAATTACTCCCTTTTTAAAAGCCAGATAAACTGGTCCCCAGCCCCGCATCTCAGAATCACAAATTCCAAAGCTTAATTGTGCATTGTGTAAAAAAAAAAATATATGTTTTCCCCTTTTCTCTGTCCTGATTCTTCCAGGATTCAATTTCCCAGCATGATTTATAGTTCTAGCACTACGATCACAAGAGGGCCCAAAATTGATGTTGCTAAGCGAGACATTTGTTAAATGTTAAAGTAGACCCCCCCCCTCACCCTGACGTGGACCCCCCGCCTTTCTTCCTCTTGATGAGAAAGTGGCTTCGCTCCTTTGTTCATTTCCTTAAGTCAGTGTTTCCCAAACTTGACAATTTTAAGGCATGTGGACTTCAACTCCCAGAATTCCACAGCCAGCAATGCTGGCTGTGGAATTCTGGGAGTTGAAATCCACATGCCTTAAAATTGTCAAGTTTGGGAAACACTGCCTTAAGTTTACCTGGGAAGAAGCTGTCCCACTTCAGAAGAGAGAGAGGAAAGAGACAGAAACCAGCTATATACATTCAGCACATTGCTTTCCCTAGAAGCAAGCTAGGATAACAAACACCGGTTTAGCACAAGGAAGTAATTCCTCACCTGTGGTTCAGCCCAGAGACGGGGAACGCAGATGATAAAACAACCCGAGCTGGGGAACGGAGGGAAAAACGTAGCCCAAACGGCCAGTCTCTCGGTCAAGAATCTATGGAGGCTGCCAGTTACCAAGGCGAGCGTGCGCCCTGCGAGAACTGGCCCTTGCCAGCTTCTCCAAACTACTTCCCTTTTTTTAAGTAGAAGGAAATGAGGTTTTGAAATTCCCCCGACGAGACGAGATGAGCGTTGAGGTCCGGCAACTGGGGCAAGGAAGTAGTTCAAGCGTGGACGTTTCCTATTTTCCCACCCTTCTGATTCTCGTCGTGAAATCGAGCAGGGAAGTGAAATTCTGGGGGGCTGTCAGAGAAGGGAAAGGAAGGTCTCCTGGCTTCTCCTCTGCGTGTCTTAGCTCGAGAACCCCAAAAGCTGAAGGCGGATTCAGAGGGTTCATTCGTGCAGCCTCCTCGTGGGAAAGAAACCCCAAAGTCTTTCCGTCATAAAGGGTTAGGACGGTGGGGTCCCTGGTGCTCGCTCAGCGTGGTAGTTTTGCTGCAGACGTTTCCTCACCACACCAGGTAACATCATCAGTGGGGTGACGTTGCCTAGTTTGGTAATGAAAGGTCTGCAAGAAAACTACCAAGCTCAGAAAGCACCAAAGACCCCACAGTTCTCCTCCTCCTCCTCTTCTTCCTCTTTCTCCCCCACTTCTCAACCCCCCTTCCTTCTAGCACTGAAGATGTTCCCTGGTTGGATAATGAAAGGTCTGCAAAAACCCACCAAGCTCGGAAAGCACGAAGGACACCACAGTCTCCTCCTCCTCCCCATAAATATGCTCTCTTCTAGCACTGATGATGATACCTAGTTGGGTCATGAAACGTCTGCAACAAAACCACCAAGCTCAGAGAACACCAAGGACTCCACAGTCCACCTCCTCCTCCTCCCCCCTCCTCCTCACAACCCCCCCTGCTTTCTAGCATTGAATATGTTCCCAGGGTGGATAATGAAGTATTTGCAAAAACTACCAAGCTCAGAAAGCACCAAGGACCCCACAGTTGTCTCCTCCTCCTCCTCCTCCTCACAACCACCCTCCTTTCTAGCACTGAAGATGTTCCTTAGTTGGGTCATGAAACGTCTGCAAGGAAACAGCCGAGCATAGAGAGCACCAAGGACCCCACAGTCATCTCCTCCTCCTCCCCATAAACCCACTCTCTTATAACACTGATAATTCTAGCTCAGGGGTTCTCAACCGTGGCAACTTTAAGACTTGTGGACTTCAACTCCCAGAATTCCTCAGCCAGTCCACAAGTCTTAAAGTTGCCAAGGTTGAGAACCCCTGTTCTAACTAGTTAGGTAGTGAAACATCTGCAAGAAAAGAATCAAGCGCAGAGAGCGCACTAAAGACCCACAGTCCTCCTCCTCCCCTTCACAACTTCCCCCCCCCTTTCTAGCATTGAAGATGTTTTACCTAGTTGGGTCACGAAACATCTGCAAGGAAACCACCCAGCTCAGAGAGCACCAAGGACCCCTCAGTTCAACCTTGAGCTGCGAAGATTCTCTTCTAACGTTAAGACGGTCTGAATATATTTTTCGCACTGGTTTGAAAATGCAGCTTAATGCTGTATCGTTCCACGGGAGTGTCACGTGTCCGTGTTCACCTCCCAGGGATAGAAGGCTCAAGTACGAAAGCGACTCACCTGGAGTGTCTTCAAGAGGGAAAAGGCCAACAACCTTATTGTCACTTTCCGGTAACCGGAGGTAAAGTGTCTTGACGGCGTCATTCCCATTGGTAGCAACGATGAATGACTGGAAGAGGTGAAAATGGAGACAGCAGGGTGGCTGGAAAATCACATCACACAACGAAACTATCACCCATTCTCCTAAACACCCATTTCTCTCACCCTTTCAGTAGGATTTATATTCGTTAAACATTTATGCAACCCATCTCCCTGTGACAGCCACTCTGGGAGGCTTAAAATATAATAAAAAGGTAAAAACGACGATACCAAGTGATTAAAATTAAGAGGATTAAACAGGAAGCCAAAAACCAAAAGAATGGGGGATGTGGGAGTGCTGTCTTCCCTCTATTCCCTCTATTCAAGATGGACAGTGATTAATCTTTATATGTTACTAATATGTAAGGGTGCAGGTCTCTACATATGTTGCACATAGTCTGTTTAAATGCGTGTTATACATGTGTACACTTTGAGAGCAAGCAACTAAATTTCATTTTTAATGTGTGCCTTTGTGCTCACAGTAAAAAATGACAATAAAGTATGTCTGTCTGTCTATCTATTCTATCTGACAATAAAGGTTGTCTGTCTGTCTGTCTGTCTGTCTGTCTGTCTATCTATCTATCTAGCTACCTACCTACCTACCCACCTACCTGACAATAAAGGTTATCTGTCTGTCTGTCTGCCTGCCTGCCTGCCTGCCTGCCTGCCTGCCTGCCTGCCTATCTATCTATCTATCTATCTATCTATCTATCTATCTATCTATCTATCTATCTATCTATCTATCTATCTATCTATCTATCTATCTATCTATCTATCTATCTATCCATCCACCCACCCACCCACCCACCCACCCACCTATCTAATCTATCTATCTATCTATCTATCTATCTATCTATCTATCTATCTATCTATCTATCTATCTATCTATCCATCCATCCATCCATCCATCCATCCATCCATCCATTCATCCATCCATCCATCTATCTGACAATAAAGATTATCTATCTGTCTGTCTATCTGTCTGTCTGTCTGTCTATCCTCTCTGCAAGGAGTATAAATCCTTCCATTCCTCACCATCCAATCAGAGCTGAAGAAGCTTCTTGGCTAAGAAGCAAAGAAAAACCAGAAAGTCCAGTTGTCTCTTGAAAAAGCACCTTTGGGACAAAGCAACCTATCATCCCCCCTCAATCATCAACTGCCATTCGTAACTAGGGGAGGATGGGAAGGGTAATCCAACAGATATAGGGCGGGTTGTAATTGAAGGATTACACCTACAGGAGATGTTAGTGAGATTTAATTTACTTTCCTACCCTTTCAACCCTGTGTACTAGAAGCCACAAATCAGGTCTGGCAAGTAAACTCAGGAACAGGTAGGCCTTGACTTACCACCATTGATTTAATGGCCGTTCAAAGTTACAGGAGCACTTGAAAAAAGGGACTTATGACTTTTTTTTGTGCATCCCCAGCCGTGTGATCAAAATTCGGTCACTTAAGACGGCTGCAGTGTCCTGGCGTCACGTAGTCCCCTTTTCTGCGACCTTCTGGCCAGCAAACGTCAATCAAGGGGAGAGCCAGATTCACTTAACCACCCTGTTACTAATTTTAACAACTGCAGTGGTTCACTTAGTGACTGTGGCAAGAAAGGTCAGAAAACGGGCGAAACTCAACTTAACAAATGCCTCGCTTAGCCATGGAAATTCTAGGCTCCACGGTGGTCGTAAGTAGAGGACTACCTGTACAGAGGACGCAATTGGCCCAATCCCAACAAATCCACAGAGTCCTCAGTTTTGCAGGAAAGAAAACCTGGGTTTTCGAAAAACTTCTAAAAAAGGGTCACTCACCCCCCGTTGGTGCGGCGAGAGCAGCTTCTTGACTTGCTCTGGCTGGACATCCAGAAGCTCCCAAATGCCCCTCGTGGCCGACAGCCTTTCCAGAAGTGGGGTGCGATGGCTGGGTTCTCCAAACCCCACCGTCTTCTCTGACCTACAAAAGAGAAAAGGCAAAGAAAAGAAGCCGAAGGCGGGCCGGTTGGCTTTTTGCTGCCAAAATAACTCCGGTCTCATATGCTACTTTTAATATAATATACTTTGTTGTTGTTGTTAATTGCGAAGTCGTGTCCGACCCATCGCGACCCCATGGACAATGTTCCTCCAGGCCTTCCTGTCCTCTACCATCTTCTGGAGTCCATTTAAATTCACCCCTCCTGCTTCAGTGACTCCATCCAGCCATCTCATTCTCTGTCGTCCCCTTCTTCTCTTGCCCTCCATCTTTCCCAGCATTAGGCTCTTCTCCCGTGAGTCCTTCCTTCTCATTAGGTGGCCAAAGTATTTGAGTTCAACTCAGGATTTGGCCTCTAAAGAAGCAGACGGGGTTGATCTCTTCTAGGACTGACCGGTTGGATCGCCTTGCAGTCCAAGGGACTCGCAGGAGTTCTCTCCAGCACAGAGTTCAAAGGCCTCCATTCTTTGGCGCTCAGCCTTTCTTATGGTCCAACTTTCTCAGCCATACATTGCAACTGGGAAAAAACCATGGCCTTGACTATATGTACTTTTGTTGGCAGGGTGATGTCTGGCTTTTTAGAATGCTGTCTAGATTTGCCATAGCTTTCCTCCCCAGGAGCAAGCGTCTTTTAATTTCTTGGCTGCAGTCCCCATCTGAGGTGATCTTGGAGCCCAGAAAAATAAAATCTGTCACTACATCCATTTCTTCCCCATCTATTTGCCAGGAATTGAGAGGGCCGGATGCCATGATTTTGGTTTTCTTAATGTTGAGTTATAATATACTAGAGGATGGAATACATCAATTTTGATCATAGGTGGGATTTGCACAAGGTCCCACTCGAGTCCCAGCAGGGGTTGACCTTATTAAACCAGCCCAGCTTCTGCCATTGTTAAAGCAGAGTTGACGGCTCAGCTGATGGTGTGAACCGGCCAACACTTAATTTATTCAATGAAACAGTATAACAGAATAAAAGAATCGGAAGGGACCTGGGAGGTCTACTAGTCCACCCCCTGCTCAGGCAGGAAACCCTACACCATTTCAGACAAATGGTTGTCCAATCTCTTGTTCAAAACCTTGGTTTTATTACTTTCATTTCTAAAAAAATATTTTTTATTTCTTTTATATTGTATTTTTATTTCCTGTAAGCTGCCGTGAGCGAGTATGAGGCAATATACATTTTCCAAATAAATAAATTCAATGCAGCCGAGGAAGTCAACCCAATAGATGCCATCTGGCTTTTTCCTGGGATAGGCAAATGGCTTAAAAAAAGCTGTCAGCAGAACTCCCTGGCCGTCCAATGGGTGGTAGCCCCACCTCCTATGGAGAGTCCAGCCAAAATTTAGTCCTGAACTGAGATTAGAGCAGCTTTTGAGCCAGACACTACACCAGGTCGAACGTGGCAGGTTTAGAAGTGACACAAGACTCTCCTTGGATGTCCTACCCTTGGCTTTGTACGGACTTCAACTCCCAGCATTCCCCTTTCTCCTTCCAGGAATTCTAGGAGCTGAAGTCCACACATCTGCAAAGTTGTTGAGGTTGAGAAACACCGGACTACAAGCTCTCCACATAACCAACTGGGCAGACAGGCATGCCTCTTTCTTGACCCAGACGTGCACGCAGACCCTCTCCTTACCCTGAGCCTGCTCCCATGTGCTCTTTGCTGGCGTCAACCATGATCTCCATCATTGCTCATTCCCATGAGACTCCGGTTAATCAGCAAGTCCTCTTCTCCCGATCCAACTTTCCAGCCTGTTTTTCTTTTGAGGGCTGGTCTCGGAATGTTCTGCTGGAGAAGCAGAAGACGTCAGAGAGATGAATCTGGGCCCCAGGTTTCCACAGGTGGGGAAAAGATAGCAGCGGTGAAAGACTTGTCCGTGACCCAGGTCAACTAAACAATGACCTGATGAAAGAGGTTGATATTTGTGAGATGGGGGCGGCTATACGAATGGGACAAGTCAATAAGTAATTTGCTCTCATAGGATGCAGTAAAACTTGCTCTCCAAAAGCCCATCTGCCATGACTAAAGAATTCCACGGATCAGTAGAGTATTTGTAGTTCAGGGTTGAAATGAAGGGTCCTAGTCCCTCTCTGAGCTTGCAGATGTTTCATGAACCAAGCGAGGGAACATCATCAGTGCTAGAAGAAAGTGTGTGTGTGGGGGGGAGGAGGAGGACAGTGGGGTCCTTCATGCTCTCCAAGCTTGGTGGTTTTCTTGCAGATGTTTCCTTACCCAACTAGGCCACATCAAGGGGTCTGTTACTAGTTTGAGTAATGAAATGAAAACAACCAAGTTCGGAGAGCACCAAGGACCCTTAATTCTATTTGAAACCACCAATGTATGTGTCAATACATATTAATCATATACATATACTTAAAGCGGTATATAAGTCTTATAAATAAATAAATAAATATAACGGATAATAGATGCCTCCTGGCCTCCATCCACAGGGAATTAACCCCATAAGCCCCACCCTCTTGAAAGCTCCCACCGTTCGGAGAATTAATCATACGCACACACCTACATCTAAATGAAAGATGTTCAGGGTCCAGGGAAGGTGCTTCAGAAGGACGTTTTCCCTTCCAAACGGCCTCTTCCTCTTCAACGGCTGCCTTAGTAGCTCAGAGCAGATCCGGCTGCAAGGGAGACCCACGCCCACGTGCCTCTGTCAGCAGGCAAAATGGCGGACAGAGTCGATGCTCAGCTCTGAAAGGAAGGCAAACATCCTGCCTGCAGAAGCCAGGGCTCAGCAAAACGCCAAACGCATCCATGCCGTTGTGCCAACAGTCATTTCTGGCCTTCCTCCCACACGTACCGCAAAGTTCTAGGTGCCTTTGAATATCTGCATCCCAAAAAGGTGGTTTGAGGCCCCACGATCGCTTCCAACAAACAAGCCGAGGCCCCCGAAAAGCTTTAGCAGCAGGCAATAAATCCAGCAAAGGGGAATATTTTGTAGCTCAGGCTGAAATGACAGGGTCCTTGGTGCTCTCTGAGCTTGGTTGCTTTCTTGCAGATGTTTCATCGCCCAAACTAGGTAGCGTCATCAGCACTGCTGATGTTACCTACTTTGGATAATGAAACATCTGCAAGAAAACAAGCCAACTCAAAGAACGCCACAATAAGTCCAGCATTCATTCCCCCGAAATAGGATTTTACCTAAAGAGATTTGGGTTAGCTTCCCTGAGGCTTGTAGGGATAAGTAAATCTTTTCTCCTCAAGCCTGCCTTAACCTGCCTGTTTGGAATTGAAGCCCGCAGTTCTGCTCAAAATGCCCGCCTCAACAGTTAGAAGATCATCTTACCTTGCGGCGGGCAGGCAGAAAGGTGAAATGCCAGTTACGAAATCTCTATGCCAGCGGCCACTCACGGATCAGCAAAAGGTGAGTGAAGAAAGGCAGGGGCTGACGCACTTCAGCTGTGGGAGACAAAGGCAGGGATGTGGTTGACACCTCCACCAATTGCCTTCACGTGGCTCTGGGGCTTCCGCCATTCACTTCAAAGAAAGGCAGCTAAAGAGAAAATAAAAGTGGGCCGTAAAGCCTCCATTAGAAAAACATTTGAGCAGACATGCTGGATCAGAAAAGACACCTAATTTAATCCAGGTTCCTCTCTTGCTCTTCGGTGGCCAACCAGCTGCTTCTGAGAAGCTCACAAATGAACGCACCACATACGCTTCTCAGCAATGGCCTCCAGTACTAAGAGGTGACACAATACCATCCTGCTTCGTAGTTTTCAAGTGCCTTCCCCTTCTTGAATTTAAGATTTCTTTTTTTGTTTTCCAAAGCCTTCCAACAGAGCCACCAGCCTTAGATCAACAGATTCATGATGCACCAGGAGAAAGAATTCTGGAAGAAAACCTCACGGCTGTGTGAAGCTGAAAGGCAAGAAGGAAGATTAGTTTGGGCAGAAACTCCCTTAAGGTAAAACTGAGGCAGGTAGATGAACTTCAGAGAAGTCTTAAGTCAGTCTCAGCAACTCTGTGTGTCTAGGCTACCTGGGGATTTCTGGGAAGGGAAGTCCACGCATCTGAAAGAGGCTGAGATTGAGAAACGCTGAAGGCGATTAGCACAAAAGCTCAAGGAGTCGGTGATGCTTCCAAAGTGAAAAGTGTTTTAAAAAGCAATTTCCCGTTTTCTTTTTTCAAATCTTTAGCCTATTTCTAGAGATCTTTAGAAACTCGTACACCTTTTAGTAACAGTTCAATTGATCTAAGAAAAGAGTTGCCCAACTACGGTCTTTGGGTTTTGTTTTTTTCCCCCCAAACTGGGAATGCTTTTGCAAATTTCTATTATAATCCAGGTTTTTTTTTTAAAAAAAAATAGTATATAACATGTAAACATTGGCACATAAAACCAAGCTCTTTATATGTGAAGCCCTTACTTATGCTAGCAACTAGACCGGGGATAAGCAACCTTGGCTCTTTTATGACTCGTGGATTTCAGCTCCCAAAATTCCTGAGCTGGCTCAGGAATTCTGGGAGTTGAAGTCCACGAATCATAAAAGAGCCAAGGTTGCTTACCCCTGATTAAACCATTCAAGAGTTGCTTTTACCGTAAAATACTCCTCTCGTACCTCTATCTGAAAAATATAGAAATTTCTTTAATTGTAGCAATTAAAAAACCCTTGCAATCGATGGCACGGAACTATCAGCTAGTGCCCAGAGCTATTTTGCTGTAACCTATGACCCCAGAAAACTGAGGAGAAAGTTAAGAGCTGTCGCTCAGTACAGAAACCAGAGAAAGATTGCATCCATGTTAAACTTTGTAAAAGCAAGTTTCACTTTGTGTCCGCTAGAGGACACTAAATTCCAACCCCTGAATTACTACCTGTTTTGCTGATTTGTGCCACAAGAACAGGTGTTAACTACACCAATGACACTCAGTCTTCTTGAAATAAATACAGGAAGGCAGAAAAAAAACCCCAACATATTATCTTGTGGTATCAAGCTGATTGTATTTAATTGTCACAGCTGACAGCTTCATATAAATGATGGAAACAAAAGTATCACAGAATGTTAAAACTGCTAACCTGCATAAATCAACAGTAATGAAACACTTCAAACTATGCTTCTCCAAAAGCGCTTTCCTAGGTAGGTAGGTAGGTAGGTAGGTAGATAGGTAGGTAGATAGACCCATAAATAAGGGCTGAACAGAAGTTATAATCAAATGTCATTTTGTCTATTTTTTCCTCTAAGGCAATTAGAACAAATTTCTGAAGTTAACTGGAAATTAATCAAACTCACCCTCCCAACACTAATAAAGAGAGGCTCTAAAGCAGAGGTGTCCAATCTTGGCAACTTATGGACTCCAACTCCCAGAATTGCCCAGGCAGCATGCTGCCTTGGAAATTCTGGGCGTTGAGGTCCACAAGTCTTAAAGTTGCCAAGTTGGGCACCCCTATTCTAAAGAAATCTCCAAGAAATACTGCTAAATTAACAATTCAATCATAATTTCAGCTGTTCATGGCTTCAATCGTGCCGATGAGACCTATTTTTGATTACATTTATCTTGAACTCCATGACCTCCCCCAAAATCTTTGATGCTACAAGAAGGCCCCAAGCATCCCCAGTTTGTGTCGAGGTGGGTTTTTTTAATTATCAAAAAGTAGAGTTCCTCAATCTTCTCTAATCTCTTCATTCTTCTTTGTTTGCAGGTGGCTTTTCTTTCTCCAAAGATGGATTCTGTTCTTGCTTCTTGGCTGGTTGCCGATCAGCACCTGCCCCGACACCCACAATCTGTCCTGATTTGGCCTCAATGACAGCGTGTTCATTTTTCACAAGTTCCTCCAGTTCTTCCTAAGGGGCAGAGGGGGGAGAACAGAGAAAACCACGTAAGGAAGATAACAGAAACTTAATTTGCTCAGAGTTGGCAAGCCACCCCTTTCCCCCAATAAGATCCCAGAGGGAGCCTAAGAGAACCCCATTGATTTTTACATCTGGGCTGTTCTCGGTGATTTTGAACCAGGAGAGATACCTTCCATCCCAACAGCTCTGCCAAAGCCAGGCAGCCCTCATCGCAGTCTCCGAGCCAGGCAACATCCCTGAAAAATGAAGAATTGTGAATAACGGAACTCCAATTTATTGGTATTTATTCAGAGCTTACATAGCATGCCAGGACAGATACATCTTTTCTTCCAGCAATCTTTACAAACACTTTGTGATCAGCTTGATCTCCCTCGCAGGAACATCTCCCTAACACACCTGGGCTATGAAGACCAAGAGTGGCCTCCCTAAAGCCACCAGGTGAGCTCAGCATATGTAGAGGTGAGAGACAGGCAAAGGTCGTGTGTGGAAAACTGCCCCTCCAACGCTTGTGTTTCCTCTGCATCTATCTCCCCCCCCTCACATCACCATAGTGATGTGAATGTACGCAGGTCTGTGTGACCTTGTTTCTCTGATAACAGCTAGCACGCAAACAACAAGATTCTATTAACTATTCCTTGTGTTTGGCCTCTGACTTATATATTCTTGAGGACTGGTTAGGAGCTTAACCAATGAAATGCTATTGTCATGTAGTAACTTTTGCTTTTTGGAATCTGTATATAAACAATAAACTGCTGCATGACAGCGGCCATTTCTTTGCACCCTGCCATGACTGAGCACTGATTACTACATATGGCGCCCTCAAGCAGGGACATTTGGTTTTGGGGCCCCTCCGGGAAGAAGCAGCTACCAACATATTATCATCGTCTGGAACAGACCCCTAGGTGCACTTTCGTCTTAAGAGACCTCTCAGTGTGAGTATGGGCTGCAAATTATTCCACCCCAGCAAAAGCATGTACAAAAACTTGATTCTTGCTACATAACTCAAACGTGGCAACATTTGAAGCAGACACAAGGGAGCTGGCGGGCGGGAATAGGAAAACAGTGTTCTTCAAATCCTGAGCATTGGACGCTTAGGCTAAAAGATAGGGCATAAATTACATCTTGAACCTTGGGCTCCAGTATAAACATCGATAGTATTCAGTGCCGTCAGGCAAGGGGAAAAAATATGGCTCAAATGCTTCAGAAGGGCAGCAATTAACTACCAGCCCCCCTTCTGCTTGGAACTAAGTAAAATTTATTCCTCCTACAACATCTTTAATTGGATTTTCAGCTTCTCCTGAAGAGGCTAATTCGTCTGCTGTTTATTTAGAGAATGTACTCCCTCTGTAAAGTGTTTTGAGCAATTGGAATGGTTTCAAACTCCTCTGCAATCTGTTAAGTTTAACCCTGTTAGACAAATGTCTGGTGGTGCTTTTGTGCTATGTATGTGTGTGTATCGCCACTCAGAACATTATGCTTGGGCTTGGAATGGTGAGAAAAATGGGAGATGATTAAGGGCCCTCAAAACCACTTTTTGGTTGAAATCACCTTGTCATTTTTCTCACTTCTTACAGGACAAGTCATATGTTTAAATAAATGTTGTAACAGTATTTGTGTATATACATTTGTCTGTGTTGTTCTGTGTTATGTCCACGACTTGGAAGAGGGTTAAAACCCTCTCTGATAACGACAATACAAAAAGGCCTTGTTAAGAATATATGGTTTGCCTGGAGAAAGTATGAAATGAAATATTTGTATGTGAAATGGTTTTATGCAGTCAGTATGGAACTGAATGAGTTAATTTGTTGAAGTGTGTGTTAGCCTTCAAAACCCACCCATTCTCTCCCAAACTGTGAAAATAATAGTAAATATTTGTATGAGAGAACTTATGGAAAATGCATATGAAGGAGAGAAAACTATTTTTTTGGTGGTGAGATTCCCCCCCCCCCTTCTCTTTCGGCTGGCTGCATTGCTTAAAGAGTGAGAGACAGAAGGAGGGGGAGCTGTTTGTTTAAAAAAAAAAAAATTCCCTCTGCTTGGAATTGCGATCTGAGAAGGGTGGAGTGAATCTGAAAGTTGACATTCACTTATGCAGTTTCGACAAATAATTTTTTACTCAAAAGAGGAAACAGTAATTGTTGGACAATATTTTTTAAGGGAAAAGTATATTGGATTGAATAATATTTACTTACCCCACATCCCATCCCAAAATGTTTAATTTTTATCCAGGTGGTTGCTAAAATGGTAACCTTAGGATGCACACAAGCTTGCCGTCGAAAAGGAACTGATTTAATTAATATTGATCTCAAAATCTGATTATTAATATTGTTTTCAAAAATAACTTATCTCTTTAATGTGCTTTAACTGACTATATAAGCCAGTGGTTTTCAACCTTTTTAATGCCGCGACCCAACCGGTTGTATTCCCTATCCAACCGGTCGTAAGTCGAGGACTACCCAACCGGTTGTTAGTCGAGGACTATCCAACCAGTCGTAAGTCGAGGACTACCCAACCGGTTGTAAGTCGAGGACTTTCCCTGCCTGGGAGCGCCGCGCATGCGCGGTGCCCCCCCTGCGCCGGCCGAGGCGTAGCTGGCAATGGGCAGCGACGGCGCAGGGTGATCACCGGCTGGGCCACCAGCTGGCCCAGCCCAAGGGAGGTAAGGCACCCGCCGGGCCCCACGTGGCAGAGCACAACTAAGGAAAAGGGGGAAAAAATGACGGAAGGCCTTGTTTGGCGACCCCCGTAAAATGGTCAATCGACCCCATAGCGATGTGAATGTATGCAGGTCTGTGTGACTTTGTTTCTCTGATAACAGCTAGCACACAAACAACAAGATTCTATTAACTATTCCCTATGTTTGGCCTCTGACTTATATATTCTTGAGGATTGGTTAGGTGCTTAACCAATGAAATGCTATTGTTATGAAATAACTTTTGCTTCTTGGAATCTGTATATAAACAATAAACTGCTGCATGACAGCGGCCATTTCTTTGCACCCTGCCATGACTGAGCACTGATTACTACAAGCATATGGACCACAAAGTTGCATTAGGTACACCAAGGGAACGGAGGATGTCAGAATCAAGAGAAATACACAGCAATTATTGGCTTAAGCTGTAACTTCTGTCTCTTACCCAAGACTTGTTTTTTTTGTGCCAAAGCACTGAACACTCTGCATTCCCCATGAGTCAATGGGTGCCTTAAGTTCTCAGCACCTGCCCAGCCACAGTGAACTTGCCTGTATGCCTTCTCCGAATCAAAATCCATCCCGCAGCCTAAGCCCATCAGGGACATGGAAGGATCACTCTGAAATGAGACCAAAAATGTAAAAATGTCCTCTAGGAGGGCTCCAAGATGACCCGGAGGGGGATACGCAGGCGATGTTGCCTACGCTAAAAAGCTTAAAAAAAAAAAAGTCCAGAGCAACAAGACAGCAGCATTCAGAAGCAGCTCAAGCCGATGCCTTCCTGATCCACAGAAGTAATGCCAGCTCAGGAATTCTGGGAGTTGAAGTCCACAGCCTGGAAAGCTGCCATGGCCTCCCACTCCTGTTCTTTCCCCAGGAGTGGGGAATCTGCAGCAGACCAAAGAAAGCAGGCTGAAAACCTAACCTTACCTCTCCAGTCTTCTCCTTATTGATCAGAAGCCGTGGTGTGTTTGCAGGTACGCTGAAATAAATGGAGAAGAGGAACAATTTAGCAATGGTGCCTGTGGCGTCTTGGTTCAGAAAACCGAGCCCTTGCTTGAGCAGCCGAGGTTCACTGACCTGCTGACCAGGGAGGAAAAAGGCTCGACCTGAAGTGAGGTGCCCATGATAATAAGCAGGTCCACATTCTGGGAATCCTGCAAGCAGAAGGTTCGCGTGAAGGATGGCGGGCACCACAGAACGGCATCCCAGGTTCCAATCTGGTTTCAAAGTCTCTTTCTCTGAAATCGTGCTTTCTGGATAGATTGCTTTGACCTATAACTCCAACTCTATTTGTAGCGTGAAACCTAGCTCCTTTTGTGTCCTATTTTCTCTCACCAGATTGATTCATCCTAACCAATCAGGGATGAAGTGGGAAGAATTTATCCCATCTGATAAATTAGCATACAAGACTAACTGTCATGTACTCTTGCTTTAAGACCAATAGATGGGTCCTCAAATCTTTCCCTCAGCTCTAGGAGGAAGAGTTGGGGGGTCTTCCAATTCGGGGGCTTGCTCATTACATAAACAGTTCAGCTGTTCGGATGCTTCTCCCTCTAGGTTGGACGCAATGGTATCGACCATGGCCCCCGGGTCCGGGTGGAGATAGGCCCAGCAATTCAAATGAGAGCGCACTTGGTTGAGGAAAAAAACCAGCTTCTCTCAGGCCTAGAGACAGCGGATGGAGTTCAGGACCCCAGGTCGATTGAAAAGAATTTGAGCTCTTAACATGTTGTCATGGTTCTGACTAATGAAACACTTCAAAGAACTTCCAGGCATTTTATCCTAAAAAAGTCTTTTTATTTATGTGACAAAATGTCAGCACAGGCATGATGAAAAGGAATGCTAAGATCTGAAGTTCCCACCCACCGAGCAGTTATTTTTGCTAGCGTTCCCCTTCCTTATTTTGCTGTCATGATTTATGTTCTCCAATTAGTTTGAAGGGCAAAGGTTCCCTTCCTTTCCCTTTCCCGGGCTTTTCCCTCCTCCCTCATTCTCCTCTGCATTAACTCTAAAAATACCAGACAGTTCTGCATATTTTGTCAAAGCAAGAATATTCAATATTAGCACTGTTGACACTAACATCAGTTCGTCTGGGAAATTTTAACCCTTAAAATAAGGACTCAGAAATCCTGGCTCTTGGGAGACCTCCAACGTGGGGCTGCCGGCGTTCCGAGTCCAAGGACAAACGACTAAAGCACTTACCGACTGCATGAGAGAGAAGAAATGAGGGGGCAGAAACTCCCCAAAAAACACGATGTCTGAACCAAGGAAAACAAAACAAAATCTTTGGTTAGGGTTCCCTGAAACCTGATCAAGAAGCACAAAGATCCCAGGACACTGCTTTGACGGGTGACCAGGTGGGATGCTCACCTGGCTTCACGATGTTCTGACATTTTTCACATCTGGGGATGAGAGATGTGAATACTTTTTCTGAAAGAAAAAGAAAAGGGAGCCGTGCACAATGCAGCTCAGCCGATGCTGTTTGGGTCCAGGTTACTTGAGGGACGGTCTCACCCCACTGGGATTGGCCCATACTACTCGTGCCAGCAAAGGAGGCGTGCTGTGGGTCCCATCAACCCAATTATTCCAGCTGGCAGGATCCAGGAGGATGATCTCAGCCATTGCTCCTGCCTGCTGGAAAATCTCCCCCCCCCCGATGTGGGGTTGGGCCCCAACCCTTCTATCTTCTCTTAAGGGCCTAAAGACATGACTTTGCCAGTTGGGGTGGGGCTGCAGTGGGGGATCAGGGCAACGAAGGTGGCTGATTGAGTAATAACAGATTCCATCTCCTCATGTGTCTTGGGTTGTAAGGTTTGATTTTAACATTTTATGTTTTAACTCAGATGTAACTGTCAGCCTCCCAGAGTTACCCTATGGATAGATGGGTGGCCAATTTTATAAATAAATAAATAAATATGAATAACCACAACCTTTAATTCTAACCAGTTTAACTTTGTCTTGCTCCCAGAAGCCATACTAGGCAATCCAAAGCAGACCACTGGAATCCCTCAAGTTGTGGCTTTCTCCCCTCAGCAGCGTTCACACATCTCAGAAACAAGCATGGCTTCTGCTCTGAATATCAAGATCATGCCACAGGAATAATCCCGAGTTATTCTTCCCTGCTTCCACTTCCTGACCCTCACCTATCATCCACTCCAGGCTGTAGGGTTTCTTGCAAGTGGAGCTGATGCAATGGAAGGTATAAAAGGTGCCGTGAACTTCCACTAAGTGTTCGGGATCCAGACCTGCCACCCTCTCCAAGGCGTCGACATTCTGGAGGAAGGTAAGATGTTCAAAATAAATCCAACCTGAAATGGCTGCCAATCCTGGAGCTACACCGGACTAGGACTCTCAAAACGAGAAAAGGCTAATGGCCCTTTTTCTTTAGGAGGCCAGAATAATATAACTAAAGCTTTATTTTCAAGTGCCAGCCCCAAAGTGTCCCAAAGAGAAGAGGACTTATTTACCTGAGTGTAGCAGCGCAGTAGCAGCCCTTTATCCTTCAAGAGACGAATGAAGTAGTGACAGATGGTGGGCTGAAAAAGGACCAGAGCCTTAAATGTCATATTTTCTTTTCTCCAAAACACAAAAGAAACCAAAGGGTAGGTTTTATTTATATGTTTATTAATTCATTCCAAATTTACGGGACTCTTGGCAGTTCACACCGGAACACAAAATATCCATTGTTAATTAACAGCAAAAACAACCACAGCGATTAAATGAAACAATAAACTGCCGTAAATATGTATATTTTAGAGGCAACTAAGGTATTTCTTTTGTAGGTTTTATTGTATGGGAATCGTATATACCTTGGTGATGGAATAGTTTACAACCAGACTCATAAAGAAATGCTCCTTTTCCCAAGCATTAAAAATTATTAAGAAAATGCAGAGGATATAGTTCTGGTTCTACTTTAAAACTTTAGCCCCCCCCCCCCCAATTAAAACAAAGATACCCGATTTTGAGCATCTCTCTAAACTAGAAGCAGACAAAAACAGAGGTGGACTTCAGATCTAGCTTCTCAAGCATGTGAAGGGGGGGGGGGACTTGTTGGGAACTCTTTGAAGCAGCCATTTTTTCTCCTGGGGTGACAAAAGACCACTGCACTTTTAGGATTGAGTTTCAATCCCTGCCCGCCGCCTCCGAAACAAACATGAAAAGCCAGCTGACCTTGACGTGCCCTGGGTAAATCTCCCGAGCCAAGGTGAAGAATGGTTCTGGGTTTTGCTAAATAAAAACAGACGCCGAGTCAGTGATACCGAAGAAAACAAACCCCCGAGAGCACGGTATTCAGCCCACATCAATAGCAAGCAGGTAACTCAGCGTGGTACCTTGAAATAGTCAATCTCAAAGATGGCTTCGGGATACGGTAGATTGAACTGCTGCAGGTTGGCATACAGCCCCGTGCCAGGTGAGCGGAAATCGGGGATGCCCGCACCTGAGAGGCAGAAAGGCAAATGCTGAGATTGCATCGGCAGCTGTAAGTCGCTGAACAGAAAACCAACTGAAGATGACGAATGGGACTTCGTCGAAACGTCGCCAAGACACTTCCAATTTTACGCGGGAGAAAACCCGAACAACCAAAGACCTACATACAAACACCCGCGAAAACCTCAGAAAACATATATATATATATATATATATATACACATACATACATACATACATACACACACACACATTGCTTACTGGTGTACACTGCTTAGAGAGTGCTTGCACTTAAAGCGGTACATAAGTCTCATAAATAAATAAACAAATGTGAGACCTATAAGCTTTCAGCAAAGAGACTTAAAGCCAAACCCGGCTGTTATGCAGCTTTGCAGATACTTCATCCCAGGAGAGACTGTGGGTTAGGAGTTAAGAGTAAATATTTTGTAGGTATAAGAACCCAGGGCCAATTTTCAACATTTCCTAATTAAGAAATAAACCGCTGTGGCAGGAGAAGAGCACACCTTTTTCTAGGTTTAGAAGAAAAGAAGCAGTATAAGAGCACATCTAACTATAGAAAGGCAGTTTCTAATTTTATCCACCAGCATCGCGCTCTGCTCCTACAATACATTTGCACAAAACCAAGAAAAAAAATAAAGCGACACGTGATCAGCAAAGCCATCGTGACACTTACTGGTCGAGATCCCTGCACCAACCACACAGACTATATTCTTGCCTGCAAGAGAAAGGGCAGGAAGTGCTTTTTAATATCGACCCCTGAATTACACCATGCCACCCTCAAACCCTGAACGGCATCAACGTTCGGCATAGGCATCCAACCACTGGAGCCAGGGCAATAAGCCCCAGAATTTCAGAGGCTGGGGTTCAAATCCTTCTGCTAAGAGCCTGACTAAACACCTTTGGATGGCTCTGGGCAAATAACCTTTGTCCACAGCAGTCCCTATCTGTAAAAACATCAGTGACCACAGGTAAGCATGCACAGATACACTGATAACTAGCATTTAACTGCAGCACACAGAGGTGCCAAACCTCCCTCCTCTCTTTGATCTACGCCACCACCTGCATCACAAGCTCTCCCCCCCCCCAGCTTTTTTATTCACTTCAGAGGCTGGTAGAAAAAAGAAAAGAGCAACACGTTTCAGTCTCTAGAAAGAACTGCTTTACATTTCTCGGTCAGTATGAAGTTGGTCACGCCTTCCAGCGTCAGTTCCTCCAGCACCTTCTCGGGCTTCTCACTGCCAAAGCCCAGAGTCCGGGAAAAGAGGTTTTGCAATAATTCCACTGGTAAGAAAGAAAGAAAAATTGCAATGTTATCATTTGCCTTGAAGAGCTGAGATCTGTGCCAATAAAAGAGATCATCAGTGCACTAATGAAGTTACCTAGAGTGATAATGAAACCTCTGCAAGGAAACCACCAAGCTCAGAGAGCAAGGAGAACCCCCAGTCCTCCTCCTCCTCCTCTTCCTCTGGGCAAACTCTACTCCCTTCCAGCACTGATGATGTTACCTAGTTGGGTCATAAAACGTCTGCAGGAAAATAACCAAACTCAGAAAGCATCAAGGACCCCATGAGATCTCTGCAGATTGTGCTAAACTCCTACGTGGAGAAAAATCTACCTGCCGCTGAAATGCTATTCTATGCTTTTATGAAAAAAAAAATTAAAATGCTAAAGTCTTAAAGCAGCGTTTTTCAAGCTTGGTAGCTTTCAGCTGGATGGATCTCAACTCCCAGAATTCCCCAGCCAGCCACGGGAAATCTGGTTTGAGGCTTCTCTAGTTTGTTTTGCCTCAAACCAAGAAGATTGTTAGAAAAGCAAAAAACAAAACCCTGGGTTCCCCTCGTTTTATAGAAGGATAACTCTGAAAGGTAAGGCACATTATTGTTTTAAGTGGAACTCATTTCCCCTATTCTATTCTTGATTTTGACAAATGAGCCCTGATTTACATGCTCCACTGGACATTTGCTCATCTTGTCCTGAGGCATCTGACATACACTTAGAGCCCATTAATAAATGGGCATGTACATATATTGATGCCCAGGGGCAGAGGTCATGTGTCTTTGCTCAATGGATTAAGGCCAGCCTTACCTTATTCCAGGTCAAAGAATGTCATTATAATGCTTGATTACATAGTTATTTTGTAACTATGCTTGATTACATAGTTACTTTGTACAGCAAACATTAAAGTTCTTATCCTGAATTCCAAAATCCGGGGGTTTCTGTGCCTAGAAATAATTTTTTCATTAGCTATATGAAGACAGCCATAGTTTGGAGATACAGTATAGGGATTGCCTCAATTTATACATTCACAATATTTAAAGTAAAACATGAACTCCCACTGGACAGTTACTTACTTTCTGTCTGGCCTGAAGCCCCCCCTTCTTCATCAGAATCTGAACTCTACAGGAAGAAAGGAAGCAAGGAAGTTATTTCTTAGAATTCCTTAATATTAACTGAATTTATTAAGGTTGTATGTGGCCAATCTTGCCTGTTAAGCACTCTAAAAAAAAAAAAGGAGTACTGTGAAATTCCAGAACTTCCCAAATCCCCTCTATCCTTTCCTAAAGATGTATTTTTAAGTGGATCCTGCACTTTTTCCAGAGCTGCAGATGCTTTCCGACCTCCAACGCAGAAAGCCTCTAGCCCCAGCATGGGTGAATGTTCTCCCATTAGCATTTTTGAAAAAGAGCTATAAGAGCATTCCATTTGAATTTAAACTATGCCCAGAGCAGAATGAGCCTCTGAAACAGCAAGAGAGATCCTTTTATACCAGTGTTTTTCAACCTGGGCAGCTTGAAGATATGGACTTCAACTCCCAGAATTCTGCTGGTTGGGGTGTTCTGGGAGTTGATGTCCACAGGTTTTCAAGCTGCCCAGGCTGAGAAACACCATTTTATACTGTCCATTCCACATTAAAACCAATTCCCCAGTCATTCCCATCAGTTTTATTTACAATCATCAACTTCAAGTGACTTTCTCCTCACGTGTAGCCAAATTTTGTCATTTGTCTGCAATATGTGCAATGACAGGTTTGATTAACTGCACAACTAATGCAAGTGTTTCTAACTTATTTATATGTATGTCTATTATTTATACACTATTGATTTAGATTTTGATATTTTTGATTATATGTGTAGTCCTCAATGTACAACCACAATTGGAACTACGCAAGATGGTTGTTAAGTGAGGCACACCTGACTTTATGACCTTTTGCTGCAATCCTCAAGCAAAATCATTGCAGTCATTAAGTGACTCACATGGTTGCTAAGCAAATCCAGCTTTCCCCATCGACTCCGCTTGTCAAATTTTGATCACCTGACTTGTGGAGTGGCTATGATGGTCATAAATGCGGGGACTGGTTGTAAGTCACTTTTTCCTGTGTCCCAACTTCAAATGGACTTAACTGTCGTAGGTTTGTGTACGTCATGAGTTTTGAGGGTCGGCTGTAATAAAAGACCTACAGGTAGTCCTCGACTTACAACAGTCCAGTTAGTGACTATTCAAAGTTACAATGGCACTGAAAAAAGTGATTTACAATCGTTTTTCACACTTACGACCTTTGCAGCATCCCTGTGGTCATGTGATCAGAATTCAGACGCTTGGCAACTGACTCGCTTAACAACTGCGGACAAAAGATTGTACCATGGGCCAAATTCCCTTACCAAAGGTTTCATTTAGCAACGAAAATCCAGGGCTCACTTGTGGGTCATCAGTCAAGGACTCCCTTTAGTAGTATATAGGAGACGGGATCCCCAGCATCCCCTCCTGATGGGCCTCCATGGCCAGGCAGAGTCTACCTCAAGCACCCAAACTGCACAAGACCGCCAGTGGGCCAGTCACTATATTAGTGCCATTTTATTCTATTTTGTCAAATCCTAACAAACAAACAAAAAAAAAGAAATTGCCACGATTTTGCTCAGAGGATTCCCCCCCCCTCAACTGACTCCCACCCAGTTGAGCCGGGGATGATGGGCTTGGAAGTAAACCCCCACCCCCCACTTCAAATGATTTTTTTAAGAGTCCTCCTTCTGCAACTCAAGCCGCTTTCCCAGCAAGCTCCACCGGTGGGATTTCCGCCTGGTCGACCACGCTCAAGGAAAAGCCCCCTTCGGCCTGCGGGGCAGAGCCGCCTGGAGAGAAGGCCCCAGAGGGGGAGGATTCGGAGCGACGGCTCCCAATTTCGGCCCCTCAATCCTCACCGAGGACCTGGAGGCCTTTTCGGCGTCCGCTTCGGGACTGGCGGCAGCGCCTGTGACAAAGGAAACACAAGGAAGAAGGGGAGAGCGGGCCTCGGGCCGCCTCCTCCTCCTCAGCCCACCGTTTCCCTCAGCGGCGGCGGCATTACCTTCTCTGCTGTCCATGGAAAGTCGCAAGGCTGCTCCACCGAGAATCCAAACGAACCTTTGCCCCGTGAGAGAAAAACTATAAGCTCCAAAAAGCCCCACGGGAGGGCAGCCAATGGCCAGCCAGCTTCCAAACAAACACCTGTCGTCACCGATGGGCGTCAAGGGACCGTTTGGGCTCACCCAACCACAGCTAGAGAATGAGGGAGGGGGACCATAAGGCACTTTTGCTTCACTCGGGCTGTCCCAAGGTGAGAATGGCAAGACTGCTGGGGCAGACCTGAGAAAAAGGATTGGCCTTGGTTAAATTTCAAAGGGTCAATAAAAGAATGAGACTTGGAGATTTTGAGTGGATCCGATACCTTTTAGGCCTGGTGTCAACGATCCGCTAAATAATAGTTTTGGTGTTCTCTTAAAACGGGTGTCCAGTCTTGGCAACTTGAAGACTTGTGGCTAGCTAGGGAATTCTGGGGGTTGTAGTCCACAAGTCTGCCAAGGTTGGACACACACACACACACTCTGCCTTAAATTACTGTATTATTACATATCTCGGCTGCTGCTTGTGTGTTTTAATTTTCATGGATGTTATGATTATTCTAAAAGCCACCACTCTCTCCGGCTAAAACTTCCGCTCTTCCTTCTCTTTCCTTTAGACCGTGCTTCACATTGCCGTCATCCTTGGGGCATCTGACTTTGTTGGCAAACTTGTGTTGGCAGGAGCCGGGTTGTGTGTCCAAGAGAAAGGAGGCCACACGACGTTGCACTTGGCCTGCCGGGAAGGATGGCGGGATTGCACTCAGCAGCTTCTGGCTCCATCGCTCGCCATCCAAAGGTTCAGTCAGGGCAACCGTTTCCGGGCCCAGCTGAATTGCACCCATTACGATGGTAAGCAGCGTCTGGGTAAGCAGCGTCTGTGAAAAAGAGAGAGAGAGAGAGAGAGAGAGAGAGAGAGATGTGAGCATAAGTTTCTAGTCCTCATGGCTGGGGGAATTTCAGATCACCAGCATGCCTTCTAAATTCACACAAATATAAAATTTAGTCATGTCTTGATGAGCTGCTAACCTGTGGGGAAAAAAGCACGCACATCGAACTGCCATGCTTTCCCCCCAACAAACCTCATAACCTTTGTCCCAAGGAAGCAGCCAAAAGGTCATCCCCTTTTGACTTAATATCTTACCTACCTAAATAAATAATATGCTGAAGTTCCCTCTTATCTCTTCCTGTCTCTGTTAGTTCTTTCTCCTTCTGATCTATCTGTATTTGTCTTTACCTGGTCTCTGAACAGGTAATATGTTACTAGAACAGCGGTTCTCAACCTATGGGTCGCGACCCCATTTGGGGTCGATCGACCTCTTTTGCGGGGTCGCCAAACGTGGCGATCCGCCATTTTGTCCCCTCCGGGGGCGCGCTGCGCCTCCGGGGGAGCGGTGCCGCGCACGCGCGCTGCGCGTGGGAGCGGCGGCGTGCCTCCGGGGGGGCGGTGCCGCGCATGCGCGCCACGCGTGGGGGCGCCCCGCGCCCCGGGGGGCGGTGCCGCGCATGCACGCTGCACACGGGGGCTTGCCCCATGCGCGCTGCGCGTGGGGGCGGCGCTGCGCATGCGCGCTGCGTGCGGGGGGCCCGCACCCATGCACGCCACGCCGCGCATGCGCATAACGTTTGTGTGACGGGGGTTGCCGTCACACAAACGTTGAGAACCGCTGTACTAGAAAATAGTTGCTTATATGAAGGAATTTTCCAATAAAGAAACTTTATGTCAGCATCTAAAGGTTAAACTTATGAATGTAAAATGTCAGCATTTAATGTAAAAACTTATGTATGTAAAAAGTATATAAGAAGCAATAAACTCAGAGTTTGTCAAGCTGTGTCCTGCAGCTTCAAACCTCTGCTCAAGAAATGCCTGAGTTTTTGTCTTAGCATCTTTACAACTGGTGCCCGAACAGGGACATCACCTTCCGAGGGAAAGCAGCAACCGACATACTTACAGTCATCTGGAACAGACCCCTTGGTGCACCTTCTCGTCCTACGATATTTCTCAAACTGTAAGTATGGGCTGTGATATATCTCACCATCAGCAAAAGCATGTAAGAGAGTTAAAGTTTCTCTTACACAAATCAGGCATGACAATGCCTGAAAAGGAGCTTAGGAAGCTAGCGAGTGAGATAGGGAAAAACTGTCCTTGGTATCCTGAAAGGGGGACGCTCCAACTTAAGGATTGGGAAAGAATAGGTAACACCCTTCATCAGGAACCCCGAGCCTCAGTGGATGTTTTGCATTGTTGGCATCAATGTCGCCATGCAGTGGAAAAATATGGGGCTGATGCAGTACAATTAAGTTCTACTCTCTCTCCAGGTTTTGATCATGAAAAGGTTTCAGTTCCATCAGCTCCTATATCTTCCACAATGGATGTGACACCTTCTGAGCAAAAGAATTCTAGATCTTATGTTTCCATTCGCCATGTATTAGAAAATCAAATGGCGAAAGGAGAGGGAGATATGCAGGAAATAGCAGATATGCTCTCAGTTTGTCCTGTACATTTGACTGGGCAGGTAGATGCAAATGGAGCCCCAGTGGTTGAATATTGACCACTTTCTTATGCAATCTTAACAGAATTGCATAAGGGTATAAGAGATACTGGGTTAGGTAGTTCATATGTGCAAGGTATGTTAGAAGCAACAATGAGGAATCATGTTTTGGTACCAGAAGATTGGAAAATAACAATTCGTATGTTATTAACACCAGCTCAGTATGTGGTATGGGATAGTGAGTTTAGACATCAATGTGCATTAAGAGCTACAACTTCTGGAGGTGCTTACCTCCCAGAGCAGTTATATGGCTCTGGTGATTACACTCCAGTGGATGCACAAATCGTTTTGCCTATAGCTACTCTTCAAATAACCTCTGATATTTCAAATATCCTCTGATATTTCCTTTTGGAAAAGTTCCTATAACTGGGAAACCATCTCAAGCATTTTCAAATATTCATCAAAAGGCAAATGAACCATATGCAGATTTTATTAACTGTCTGCAAGATGCCTTGAAATGACAAATTGATAATCCTGATGCCCAAGCTGAATTGCTTATGAAATTGGCTAAAGAAAATGCCACCACTGAATGTAAACGTGCCATCATTGGATTGGGAGCTCAACCAGATTTGGCAGAAATGATCAAAGCATGTCAGGATATAGGGACTGTTTCTTTTCAAACTAATCTCTTAGCTGCAGCTCTTACAAAAACTCAGGTGAAATGTTATAATTGTGGTAAAATTGGACACTTTAAACAGGAATGCAAAAATCCTGGGGGAGGAAGGTATGCCTCCTGACCATTTAAAAATAATGCTGGGAGACGTCCAAAAACAAAATGCCCTAAGTGTAATAAGGGATTTCATTGGGCTGATAATGCCGTTCGGGAAACTTCAAAGCGGGCCGGTCTCTGGCCCCGGTCCAAACAGAGACCCTTCAGTAATTCCATCAACAATTAAAAATACCCCTGCTGCCACTAGAGGGAGTGTTGGGATAGATTTAACTATCCAACAAGAAGTGTGTTTCAAATTTCCAGGAGAAGTACAAGTAGTTCCTTCACAACTTTCTGGACCTCTCCGTTCTGGATATGTTGGATTAATTTTGCCTCGATTTAGCATGGGAAAAAAGGGAATTTTTGTAATACCTGGAGTAATTGATTCTGACTATACAGGTGTCATCTTTATTCTATTATGGACTAACATGCCACAGATTTTGCCAAGCAATACTAGTCTTGCACAATTACTCCATTTGACCTATTTTGTCCCTGCAGGGGGTCGTGATAGGGATCGAGCAGACAGCGGGTTTGGTTCCACAGATCCTGTTGTAATTGCATTAACCACCCCAATCACCACCCAGCGACCCCGTAAGTCTTTTTTCAGGGTAAGCCTTTTGAGGGAATAATTGATACAGGTGCTGATGTTTCAGTAATTTCAGCTAAAGATTGGCTTGCATCTTGGCCTACTGACCCATGCCCTAGTGTCTGGGGTGTGGGAGGGCGACAAGGTGCACGACAAAGTACACAATTTCTTTCTGCAAGTCTTCCTAATTCTACTGTAACTGTTCAACTTTGTCCTTTCATTCTTGACATTCATGTCAACCTTTGGGGACGAGACATGCTTAGTAAATGGGGAGCTACCGTCACCTTCGATGAATAAAATGTTTGCCTTACCCTCAACTTGGTTAACTACTACACCTGTTTGGGTGGAACAATGGCCTCTTCCTCTATACAAATTACAGGCCTTAAAATTCTTGTTCAAGAACAATTACAGGCCAAACGCATTGCCCCTTCCACTAGTCCATGGAACACTCCAGTTTTTGTTATCAAAAAGAAAAGTGGCAAATGGAGATTCCTACACGATCTCTGTGCTGTTAATGCATGTATTCAGCCTATGGAAGCTCTACAATGTGGCACCCCCAATCCAAATTTAATTCCACAGGATCATCAATTGATGATCATAGATCTGAAAGATTGTTTTTTCTCTATACCTCTGTGCATAGCAGACAGAGAAAAAATTGTTTTTACAGTACCAGCTATAAATCACACTGAACCCATTTTGTTTTCTGATCCCTTTTATAGTCACTCTTTTTTCCATCAAAATGCTCATGGCCTGGCACAATTCTGCCATATTCCTCTAAGCCAGCGCTTTTCAACGTTTGTGTGACAGCAACCCCCGTCACACAAACGTTATGCGCATGCGCAGCACGGATGGGGGCGCCGCCCTATGCGCGGCGCCCCCCTGAGGCGCCCCGTCCCCATGCGCGGCGCCACCCGAGGCACGGCGTTGCCCACATGCGCGGCACGCATGCGCGGCGGCGCCCCCGGAGGGGACAAAATGGCAGATCGCCGCCTTTGGCGACCCCCGAAAAGTGGTCGATCGACCCCAAATGGGGTCGCGACCCATAGGTTGAGAACCGCTGCTCTAAGCCAAGCAAAACAAATTATTTCCGCTTGTCCTCAATGTGCAAGTCTATCCCCTATAGGAGACACAGGTGTTAATCCACGTGGTTTAGAAGCCAATCAATTATGGCAAATGGATGTTACTCACGTTCCATCTCTAGCACCTTGGAAATATCTCCATGTTTCAATTGACACTTTTTCTGGTGCCATTTGGGCAACCCCCCAACGGGGAGAAACCTCTAATCACGTCATTTCCCATCTTATGGCTGCTATTACGGCTTTGGGAAAACCGGCTGTTATAAAAACACATAATGGCCCAGCTTACACTTCCACTACCTTCCTACAGTTTTGCACTACATGGAATATTCTTCTTCGTCATGGCCTTCCCTATAATTCTGCTGGCCAAGCTATTGTGGAATGAGCCAATCGTTCAATTAAAGAATGTTTACTTAAACAATTAAAAAAGGAGGGATCAAGGGTAGCTAATTTGGCATGGATAACTCGTCAAGTCAGTAAAATCTTAATAACTTTAAACCAGCTAAATATTTCTTTTCAAAACACTACTGCCTACCAGCGTCACTTTCAGCAGAAAGCTGTGCTCCCTAATCCATTGGTATATTATCGGCAATTGCCTGATAAAACCTGGTTAGGTCCAGTTCCTTTATTAACATGGGGACGAGGCTATGCGGCTGTGCTTGCTCCTACAGGCCCTCTCTGGATTCCAGCCCGGTGTGTGCGGCCAGCCAAAGATGTCGTGGCATCAAGTCCAGAACCCAATACTGGAAATGAAGCAGGTGACTCTTCAGACAGCACAACATCCCTTTCGCTCTCGCCATCGCAGTCGGCCAACGACCTGGGGCGATGTGAAGAACCTAACATCCAAAGCGCAGGAGGTTCTGAGGCAACAGGGAAAAGAACCTACACCAGAGAATTTATGCGCTGCCATATTTGCGGTTTTGACTGCAAATTCCTTAGTCATTCTTGCCTCTCTTTCCTTCTTAATTGCTGTGTGGGGGCTGAAGCTCTCCCATCTCATCCTTTAGAATCACGGATGAAATATAATATTTGGGTGCAATTAGCTAATGTAACACAAGTGACAGACTTTTGTATTTCTGAATCATATGACATGGAAAATCTATATGTAAAATGTCAGCATTTAATGTAAAAGCCTATGTATGTAAAAAGTATATAAGAAGCAACAAACTCAGAGTTTGTCAAGCTGTGTCCTGCAGCTTCAAACCTCTGCTCAAGAAATGCTTGAGTCTTTTTCTTAGCATCTTTACACTAACCTAGTGTCCTGTTGTTTATTTGTTTGTTTATTTTGTGCAAGTAGTCCTTGACTTACCACAGTTCATTTAGTGACCATTCAAAGTGACAATGGCACTAAAAAAACGACCTATGACTGTTTGTCACACTTAACGATCATTGCAACACCCCCACAGTCCTGTGATCAAAATTCAGACCACTGACTCGCATTTATGAGGGTTGCAGCATCCCAAGGTCACCTGATTCCCTTTTGTAACCTCCTGACAAAAGTCAAAGGGGAAGCCTGAATTCACTGAACAGCCTTGTTACTTACTTAATAACTGCAGCGATTCATTTAACAACCGTGGCGAGGAAAGTCGTAAAATGGGGCAAATTTTACTTATCAAGCGTCCCAGAAATTTTGTGGTCAACTGTCGTAAGTCGAGGACCCACCTGTGTGGCATAACCCAATATAGCATTAGTGCATGGACTTCACAAAAGCAGCGTATAAAATACGAATCAACATATAAAACACCAGAACAGTGAATTATTTTAAAAATGCACGAATGGTGTGAATAAAATTATGTCCCGTTTATGGCCTCTTATAACAGAGAAGTCTTAGGGTTAACAAAATGTGTGTCTCTTCCTTTTTTCCCCTCCCTCTTAGAATTTGATTTTTGCTGTCCTTTTTCGAAGTCTCTTGTTTACTTCTAGCGCTCTCTGGGGTTAAAAATTTACTTTCTGGCCGGATTTGCATAGGTTACTCAAATTCTGGGCAGGAGAAACTGATCTGAATTGGAACAAATGTTATTTATTTTGTACAATGGTGGTTTTTTTTGAATTCCGGTGTGGCAGGTTAAGGTTTATTGGTCAGAGGAAAAGATAATGTTTTTCTATTCTGTTGCCCGAGTTGACCTCATGCTATTGTTTGCTCTGTTCGTCTGTCTTCCAAACACCCTCCACCACCCTCCCTCCCCCAGGTTACATCCCTTGGTTGTCCAATCTCTTCTTGAACCTTGGTTTTATTATTTTCATTTCTAAAAAAATATTTTTTATTTCTTTTATATTGTGTTTTTATTTCCTGTAAGCTGCCGTGAGCGAGTATGAGGTATTATAAAATTTCCAAATAAATAAATTCAATGCAGCCGAGGAAGTTAACCCAATAGATTCCATCTGGCTTTTTCCCGGGATAGGCAAATGGCTTAAAAGAACTGCCTGGCCGTCCAATGGGTGGTAGCCCCACCTCCTATGGAGAGTCCAGCCAAAATTTAGTCCTGAACTGAGATTAGAGCAGCTTTTGAGCCAGACACTACACCAGGTCGAACGTGGCAGGTTTAGAAGTGACACAAGACTCTCCTTGGATGTCCTACCCTTGGCTTTGTACGGACTTCAACTCCCAGCATTCCCCTTTCTCCTTCCAGGAATTCTAGGAGCTGAAGTCCACACATCTGCAAAGTTGTTGAGGTTGAGAAACACCGGACTACAAGCTCTCCACATAACCAACTGGGCAGACAGGCATGCCTCTTTCTTGACCCAGACGTGCACGCAGACCCTCTCCTTACCGAGAGCCTGCTCCCATATGCTCTTTGCTGGCGTCAACCATGATCTCCATCATTGCTCATTCCCACGAGACTCCGGTTAATCAGCAAGTCCTCTTCTCCCGATCCAACTTTCCAGCCTGTTTTTCTTTTGAGGGCTGGTCTCGGAATGTTCTGCTGGAGAAGCAGAAGACGTCAGAGAGATGAATCTGGGCCCTAGGTTTCCACAGGTGGGGAAAAGATAGCAGCGGTTCTCAACCTGTGGGTCGGGACCCCATTTGGGGTCGAACGACCATTTCACAGGGGTCGCCAAACAACACAGTCCGTCATTTTTTCCCCTTTTCCTTAGCTGTGCTACTACCTTTTATTCTATTGGCTTTTGAAAGCCCATAGAATAGACTCTCTTGAATAGAGTCTAATTCTATTGGCTTTCGAAAGCCAATAGGAATTGTCCAGGCTTTCTCTGTCCTGCTGAGCCCACCAAAAGTCCCATTCTGCAAACAGTGCTGCAAGTTGTCTGCAGCGAAGGCGAGCTGTCTGGAAGCTTCCACCCCTCCCTGCTGAGCAACTACTAAAAATGTAAGTAAAAGAGGGCCAGGGGTGGGAGGTGGGAGGCCGGCGGGCACAGGAGGGTTGCTGGTGTGCATGGGGCCCGGCGGGTGCCTTACCTCCCTTGGTCTGGGCCAGCTGGTGGCCCAGCCGCTTGCCAGCTACACTTCGGCCAGCACAGGGGGCGGCACCATGCATGCACGGCGCTCCCGGGCAGGGAAAGTCCTCAACTTACGACCAGTTGGGTAGTCCTCGACTTACGACCGGTTGGGTAGTCCTCGATGTACGACCGGTTGGGTAGTCCTCGACTTACGACCGGTTGGGGGTCGCGGCATTAAAAAGATTGAGAACCACTGCTCTATCTGAAGAATATAGAAATTTCTTTAATTGTAGCAATTAAAAAACCCTTGCAATAGATGGCAGGGAACTATCAGCTAGTGCCCAGAGCTATTTTGCTGTAACCTATGACCCCAGAAAACTGAGGAGAAAGTTAAGAGCTGTCTCTCAGTACAGAAACCAGAGAAAGATTGCATCCAGGTTAAACTTTGTAAAAGCAAGTTTCACTTTGTGTCCGCTAGAGGACACTAAACTCCAACCCCTGAATTACTACCTGTTTTGCTGATTTGTGCCACAAGAACAGGTGTTAACTACACCAATGATACCCAGTCTTCTTGAAATAAATACAGGAAAGCAGGAAAAAAACCCAGCATATTATCTTGTGGTATCAAGCTGATTGTATTTAATTGTCACAGATGACAGCTTCATATAAATGATGGAAACAAAAGCATCAGAGAATTAAAACTGCTACCCTGCATAAATCAACAGTTTAATGAAACACTTCAAACTATGCTTCTCCAAAAGTGCTTTCCTAGGTAGGTAGGTAGGTAGGTAGGTAGGTAGGTAGGAAGGCCCATAAATAAGGGCTGAACAGAAGTTATAATCAAATGTCATTTTGTCTATTTTTTCCTCTAAGGCAATTAGAACAAATTTCTGAAGTTAACTGGAAATTAATCAAACTCACCCTCCCAACACTAATAAAGAGAGGCTCTAAAGCAGAGGTGTCCAATCTTGGCAACTTATGGACTCCAACTCCCAGAATTGCCCAGGCAGCATGCTGCCTTGGAAATTCTGGGCGTTGAGGTCCACAAGTCTTAAAGTTGCCAAGCTGGGCACCCCTATTCTAAAGAAATCTCCAAGAAATACTGCTAAATTAAAACTTCAATTCAATCATAATTTCAGCTGTTCATGGCTTCAATTGTGCCGATGAGACCTATTTTTGATTCCACATTTGCCTTGAACTCCATGACCTCCCCCAAAATCTTTGATGCTACATGGCCAAAGCCCTTTATTTCGTTTATTTGTTAGAATTAGATCCTGCCTTTTTTCCAGCAGTGTAACGTAACCTACAGAAGAATCTTCCTTCCACTTATTCTCCTAACAATTTAGGAGCAGTTGGGGGGGGGAGGGAGTGACAAGTAACTCGGCCAAAATCATCTAGGGAATTTCCACAGCTAAAGGCAGACACCCTATCAGCTTGTCTTAAGGAAATCAAGACAAAAAGGCCCCAAGCATCCCCAGTTTGTGTCTAGGTGTTTTTTTTTTTAATTATCAAAAAGTAGAGTTCCTCAATCTTCTCTAATCTCTTCATTCTTCTTTGTTTGCAGGTGGCTTTTCTTTCTCCAAAGATGGATTCTGTTCTTGCTTCTTGGCTGGTTGCCGATCAGCACCTGCCCCGACACCCACAGTCTGTCCTGATTTGGCCTCAATGACAGCGTGTTCATTTTTCACAAGTTCCTCCAGTTCTTCCTAAGGGGCAGAGGGGGGAGAACAGAGAAAACCACGTAAGGAAGATAACCAAGGAATAAACAGAAACTTAATTTGCTCAGAGTTGGCAAGCCACCCCTTTCCCCCAATAAGACCCCAGAGGGAGCCAAAAAGAACCCCATTGATTTTTACATCTGGGCTGTTCTCGGTGATTTTGAAACAGGAGAGATACCTTCCATCCCAACAGCTCTGCCAAAGCCAGGCAGCCCTCATCGCAGTCTCCGAGCCAGGCAACGTCCCTGAAACATGAAGAATTGTGAATAACGGAACTCCCAATTTATTGGTATTTATTCAGAGCTTACATAGCATGCCAGGACAGATACATCTTTTCTTCCAGCAACCTTTACAAACACTTTGTGATCAGCTTGATCTCCCTCGCAGGATCATCTCCCTAACACACCTGGGCTATGAAGACCAAGAGTGGCCTCCCTAAAGCCACCAGGTGAGCTGAGCATACGGACCACAAAGTTGCATTAGGTACACCAAGGGAACACACAAGGGAACTTGCCTGTATGCCTTCTCCGAATCAAAATCCATCCCGCAGCCTAAGCCCATCAGGGACATGAAAGGATCACTCTGAAATGAGACCAAAAATGTAAGAATGCCCTCTAGGAGGGCTCCAAGATGAAGGATTAGCAGAGAACCATCATTAGATAAGCTGGCTCAGGAATTCTGGGAAGTCCACAAGTGGTAAAGTTGCCATAATTGCCCACCTCTGTGATAGAGAGTAGGGAAGATGACTCGGAGGGGGATACGCAGGCGATGTTGCCTACGCTAAAAAGCTTAAAAAAAAAAAAAAAGTCCAGAGCAACAAGACAGCAGCATTCAGAAGCAGCTCAAGCCGATGCCTTCCTGATCCACAGAAGTAATGCCAGCTCAGGAATTCTGGGAGTTGAAGTCCACAGCCTGGAAAGCTGCCATGGCCTTCCACTCCTGCTCTTTCCCCAGGAGTGGGGAATCTGCAGCAGACCAAAGAAAGCAGGCTGAAAACCTAACCTTACCTCTCCAGTCTTCTCCTTATTGATCAGAAGCCGTGGTGTGTTTGCAGGTACCCTGGAAGAAACGGAGAAGAGGAACAATTTAGCAATGGTGCCTGCGGCATCTTGGTTCAGAAAACCGAGCCCTTGCTTGAGCAGCCCAGGTTCACTGACCTGCTGACCAGGGAGGCAAAAGGCTGGACCTGAAGTGAGGTGCCCATGATAATAAGCAGGTCCGCATTCTGGAAATCCTGCAAGCAGAAGGTTCGCGTGAAGGATGGCGGGCACCACAGAACTGCATCCCAGGTTCCAATCTGGTTTCAAAGTCTCTTTCTCTGAAATCGTGCTTTCTGGATAGATTGCTTTGACCTATAACTCCAACTCTATTTGTAGCGTGAAACCTAGCTCCTTTTGTGTCCTATTTTCTCTCACCAGATTTATTCATCCTAACCAATTAGGGATGAAGTGGGAAGAATTTATCCCATCTGATAAATTAGCATACAAGACTAACTGTCATGTACTCTTGCTTTAAGACCAATAGATGGGTCCTCAAATCTTTCCCTCAACCCTAGGAGGAAGAGTTGGGGGTCTTCCAATTCGGGGGCTTGCTCATTACATAAACAGTTCAGCCACTGGATACTTCTCCCTCTAGCATTCCCCTCCCTTATTTTGCTGTCATGATTTACGTTCTCCAATTAGTTTGAAGGGCAAAGGTTCCCTTCCTTTCCCTTTCCTGGGCTTTTCCCTCCTCCCTCATTCTCCTCTGCATTAACTCTAAAAATACCAGACACTTCTGCATATTTTGTCAAAACAAGAATATTCAATATTAGCAGCGTTGACACTAACATCAGTTCATCTGGGAAATTTTAACCCTTAAAATAAGGACTCAGAAATCCTGGCTCTTGGGAGACCTCCAACGTGGGGCTGCCGGCGTTCCGAGTCCAAGGACAAACGACTGAAGCACTTACCGACTGCATGAGAGAGAAGAAACGAGGGGGCAAATTCTCCCCAAAAAACACGATGTCTGAACCAAGGAAAACAAAACAAAATCTTTGGTTAGGGTTCCCTGAAACCTGATCAAGAAGCACAAAGATCCCAGGACGCTGCTTTGACGGATGACCAGGTGGGATGCTCACCTGGCTTCACGATGTTCTGACATTTTTCACATCTGGGGGTGAGAGATGCGAATATTTTTTCTGAAAGAAAAAGAAAAGGGAGCCATGGACAATGCATCTCAACCAACGTCGTCTGTAGCTAATTCGTGATCTGGCATAAACGGTCTGGGTCCAGGTTACTTGAGGGACGGTCTCACCCCCACTGGGATTGGCCCGTACCACTCGTGCCAGCAAAGGAGGCGTGCTGTGGGTCCCATCAACCCGATTATTCCAGCTGGCAGGATCCAGGAGGATGATTTCAACCATTGCTCCTGCCTGCTGGAAAATCCCCCCCCCCCGATGTGGAGTTGGGCCCCAACCCTTCTATCTTCTCTTAAGAGCCTAAAGACATGACTGTGCCAGTTGGGGCTGCAGTGGGGGATCAGGGCAACGAAGGTGCTGATTGAGTAATAACAGATTCCACCTCCCCATGTGTCTTGGGTTGTAAGGTTTGATTTTAACATTTTATATTTTAACTCAGATGTAACTGTCAGCCTCCCAGAGTTACCCTATGGTTAGATGGGCGGCCAATTTTATAAATAAATAAATAAATACGAATAACCACAACCTTTAATTCTAACCAGTTTAACCTTTGTCTTGCTCCCAGCAGCCATACTAGGCAATCCAAAGCAGACCACTGGAATCCCTCAAGTTGTGGCTTTCTCCCCTCAGCAGCATTCACACATCTCAGAAACAAGCATAGCTTCTGCTCTGAATATCAAGATCATGCCGCAGGAATAAACCTGAGTTATTCCAAAGGAATTTTTTTTTAATTTTCTTTACCCCTTCGATCTCTTCTGGAAAGTCCCCCGATAATGTCTTCCCTGCTTCCAATTCCTGACCCTCACCTTTCATCCACTCCAGGCTGTAGGGCTTCTTGCAAGTGGAGCTGATGCAATGGGAGGTATAAAAAGTGCCGTGAGCTTCCACTAAGTGTTCGGGATCCAGACCGGCCACCCTCTCCAAGGTGTCGATGTTCTGGAGGAAGGCAAGACGTTCAAAATAAATCCAACCTGAAATGGCTGCCAATCCTGGCGCTACACCGGACTAGGACTCTCAAAACAAGAAAAGGCTAATGGCCCTTTTTATTTAGGAGGCCAGAATAATATAACTAAAGCTTAGGACTTATTTACCTGAGTGTAGCAGCGCAGTAGCAGCCCTTTATCCTTCAAGAGACGAATGAAGTAGTGACAGACGGTGGGCTGAAAAAGGACCAGAGCCTTAAATGTCATATTTTCTTTTCTCCAAAACACAAAAGAAACCAAAGGGTAGGTTTTATTTATATGTTTATTAATTCATTCCAAATTTACGGGACTCTTGCCAGTTCACACCGGAACACAAAACGTCCATTGTAAATTAACAGTTAAAACAACCACAGCTATTAAATGAAACAATAAATTGCCGTAAATATGTATACTGTATATGCCGTAAATATGTATATGTATTTCTTTTGTAGGTTTATTGTATGGGAATCGTATATACTTTGGCAATGGAATAGTTTACAGCCAGACTCATAAAGAAATGCTCCTTTTCCCAAGCATTAAAAATTATTAAGAAAACGCAGAGGATATAGCAGACAAAAACAGAGGTGGGCTTCAGATCTAGCTTCTCAAGAATGTGAAAGGGGGGGGGGACTTGTTAGGAGCTCTTTGAAGCAGCCATTTTTTCTCCTGGGGTGACAAAAGACCACTGCACTTTTAGGACTGAGTTTAAATCCCTGCCCGCCGCCTCGGAAACATGAAAAGCCAACTGACCTTGAACTGCCCTGGGTAAAGCTCCCGAGCCAAGGTGAAGAATGGTTCTGGGTTTTGCTAAATAAAAACAGACACTGAGTCAGTGATGCCGAAGAAAACAAACCTCAGAAAACACGGTATTCAGCCCATGTCAATAGCCAGCGGGTAAACTCAGCATGGTACCTTGAAATAGCCAATCTCAAAGATGGCTTCGGGATACGGTAGACTGTACTGCTGCAGGTTGGCATACAGCCCCGTGCCAGGTGAGCGGAAATCGGGGATGCCCGCACCTGAGAGGCAGAAAGGCAAATGCTGAGATTGCATCGGCAGCTGTAAGTCGCTGAACAGAAAACCAACTAAGAGACAGATTACTTATTCTGATACCATAGTACAGTGTTTCCCAAACTTGACAATTTTAAGGCATGTGGACTTCAACTCCCAGAATTCCACAGCCAGCGTTGCTGGCTGTGGAATTCTGGGAGTTGAAGTCCTCATGCCTTAAAATTGTCAAGTTTGGGAAACACTGCCATAGTACAGTACATCGACACAGTTTGAGCTAACAAGCAGGCACAGGTAGTCCTTGACTTATGACCACAATTGAGTCCAAAATTTATGTTGCTAAGCGAGACATTTGTTAAGTGAGTTTTGCCCCCACGGCTGTTAAGTGAATCCCTGCAGTTGTTAAGCTAAGAATACGGTTGTTAAGTGATCTTTGACTTTGCTTGTCAGCAGGTCGCAAAAGGGGGTCACGTGACCCCTGGAATACTGCAACTGTCATAAATATGAGTCGGTTGCCAAGCAATTTAACTTTGATCCCGTGACTCTGGAGACACGGTAACGTTCGTGTGAAAAGCAGTCATAAATCACATTTTTCACTGCCGTTGTGACTCTGAGCAGTCAGTAAATGTACTGTTGTAAGTCGAGGACCGCCCACACTGCACTTGAGACTCTGAGCTCCATTATTTCAAACCCAGCTTACAACAAGGGGGAGAAATTAAGTTTGATTCAGCAGGGTGCTTCTAACATTCTTTTCTCTACTTTCCCAGGAAAAAAAGTTCTGAAGGAGCTGAATCAAGCTAAATTGTCAGCTTAAAGCAGGAGCTACACCTGCCAGTTTCAACTGCTCCCACCATTACTTCCCCCATAGTCATGTCTAAGAAAAAATGAGGCTCTAGCACAGGTTTTATATTCGATTCATATCTCAAGGAGGGTATTACCCAGGTAGTTATGCTTCATATTTAACATTCAGTCTTTCTACTGCAGAGAAGATGGCGGAAAACCCAGGATTGCTTCATGCCCGTTTGAAGGCTACTAATGTAAACAAAGGCTAAACTCACGAATAAAGGCAAATATACATGTCCCAGGATAATGTTTAAATGCTAAACTGGCTGAAGGTATTCTTAGCAATCCTAGGTGAGAATTCCTCCTGCTAAAAAGGATGTGAGACCTATAAGCTTTCAGCAAAGAGACTTAAAGCCAAACCCGGCTGTTATGCAGCTTTGCAGATACTTCATCCCGGAAGAGACTGTGGGGTTAGGAGTTAAGAGTAAATATTTTGTAGGTATAAGAACCCAGGGCCAATTTTCAACATTTCCTAATTAAGAAATAAACCGCTGTGGCAGGATAAGATCACACTTTTTTCTAGATTTCGTAGAAAAGAAGCAGGATAACTATGGAAAGGCAGTTTCTAATTTTATCCACCAGCATCGCGCTCTGCTCCTACAATACATTTGCACAAAACCAAGAAAAAAAATAAAGCGACACATGATCAGCAAAGCCATCGTGACACTTACTGGTCGAGATCCCTGCACCAACCATACAGATTATATTCTTGCCTGCAAGAGAAAGGGCAGGAAGTGCTTTTTAATATCGACCCCTGAATTACACCATGCCACCCTCAAACCCTGAACGGCATCAACGTTCGGCATAGGCATCCAACCACTGGAGCCAGGGCAACTGAGGTGATAAGCCCCAGAATTTCAGAGGCTGGGGTTCAAATCCTTCTGCTAAGAGCCTGACTAAACACCTTTGGATGGCCCTGGGCAAATAACCTTTGTCCACAGCAGTCCCTATCTGTAAAAACATCAGTGACCACAGGTAAGCATGCACAGATACACTGATAACTAGCATTTAACTGCAGCACACAGAGGTGCCAAACCTCCCTCCTCTCTTTGATCTACGCCACCACCTGCATCACAAGCTCTCTCTCTCCTCCCCTTTTTTTTTTTTCATTCACTTCAGAGGCTGGTAGAAAAAAGAAAAGAGCAATACGTTTCAGTCTCTAGAAAGAACTGCTTTACATTTCTCGGTCAGTATGAAGTTGGTCACGCCTTCCAGTGTCAGTTCCTCCAGCACCTTCTCGGGCTTCTCACTGCCAAAGCCCAGAGTCCGGGAAAAGAGGTTTCGCAAAAATTCCACTGGTAAGAAAGAAAAAAAAAATTGCAATGTTATCATTTGCCTTGAAGAGCTGAGATCTGTGCCAATAAAAGAGATCATCAGTGCACTAATGAAGTTACCTAGAGTGATAATGAAACCTCTGCAAGGAAACCACCAAGCTCAGAGAGCAATGAGGACCCCCCAGTCCTCCTCTTCTTCCTTTCCGCAAACCCTACTCCCTTCTAGCACTGATGATGTTACCTAGTTGGGTCATAAAACGTCTGCAGGAAAATAACCAAACTCAGAAAGCATCAAGGACCCCATGAGATCTCTGCAGATTGTGCTAAACTCCTACGTGGAGAAAAATCTACCTGCAGCTGAAACGCTATTCTATGCTTTTATATAAAAAAAATTAAAAATGCTAAAGTCTTAAAACAGCGTTTTTCAACCTCGGTAGCTTTCAGCTGGATGGACCTCAACTCCCAGAATTCCCCAGCCAGCCGCGGGAAATCTGGTTTGAGGCTTCTCTAGTTTGAGAGAAGAAAAGCAAAAAACAAAACCCTGGGTTCCCCTCGTTTTATAGGATAACTCTGGAAGGTAAGGCACATTATTGTTTTAAGTGGAACTCATTTCCCCTATTCTATTCTTGGTTTTGACAAATGAGCCCCGATTTACATGCTCCACTGGACATTTGCTCATCTTGTCCTGAGGCATCTGACACACACTTAGAGCTCACTAATAAATGGGCATGTACATATATTGCTGCCCAGGGGCAGAGGTCATGTGTCTTTGCTCAATGGATTAAGGCCAGCCTTACCTTATTTCAGGCCAAAGAATGTCATTATAATGCTTGATTACATAGTTACTTTGTACAGCAAACACTGAAGTTTTTATCCTGGATTCCACAATCCAGGGGTTTCTGTGCCTAGAAATAATTTTTTCATTAGCTATAGGAAGACGGCAATAGTTTGGAGATACAGTACAGGGATTGCCTCAATTTATACATTCACAATATTTAAAGTAAAACATGAACTCCCACTGGACAGTTACTTACTTTCTGTCTGGCCTGAAGCTCCTCCTTCCTCATCAGAATCTGAACTCTATAGGAAGAAAGGAAGTCATTTCTTAGAATTCCTTAATGGTAACTAAATTTATTAAGGTTGTATGTGGCCAATCTTGCCTGGGTTCAGACTGAGCAGGATTAAGGCCTGTTAAGCACTCAAAAAAAAAAAAAAAAAAAAAGAGTACTGTGAAATTCCAGAACTTCCCAAATCCCCTCTATCCTTTCCTAAAGATGTATTTTTATGTGGATCCTGCACTTTTTCCAGAGCTGCAGATGCTTTCCGACCACCAACGCAGAAAGCCTCTAGCCCCAGCATGGATGAATGTTCTCCCATTAGCATTTTTGAAAAAGAGCTATAAGAGCATTCCATTTGAATTTAAACTATGCCCAGAGCAGAATGAGCCTCTGAAACAGTAAGAGAGATCCTTTTATACCAGTGTTTTTCAACCTGGGCAGCTTGAAGATATGGACTTCAACTCCCAGAATTCTGCTGGTTGGGGAATTCTGGGAGTTGATGTCCACAGGTTTTCAAGCTGCCCAGGCTGAGAAACCCCATTTTATACTGTCCATTCCACATTAAATCCAATTCCCCAGTCATTCCCATCAGTTTTATTTACAATCATCAACTTCAAGTGACTTTCTCCTCACGTGTGGCCAAATGTTGTCATTTGTCTGCAATATGTGCAATAGTTTGATTGACAGGTTTGATTAACTGCACAACTAATGCAAGTGTTTCTAATTTATATGTATGTCTATTATTTATGCACTGTTGATTTAGATTTTGATATTTTTGATTATATATATAGTCCTCAATGTACAACCACAACTGGAACAACTAAGCAAGATGGTTGTTAAATGAGGCACACCTGACTTTAGGACCTTGCAGTCCTCAAGCAAAATCATTGCAGTCATTAAGCGACTCACATGTTTGCTAAGCAAATCCAGCTTTCCCCATCGACTCCGCTTGTCAAATTTTGATCACCTGACTTGTGGAGTGGCTATGATGGTCGTAAATGCGAGGACTGGTTGTAAGTCACTTTTTCCTGTGTCCCAACTTCAAATGGATTTAACTGTCGTAGGTTTGTGTACGTCATGAGTTTTGAGGATCGGCTGTAATAAAAGACCTACAGGTAGTCCTCGACTTACAACCGTTCACTTAGTGACCGTTCAAAGTTACAATGGCACTGAAAAAAGTGACTTACGACCATTTTTCACACTTATGACCTTTGCAGCATCCCCGGGGTCACGTGATCAGAATTCAGACGCTTGGCAACTGACTCGTATTTATGACGGTTGCTGTGTCCCAGGGGTCACGTGATCCCCTTCTGTGACCTTCTGACAAGGAAAGTTAAGGGGGAAGCCACAACCGTGTTATTAACAACTGCGGACAAAAGATTGTACCATGGGCCAAATTCCCTTACCAAAGGTTTCACTTAGCAACGAAAATCCAGGGCTCACTTGTGGGTCATCAGTCAAGGACTCCCTTTAGTAGTATATAGGAGACGGGATCCCCAGCATCCCCTCCTGATGGGCCTCCATGGCCAGGCAGAGTCTACCTCAAGCACCCAAACTGCACAAGACCGCCAGTGGGCCAGTCACTAGATTAGTGCCATTTTATTCTACTTTGTCAAATCCTAACAAACAAACAAACAAAAAGAAATTGCCACGATTTTGCTCAGAGGATTTCCCCCCCCCTCAACTGACTCCCACCCAGTTGAGCCGGGGATGATGGGCTTGGAAGTAAACCCCCACCCCCCACTTCAAATGATTTTTTTAAGAGTCCTCCTTCTGCAACTCGAGCCGCTTTCCCAGCAAGCTCCACCGGTGGGATTTCCGCCTGGTCGACCACGCTCAAGGAAAAGTCCCCTTCGGCCTGCGGGGCAGAGCCGCCTGGAGAGAAGGCCCCAGAGGGGGAGGATTTGGAGCGACGGCTCCCAATTTCGGCCCCTCAATCCTCACCGAGGACCTGGAGGCCTTTTCGGCGTCCGCTTCGGGACTGGCGGCAGCGCCTGTGACAAAGGAAACACAAGGAAGAAGGGGAGAGCGGGCCTCGGGCCGCCTCCTCCTCCTCAGCCCACCATTCCCTCAGCGGCGGCGCCGTTACCTTCCCGGCTGTCCATGGAAGGTGGCGACGCTGCTCCGCCGAGAATCCAAACAAACCGTTGCCCCCTGAGAGGAAAACTACAAGCCCCGAAAAGCCCCGCGGGAGGGCAGCCAATGGCCAGCCAGTTTCCAAACCAACACCATCTGACGTCACCGATGGACGTCAAGGGACCGTTTGGGCTCACCCAACCCCCAGCTAGAGAACGAGGGAGGGGGGCGGGGAAAGAGAAATTACAAATCAACCTCACCTCCCTTCAGGCTTTGCGCCGGCTTGAGAGCAGGACGTCGCCGAAGTGGAAGCCGCCTTTCCCAGTCAGGGCGTCCTCAAAGCCGAAAAAACATTAGACGGCGGCGAATCTAAACGACGGAGGGACCTAAAGGAGCGGACTTTCTGAAAACGAACACCAGAAGTGGAAAAACATGCCAATGTTACTCAAGCGCTCTGACTCGCAGAACTCCACTTCCCATCATACCTCGAGAAAAACAAAATGGCGCCTCCTTTTTTTTTGATAAAGCGCAGGCGCAGAGGGGGGGGCGAGAGGGGACGGCAAGGGAGCGTCACTACAACTCCCGGCATGCCTCTCTCCGTCTGCTAAGACGCTCGTCCGGGGAATCCCCAGGCCGCTGAAATTCCCCTTCATGGCCGCCTCGGCCGGGGGAGCCGCTTGAGCTTCGTCGGCCCCCGGGGCGCTCGGCCTGGCCTCCGCGATGGCCCCGCTGTAGGCCCGTCCCGAGCCATGGCCTCCGTGCAGGGGCAGCCCGTCGCCCAGGGCGGCGGCCCCCGGGAGCCCAAGCGGCTGGAGGCCGGGGGCGAGGACTGGTGCGACAGCGGCCTGGGCTCGCTCAGCGAAGGGCAGCTGGTGCAGCTGCGGGAGGATGGAGGCCTGGGGGGCCCTGGAGAAGGCGAAGGGGGGCCTGGGGTCTGCCCGGTGACCCAGGACCCCAGAGCCCCCCAGAAGTGCCCGGAGGAGGAAGAGGAGGGGCGCCTGGACTCGGCCCTGGGGGGCGACGAGGGGGTGGGCGACCTGGCCGAGGGCGTGGGGGCCGTGCACCTGCAGAGCCAGGTAGCCCCCGAGGCTTGGCTGCACCACGTGCTGGCCTTCGTCACCGAGGATGGAGACACGTAGGTACCCCGGGGGGGGGCTTCAGAGGGGCTAGGCTGGGGAGGGGGGGTCCCTCGGGGCAGGTGGGAGTGGGGGGGGGAAACCACATTCAATTTAAAGTTGGCTGGCTCACCTGATGTCCTGCTTAATGACCAGCACAATTGATAACCGTCATTCCGGGCTCAGTTACGGTGGTTAGTCGAGGACTTAACTGCCTGGACAAAGTAAGTCCTCGGCTTACGGCCACCAATGAGCCCTAGATTTGCATTGCTGAGCAAGACTTGCTTTTGCCCCATTTTTACGACGTACCTTGCCACGGTTGTTAGGTGAATCGGTGCCGATGTGAAGTTAGTGTTGCTTGCTTCCAGAAATCATGGGCGCTCCATCTCCTGGAAGTTTTAAGAAGAGGTTAAATAGTCCCTTTTCTGAGATGGTATAGGTCAGGGGTAGGCAACCTTGGCTCTTTTATGACTCTTGGACTTCAACTCCCAGAATTCCTGAGCCAGCTGTGCTGGCTCAGGAATTCTGGGAGTTGAAGTCCACGAGTCATAAAAGAGCCAAGGTTGCCTACCCCTGGTATAGGTTCTCCTGCTTGAGTGGGGGGCTGGACTAGAAGACCTCCAAGGTCCCTCCCAGCTCCTATTCTATTCTAGTCACATGGTTGTTAAGTGAATCTGGCTTCCCCTTGGTTTGTCAGAGACTCACGAAAGGGGATCACGTGTCCCTGGGAACACTGCAATCATCATAACTATGAGCCAGTTGCGAAGCATCTGAATTTTGATCACATCGCCATGGGGACGCTGCGACGGCCGTGTGAAAATTGGTCCCTTTTTTCCAGGGCTGTTGTTACTTTGATCAGTCATTAAAGCCAATGGACTATCCATACTACAGACGTTTCCCCATCCATGAGTTTGGCCTTTCATCGCTGCATTTGCTCTTCTCTCTTTCCAGAGCTCTCCACTTGGCTGTGATCCACGAGCACGAAGCCTTCCTGGATTCTATTCTGCAATACACCCACAGGACGGATTACCTGGATATTCAGAACAACCTCGGCCAGGTGAGACCAGAAGGCACTTTTGCTTCACTCGGGTTGTCCCAAGGTTTACAATGAGAATGGCAAGACTGCTGGGGCGGACCTGAGAAAAAGGATTGGCCTTGGTTAAATTTCAAAGGGTCGATAAAAGAATGAGACTTGGAGATTTTGAGTGGATCCGATACCTTTTATTTATTTATAAGACTTATATACCGCTTTAAGTGCAAGCACTCTCTAAGCGGTGTACACCAGTAAGCAATGTATATATATATATATTTACATTGCCCCCAACAATCTGGCCTGGTGTCAACGATCCGGTAAACAATAATAGTTTTGGTGTTCTCTTAAAACGGGTGTCCAGTCTTGGCAACTTGAAGACTTGTGGCTGGCTAGGGAATTCTGGGGGTTGAAGTCCACAAGTCTGCCAAGTTGCCAAGGTTGGACACACACACACACACACACACACACACACACACACACACTGCCTTAAATTACTGTATTATTACATATCTCGGCTGCTGCTTGTGTGTTTTAATTTTCATGGATGTTATGATTATTCTAACTCTCTCCGGCTAAAACATCCGCTCTTCCTTCTCTTTCCTTTAGACCGCGCTTCACATTGCCGTCATCCTCGGGGCATCCAGCTTTGTTGGCAAACTTGTGTCGGCAGGAGCCGGGCTGTGTGTCCAAGAGAAAGGAGGCCACACGGCGTTGCACTTGGCCTGCCGGGAAGGATGGTGGGATTGCGCTCAGCAGCTTCTGGCTCCGTCGCTCGCCATCCAAAGGTTCGGTCAGGGCAACCGTTTCCGGGCCCAGCTGGATTGCACTAATTACGATGGTAAGCAGCGTCTGTGAAATAGGTAGAACCTTCCTCTTTATAAACGGGGAGAGAGAGAGAGCTGTGAGCACAAGTTTCTAGTCCTCATGGCTGGGGGAAGTTCAGAAGATCACCGGCATGCCTTCTAAATTCACACAAATATAAAATTTAGTCAGGTCTTGATGAGCTGCTAACCTAGTGTCCTGTTGTTTATTTGTTTGTTTATTTTGTGCAAGCAGTCCTTGACTTACCACAGTTCATTTAGTGACCGTTCAAAGTGACAATGGCACTGAAAAAAAATGACCTGTGACTGTCACACTTAACGATCATTGCAGCACCCCCACAGTCCCGTGATCAAAATTCAGACCACTGACTCGCATTTATGAGGGTTGCAGCGTCCCGGGGTCACCTGATTCCCTTTTGTAACCTCCTGACAAAAGTCAAAGGGGAAGGCCAAATTCACTGAACAGCCTTGTTACTTACTTAACTGCAGCGATTCATTTAACAACCGTGGCGAGGAAAGTCGTAAAATGGGGCAAATTTCACTTATCAAGCGTCCCAGAAATTTTGTGGTCAACTGTTGTAAGTCGAGGACCCACCTGTGTGACGTAACCCAATACAGCATTAGTGCATGGACTTCACAAAAGCAGCGTATAAAATACGCATCAACATATAAAACACCAGAACAGTGAATTATTTTAAAAATGCATGAATGATAGGAATAAAATTATGTCCCGTTTATGGCCTCTTATAACGGAGAAGTCTTAGGGTTAACAAAATGTGTGTCTTCCTTTTTTCCCCTCCCTCTTAGAATTTGATTTTTGCTCTCCTTTTTCGAAGTCTCTTGTTTACTTCTAGCGCTCTCGGGGGTTAAAAATTTACTTCCTGGACGGATTTGCATAGGTTACTCAAATTCTGGGCAGGAGACACTGAACCGAATTGGAACAAATGTTATTTATTTTGTGCAATGGGTTTCTTTTGAATTCCAGTGTGGCAGGTTAAGGTTTATTGGTCAGAGGAAAAGATAATGTTGTTTTTCTATTCTGTTGCCCAAGTTGACCTCATGCTATTGTTTGCTCTGTTCGTCTGTCTCCCAAACACCCTCCACCCCTCATCCCCCAGGTTACATCCCTTTGCACGTGGCCATTCTGCGGAAAGATTTGGACATGGTCAGTCTCTTAATCTCTGCCGGATCGGATCTCAACAAGCCGGTTAGTTTTTTTTGGAGCTGATAAACTCTCAGAAGATCTAAGTCAATTTCGCTATCATGGCAAACAAAATGATCCTGGTTATTAGGTTAGAAAAAACAAAAGCTGTAAATTCAAGTACAAAGGTGGGAGAGCAATCGGGTCAAAAAAATAATTACAGGTAGTCCTCAACTTACGACTGTAATGGACCCTGCCCAGAAGGGTTGTACATCACGACGGTCATAAAACAGGTCAGCACGCAAACCGACCTGATGACCTTTTTTTTTTGCAACAGTCGTTAATCATATCAGCATGGTCATTAACTGAATCCATGGACAGTAAACAAACCCATTGTTTGCTATGTTTTTTTGTTTTTTTTTTACCAAAAACTGGAAGTAAACACTGGGCTTTGTCAAAAAAAAAAAAAAAAGTCGTAAAACACGGTCATGTGACTGCAGGATGCGGCCAGTGGCCGTAAAGACAGGCCAGTTGCCAAGGATCGAAATTGTGGTTACATGGCTATGGGGAGTGGGTTTGCCTTCAAAACTTGAGGACCAAGTCATAAGTATTTTTCGGAGGTTTGTCGTAACCTCAGTCGCTAAGCAACCTGTCGTAAGTCAAGGACTCCCTGTGTTAAGCGTCAGACAGTTTTGACCAGTGGAAGCTGATGTGGATGTCGGGTGAGGCGGTGGGCAGAAGCTGGGGGCGGCGTTAAAAGGGGGATCAGCCTGGAATCCCTATATGTGGCCCCAAGTGGACTTAGTCCCTGCATAGGGATCCTAGGCTGATTCCTCTTTTAACGCCGCCCCCAGCTTCTGCCACGATTCCTGCTGCATTGTTGTTGCAAAACTATATCTCAACTACTTGAAACTTGTTTTGAGTGCATAGCATTAACTCGTGGCTTAAATATTCGTTGTAACTGGAGCATCCAAGCAGGATTGACATGACACCTTCAACTGAGCTGTCGACAAGCAGTTGTCGTCTTGGTGTGACATCAACCACCTTCTAGCTTAACATGGCCTCCCAGCCTGTCCCACAGGCTAAACAAGGCCCGGATCCTGCCCACGACTGACCCACAAACACCGCCAACGCCCCATTTTAACTAGCCTTGCCGATGGTGCAAACCCAGCCTGTTTCTAAGCTGAGCTTGTGCAAATGTGAGAATTCCAGTCTGTGCCAGGTTGCAATTTAGTGGCTCCCCTAAAGCTCTTGCCTGAGTGATGTCGAGCTGACTCTTGGGAAGGGAGGGGCCACACCTGGAGCCATGAGGGAGGGGCTCGGGCAAAAGGGGAAGTCCAGAAGTAGAAGAACAGGTGAGAAAGAAAGTCAAAGCAATCCTGCCTTGATTTTGCTTAGTATACAGGGAGTCCTCGACTTACCGCCACAACTGAGCCTAACATTGGTGGTGTTAAGCGAGACATTTGTGAAGTGAGCTTTGCCCCATTTTGCGACTTTTCGTGCGGCAGCTATGAAGTGAACCCCTGCAGCTGTTAAGTCAGTAACACGGTCGTTAAGCAAATCTGGTCTTTCCCCCATTGACTTTGCTTATCAGAAGGGGTTACAGAAGGGGATCACGTGACCCTGGGACACTGCAACTGTCATAAATATGAGTCAGTTGCCAAGGGTCCAAATTTTAACCCTGTGGCCAGGGGGATGCTGCAACAGTTGCAAGTGTGGAAATTGGTCGTTAAGTCCCTTTTTTCAGCGCCGTTGTTACTTTGAACAGTCACTAAATGAATGGTTGAGAAGGAACAGCTGTCAAGATGCAGTCCTTCTATTCTACAAAAAGGAAGCAGCATTCTTGGACCCCCTGCCAGGCCTGTTTCCTGACTTGACAGGTGACACCCTTGAGCCAGAGGGCTCAGCTCAGGTGATGTTGCTGTACCTTTCTCCCCCTCCCCCCCACTCCTCTGCAGGAGCTAAGTTGTGGCCGGAGCCCCCTTCACCTGGCGGTGGAGTCCCAGAGCCCTGAAGTGGTGGAATGCCTCTTGCGTGCAGGAGCCGACATCGAGGCACGCATGTATGTGGGCTACACGCCCATGTACAGCGCCGTGCACCGGCCCGACCAAAAGATCCCACAGCTCTTACGGGAATTTGGCTCAGAAGAGCCGGACTGGGATTCCGAGGAAAGCGTGGACAGTAACAGCGAGGTGAGTGATCGTGACAGAGAGGTAAAAGAGTGGAACGGGCCATTCGGAGGGAAGGAAGGAAAAAAGGAAGGAAGGAAGGAAGGAAGGAAGGAAGGAAGGAAGGAAGGAAGGAAGGAAGGAAGGAAGGAAGGAATCAAACAAACAAACAAAGGAGAGAGGAAGGAAAGAATTGAGGGAGGGAGGAAGGAAGGAGTGAGACAAGGGAGAGGAAGAAAGGTAAGGAAGGAAGAGGAGGGAGGAAGGAAGAGGAAGGAAGGAGAAAGACAAGGGAGAGGAAGAAAAGGAAGGAGTCGAGGAAGGAAGGAAGGAAGTCAGAGGGAGACGGAGGAAGGAAGGAAGGAATTATTGGTCAGAGCAAATTGATAGTAGATAAGAGCCAAGGACATAGAAGTTGGGCTGGGCTTAGGCCCCTTGTGGGTGCAAAGGGATTCAAGACTGATGCCACGCTTGACTCTTCCCTCCCTCCGGCTCCGCCTGGTCCTCTCATATAGTAAGATCGACCTAGAGTTGGCCCAGCCAATGGTCTCTTCCTTCTCTCCTCCCCCCCCCCTTCCACCCCGGCGTCCTGCAGGCATCCAACTGTTTTGACCTTTCTCTCCCTAGGAAGAATACGACGACATCGTGATCAATTGTGGCCACTAGAAGGGAGCCCTTTTGCCCACACCGGACTCCACGGAAATTGCCCATGGTGGCAGCTGGCTAGTGTCTCTGTAGGAATTGCATCTTCACTGTGAGCTAGATGTGAAAATTATTTATAAAGGCCGGGACAGAAGGGGAAGCGGCCTTATCTGGCCCGGAGGCGTCCTCTCCACCGTCCCCATTCCGACATGTATCCTCTGTTATTTTTGTCCTGCTTCAGAAATGGATGTCTTTTGTCTCTGATGTTGGTGTCTCGCACTTGCCTGCCTTGACGTTTCAGAATCAATGGGTTTGGGGTATCCTTCGTTAGCAAGGGGCTGGTGGGTGTCCTGAGCAGAGCCTAGTTGTGAAAAAGCCTCGTCTTGTCCCCCTCTTTCTGGAGCACCCTGTCTTTCCTGGGAATGCTCTCGGTCAGATTCGTGGTGTCCCTTTTCCTTCTTAACGTCGGTCCCGGTTTGTGGATCTTGTTCTGGAGGGCCTGAGGATGGGCTCCCGCCTCTTGCGGTCGGAAAGTTGGGGAACTGCCAGGCGCGAACAACGAGATCCACAAGGTGAAGGGTTCCATTAGCTACTTCCTTGTTGGTGGCTTAAATACAGTAATCTGCCCAGATTGGCAGTTTGCACCTGGGTCAGACGAGATGAGCTTCAGCAGCATTGTAGAAGGTCAGACTTTACCCTTTTGTGCCTACGTAGAGATTCCAGACTAGTTCCCTGCTTGACTCCTCCCTGGCTCGGCCAATGTCTTTCCAATAAGAATAAGGTCCCCATCCTGGCACTAGGAAAGTTGTCCTGTCTGGCTTGGTTTTCAACTCGCTGCTGTCCCAATCAGCATGAGATTGTAGGGGGAGCTGTAGTGCTAAATATTTGGACCAATTTTTACCCTGGGCGTAGTAAGGCACAACCTTGGGGGGGGGGGTTTCCTCATAGCAGTTCATGGGGGTTCTTTGGTGTGTGTGTGTGTATGTAGGGAGATCTCTTCCTAAATAAAAGCAGGATTTAGGAAGAGCAACTTTTGATCTTTCTTCTCCATCCTGGGATTGTAAGAAAGTAGAACTTCTGCCCCATTTGGACCAGCAGTAATTCTGTCAGGCCCTGATGAAGGGATGGCCTCAACTCACCTTGTCTGGAAGGGCCGAGTAATTATTGCGCGGATCCACCTCTGGTTGGGCAGTCAGAAACGTGTCCGTGAAAAACTCCCCCCTTAACTTCCAGCGGAAATCAATCCTTTTGGCCAGCCTTCCCTGCTGTTCCAAGGCCGGTTTTATTTCTAAGTCTTGGGAATAACCTGAAGCGCAGACCGACGTCTCGTCTCTCCCTGGTGTCTGACAAGCCCCTGAAAATTCTTTGTCCCCCAAAGGGGACGGTGGATGGCCTCGCCATGAAGGAAAAGATGTCAGTGCAAATTTGGGGCGATTGGGGTCTGGCAGCTAGGACTCTATGGAAAGAACACAGAATTAGAACTCGGAACCTGCTTGGAACTGGAGTTCAACAACAACTGGGGGAGCTGGAGGTTCCCCACCGCTTTCCTAGGGGCCAGCTCCGGAGTGAAGCACCCCCAGGAGTGTCTCTTTAAAATACCCCCTGTGCGTCTTCAGCAAAGCGGAAAGAACCAGGCGTTTGAACTCTGCTCCACCTTGCCGTGTTACTTTTCCGCTCCCCTTCCACGGAGGCTCAGTGCTTTGAAGTTCCAGTGTGGTTTCCTGCGACCTGTTTAAATTTGCATTTATGACTTGGTTCGGTCCCTTCTCTACTTTTTTTCCCCTTTCTCCTCCTTGCCTCTCTCTGTTGATTGTAATCTGTAGGTCTTCCCGAGCAGACAGATTAATAAACCTTACGGATCTTGTGTGTTTTTGTCTTCCTGTTCATTGCTGCTTTGGTGCAGTGACCCCTGCCTGAAAGCTCAGCGGCATAAGACCCACAAGTCAAAAAAACACAACAACACATCCCATCCCAAGTGAGGATGGGCACATTTCCAGATTGAAAGCAAGATAAGTTGCCAGTCTCGGCTGGTCTCGGAGCTTTTGATTGCAGCCTCCTTTGAGACTAAGGGATAAACTGTCGCATGTACATTTCTGCCCCTTCACCTGGAGCAGGGGTAGGCAACCTGGGCTCTTTTATGACTCGTGGACTAGAACTCCCAACCTCCTGGTGATGGGCTTAGTCACCCAGCCAGCTTTCATGCCTAAGGCGGGACTAGAACTCCCAACCTCCTGGTGATTGGCCTAAAGTCACCCAGCCAGCTTTCATGCCTAAGGCGGGACTAGAACTCCCAACCTCCTGGTGATTGGCCTAAAGTCACCCAGCCAGCTTTCATGCCTAAGGCGGGACTAGAACTCCCAACCTCCTGGTGATTGGCCTAAAGTCACCCAGCCAGCTTTCATGCCTAAGGCGGGACTAGAACTCCCAACCTCCTGGTGATTGGCCTAAAGTCACCCAGCCGGCTTTCATGCCTAAGGCGGGACTAGAACTCCCAACCTCCTGGTGATTGGCCTAAAGTCACCCAGCCAGCTTTCATGCCTAAGGCGGGACTAGAACTCCCAACCTCCTGGTGATTGGCCTAAAGTCACCCAGCCTGCTTTCATGCCTAAGGCAGGACTAGAACTCACTTGACTCCCACTTTCTAGCCTAGTGCCTTCACCACTCGACCAAACTAGCTCTTTTAACTGTAGGCGGGGATACATCCCTCTTAACGTGTGTAAAAGCAGAAGCCCTCCTGAAATAAGCTACAGCGAGAGAGATGGACTCAGCGGACACCAGAACACAAGAGAACAGCCGTCTCGGAGGACACAAAGACAACTAGCTCACACACAGAGGCAGTAAGCACTGTCTTAGGTCATTATCTTTATTCGCAGTGTGTGCAGATTGAAGTGCATCTGACGCAATGGTGCAGCAGAATTACTGCAGCGGTTGTGAGGCAAAAGGCAAGCTTACGACAGCAAAATGCAGAGAGGCAACAGGTCACCTCTCCTATGAGTGGACATTTGAAGTTATGGGAGCCCCTGTTAACCCAGAGCAGTAGTTGCTATTTTCACCTCTGGCAACTTGAGAATGGGTGGGCTTCAATTCACACTGGCTGGCCAACGCTGGGAGTTGAAGTCCACCCATCTTCAAGTTGTCAAAAGGGAAAAACACCGATTAAACAAATATTATTATTATTATTTTTATCTTGAGGCACAACACAGAACGGATAGCCTGGTGCCGTTGGACCATCCTTCGAATTGCCATGTGGAAAAGCTGCAATGCAAACTTGTCCACTGGCCATCTAAAGTAACCGAAAACATAGAATAAAATACATCTGTAGCATTAAGCTTTTAGGAGTTGATCAAAGCAAGCAGGGGCTTGGAACAAAGTGTTCCTCGAACCGTCTTCGATAGCCAGATCAAGCTCGTTTACCTGGGAAGTAAGTGACTCCCTGTTTGCGACAAAATGTGAGCCAGGTGGGTATTTGTGGGGTCCGTGGTGCGCTCTGAGCTTGCTTGCTTCCTTGTGGTCGTTTCATTACCCAACTAGGTAACATCATCAAGGCTAGTAGAAGAGAAGGAGAATCGGGGAGTCCTTGGTGCTCTCTGAGCTTGATGGGTTTTTTTGCAAGCCTTTCATGACCCAACTCGATAACATCATCAGTTCCAGAGGGAAGTGGGATTTGTGATCTGTATATATATAAGGGGCTTGCCCTCTCAATGATGGTGGGAGTGTTCTTGATGGTTCCTTACTATGTAATTAACGGTTTGCCTGAGTTGGTAGTTCCTCCTGCCAAGTTCCTTTCACCCAGTGTTTCTCAACCTGGACCATTTTAAGACATGTGGACTTCAACTCCCAGAATTCCACAGCCAGCATTGCTGGCTGTGGAATTCTGGGAATTGAAGTCCACATGTCTTAAAATGGTCCAGGTTGAGAAACACTGCTTTAACCCTTTAATCAAGGGACTATGAAGAGAGCAAGCGCTCTGCCTCCCAGCACTGATGATGTTACCTAGCTGGGTTACGAAACGTCTGCAAGAAAACCACCAAGCTCAGAGGGCACCCAGGATCGCAGAAGAAACCAACACTGACAGGGCAAACCACTTGTACACAAACAGAGAGAGTAAACCTCAGTCCTTTCTCGTACTGAAGATGCTACCTTGTTGGGTCATGAAACATCTGCAAGAGAATTACCAAGCTCTGCGGACATCAAGGACTCCACTTTTCTTCTTCTCCTTCGCTTTTCTCCTCCTTCTCCTCTTCCTTCTTCCTCCTCCTCCTCTCCACAAACCCCACTCCCTTCTAGCCCTGATGACGTTCCCTAGCTGGGTCACAAAACATCTGCAAGAAAACCACCCAGCCCAGAGAGCATCCAGGACCCCAGCCCTGAGCTACGAATATTCTCTTCTTTATTCTCACTGTAAGCAAGGGGGAAACTTCATTAACAGTCTAAAGCCAAGCTGAATACAAAGATCAGAGAGAGAGAGAGAGAGAGAGAGAGAGAGAGAGGGAGGGAGGGAGGAGAGGGGGCTGATAGAAGGCTACTTGATCGAGAGCAGAGGATTTCTCCTACCCTCCCCAGCTCCTGAGGCAGCTGCAGGATTTAACCCCGCTTCAGTTCTTCTAGATTGTCGGCTGCCCACTTCAGCTGCCGTTCTATCTCTTCCAGTTTCTCCACCTCCTGAGCCTAAAGGGAAAAGCAACACACGAGAAAAGAATTTAGTTAAAAGAGAGAGAGGGAGAGAGGGAGGGAGGGAGGGAGAGAGGGAGAGAGGCAAGGTTGCCTACCTCTAGCCTGGGCCTAGGCTGCTTTATGACTGGTGGACTTCAACTCCCAGAATTCCTGAGCCAGCCAAGTTGAGGGGAAAGGGAGAGGTTTCCAAGCTGAGCCAAGCTGGCTCAGGAATTCTGGGAATTGAAGTCCACGAGTCATAAAAGAGCCAAGGTTGCCTACCCCTGCCCTAGTTTGAAGAGGCAAGAGTGTTTCCGAGCTACAAAAAAGTTTTGTGCATTTTGGGAGTTGAAGTCCACAAGTCTTAAAGTCGCCAAGGTTGGCCCCCTCTGTCCTAAACCAACCCTATTTAGGAGAAAACTTTCAGAAGCCTAGATCTTTACTTCCTCCTGGATCTTTTTTTATTTTCCCATTCCCTTTCTCCTTCCTTGGTATTTGAAAGTAGAAGCCACCAGAACTGAATTGAAGCCTTTTTAAAATCAAACCAGCTGATAGGTGCTCAAAACAACTCTACCTGGAGACCAACCTTCCTCTGCCTGGTGTCCTTCTCCTCCTCCTCCTCCTCCTCTTCCTCCGGAGCGCGGTGTCTGCCCTTCGGATCCACTTCCTCCTTCCCATGTCTCTTCCTCAGCTCCAAGCCAACCAATGGATGGTGGTGGCCATGTCTCGTCTTGTCGTCGTCGTTGTCCTCCTCCTCTGCATCTTCCTTCCATGGCTTCCAGCTTTTATGGAGGTGGGCCCTGGAGCTTTGAAGGCCCTTCTCTTCTTCGAACTGGGCGGTCTCCTCATCGCTGGCCTTCTCCGCCACCCTCTTGGCCACAGTAGATCTTTCCTCCTCTTCCTCCCAGCTCTCATCCTCACTGTGTCCTCCCGGATGGTATTTCTTCTGCTCCTCTTCTTCTGAAGGGTCATCCCTCTCTTCCTCACCCATCCTCAAGCGTCTCTTGCCCACTTCCTCTCTCTCCTGGCCTTCTTCCTCTCCCCGAAGCATCCCCTTTCTGATTTGGGGCTGCCTAGAACCTCTTTTCTTGACGTGGCCAAAATATTCCTTCGAGGACCACGTCTCCGAGGCGGTCCTCTCCTTCGTTTCTTTCTCCTCCTGCTCCTCCTCTACGTCCCGTTCCTCCAAAGAGTCTTGACCATCTTCCTTTTGGGAGACCTTGATTTTCTCCTGGGGTTTTTTAGTTTTCTCATCCTTCTTCATCACTTCCTTCTCCTCCTCCTCCTCCTCCTCCTCCTTCTCATCTTCTTTCTTTCTGCCAGCTCGCTCAGCTTCTTTCTGCTGAGCAAGCCCATCGCTCTTCTGGAGTTCTCCTTGTTGCTGTTCTTCCCCAGAATTGTGGTTAATTTCATGGGCCAGGAGATGCTTCGCATTTTCTGGGAAAGGAACGGAAGACACGGAGCAAAAGTAAACGTAAAAAATAAAAGACACGGGGACAGTTTTTTCCCCTCGTGCCATCGCTCTGCTGAACATCTGATTCTCACAGCGCTGTCCACGTCTATGTATCTTTACCCGTGCTGCAATGCTTGTAAGTGTGAAAAACTTATAACTTGTATAAAAAAGAAACTCTTAAGTCTCTTTTTTCACTTCCGTTATAACTTTGAACAGTCAGTAAATGAACTATTGCAAGTCAAGGACTACTTGTCTGTCCCCAGAAGGAAACTGACGTTCTACCTCTGAAAACTGTTATCATGTTTTGCATCTGCCCGCAGATGTTCCCCTCCTACATCTAACCGCTATTTTGGAGAATATGCAGAATGCAAAACGTCGGGAATTCCCTTTCGGTGGGCCCGTTTCTCAGACTTTACAACTAGGATGCCCATTGGTTGAACTTCCAGTTGGTTCTTTTCCAGAAGGAGAAAGGTAATGGTCCAGAGTGTAGCTCCTGAGTCCACACACACACACACACCCAGACACGAGTGGCCCCTGGACGGTATCTTAACCCCCCCCCCCCCGTGCACCCTCCATCTCCACCTGGCAAAGAACTGAACTCAAAAATTAAGTTGCTGACCTTGATGGGCAAGTTCCTCCAACTCAGTCAGAAGATGCCGATGTTGAAGCAGCGCGAGGACTCTCTCGTCTGAAATGGAGCTCGGGTTAACCCTCCCAAGAGTAACAAATGCACGAGTGCGCACACAATGCAAGCAACTCACAGCATGCAATGTTGAGATACTGGAACGTGGGAAAGAGCTTGGGAGACTGGACAAAAAAGGAGCAGACGGACAGAGATAGCGTTGCCCTTAGACTTACAAGATTGATGCCTCCTCGTGGGGTTAAACCAGAGAGGCGTCACAACCAGATGAACTAATTCTACTTCGTTGTAAATAGCAATCGCACTTAGACTTATATACAATTTCACAGTGCTTTACAGCCCTCCCTAAGCAGTTTGGGGACTCAGCACGTCGCCCACAACAATCTGGGTCCTCGTTTTACTGACCTCGGAAGGACAGAAGTCTGAGTCAACCTCGCGCAGGTCAGGATCGAACTGCTCGCAGTGGGCAGAGCCAGCCTGCAATGCTGCATTCTAACCACTGGGCCACCAGGGCTCTTCTCTAATGCTAGAGAATCTTGCAAGTCTGAAACAATATTGTCCCCCCCGGTCTCCGTTACCAAGCAAGAAACTAGGGAGGGTCTCTTCTGAACCTCACTGGGGTGTGTGGGGGGGAGGGAGGAGGAGTCCTTGGTGCTCCCTGAGCTTGGTGATTTTCTTGCAGATGTTTCACTACCAAACTAGGTAACATCATCAGTGCTAGAAGGGAGAGGGGTTTGTGGAGGAGGAGGAGGAGGAGGAGGAGGAGGAGGAGGAGGAGGAGGAAGAGGAGGAGGAGACTGTGGGGTCCTTGGTGCTTTCTGAGCTCGGTAGGTTTTTGCAGACATTTCACTACCCAACTAGGTAACATCATCAGTGCTAGCGGGGAGTGATGGAGGAGGAAGACCCCCAATTCTCCACTTACCCTCCCTCAGGATCTTCATGCATTCGCTGGTCACCGGCATTGGGCTGGATCTGGAAAGGGCATCTGCTAAGATTTCTGAGATGCATTTAACCACCTAGCCAGAAAACACAGAAGACCGGAAGTTAGTGATGGAAGCTATTTTGAGTCTCTCTCTCTCTCTCTCAGCCCAGCTTCTGGTCCACATCTGGCACTGAAGACCTTCTCTTCTCTCTTTCCTCACTTAGGTAAAGTTCCTGGGGTTTCAAAAGCTCTGCAGCTGTCCCACAACCGAAACACCCCAACATCCTCAGAGAAACCTTATGTCGACGCTGCTAACATCAGATGTTTTTGCTTTGACAACAGTTAGAGATGCAGCCATTTTCTTATGTTTTACTTTTAGAGTTAGATGATGCTGGGGGGGGGAGGAATGTGCATGAGAATTTATAGACATAATAATATTGGACCTGGTGTGAGAACCAAGGTAAATGAAATAAGAGATGATAAGAATTGGCGGGCTGGAGAACTGGAGGGAAGGCCTGCATTTCAAACTAATTGGGGAATGTGATTTATGACTGTGAATTGGAGGAGGGAATTGTGCTTTGATACTATGTGCTCAGGGGAGGGGAATCCAGTTTTTGGCTTCCACCGAGTTAGTGCCGATGCCATGCTACTCAAATAAAGATTCTTTAAGGTAAACAATGCCTCAAAGTTCTTCGAAGAGTTTCATCTGTCGGAACCGTGACACTTTGCCTGTTGCAGGCCAACCCAACCCTCCCAGCAAAGTTCATCTCTCCCACCTCCTCTTCCATTATACAGGTAGTCCTCGATTTACAACAGTCCATTGGAGGAAGCTGGATGCGCTTAACGACAGCCGACTCACTTAACAACTGCACTGATTGGCTTAACAGCAGGAGGCAAAAAAGGTCGTAAAATCAAGCACAACCCACTTAAGGACCTCCTGGCTTAGCCACAGAAATCCTGGCCTCGGCTGTCGTCATAAATCGAGGACTACCTGTGTATTCTTCGCTCTCCTTCCCTTCCCTTTACCGTTTCATCCTCCTTGGACAGCTGAGCAGGGACGGGCAGAGAAAATGCTGGGGGGGAAAAAAGAGAAAACATTATAGTCTGCCAAATATTCAAACATACCTACATTTCAGTAGCAAAACACAAAGTGCTGGGTTAGCTTGCTAGGGTTTGAAATCATGACTGCTCTGATATTAATCTGACTTTCCTTTCTATGACATGGGAATAAAAGAGCAGGGGCTGGGAGCTTTCTAATTTAGTTATGTGGATAAAAGAACAGAATCAGAGTTGGAAGAGACCTGGGAGATCTTCTAGTCCAACCCCCTGCTCAGGCAGGAAACCCTATACCATTTCAGACAAATGGTTGTCCAGTCTCTTCTTAAAAACGTCTAGTGTTGGAGCATTCACCGCTTCTGGAGGCAGGTGGTTCCACTGGCTAATTGTTCTGTCAGGAAATTTCTCCTCAGTTCCAGGTTGCTTCTCTCCTTGATGAGTTGCTTCTTCTCCTGCCTTCAGGTGCTTTGGAGAATAGCTTGACTCCCTCTTCTTTGGGGCAGCCCCTGAGATATTGGAAGACTGCTATCACGTCTCCCCTAATCCTTCTCTTCGTTAAACTAGACATATCCAATTACAGCAACCATTCCTTGTATGTTTTAGCCTCCAGCCCCGATCATCTTTGTTGCTCTCCTCTGCACTCTTTCCAGAGTCTCAACATTTTTTATAAATCAAGGTGACCAAAATTGGATGCCGTCTTCCAAGTGTGGTCTTCCCAAGGCCTTATAAAGCGGTATTAGCACTTCATGTGATCTTGATTCTATCCCTCTGTCAGATGTATCGTGCAAACCAATGGAAATAGCTTTTCATCGCAGAATGCAGGCAAAATTGCTTTCTCTGAAAGTGCCCTCCTTTTAAAAGACAAAATAAAAAGCAGACTTGAAGAGGCTTAATTTCCAAAAAGCTAATTGGGTCCGTGTTGCCCGGCATCACAGCTCCAAACTCTCATCAGCCCTCATGGCGGGAAGCAGAGGTTTATGGTGTCCTCATCCTGTCCAGATGTGGTAGGAACACAGCCTATTGAATGGCATCTGTTGGGTGAGAGAAGAGACAGCTGTTCGGGGACTTTAAAAGGACTTCCGTTGTGGTTCGGTGGCACGCTTCAATTGTTAAGCCAGGTACATCTTGTGCCGAATCGCTTTGCAAAAAGAGACTGTTCATTTTTCTTTGGAGCTGTTGTAGATCAAGAGAACCAAAGTAGATTCTTGTTTAAAGCAAGATGTTCCTCCACTGCCAATCTTCCTCCATCTCCACTTTGAAGTGCAAACCTCCTCTCCCCTCTTCCTTTATTCCAGTGGTTCTCAACCTTTTTAATGCCGCGACCCCCAACCGGTCGTAAGTCCAGGACTACTCAACCGGTCGTAAGTCCAGGACTACTCAACCGGTGCAGCACCGTTTGCAGAATGGGACTTTTGGCGGGCTCAGCAGGGCAGAGACAGCCTGGACAATTCCTATTGGCTTTTGAAAGCCAATAGAATTAGACTCTATTCAAGAGAGTCTATTCTATTGGCTTTCAAAAGCCAATAGAATAAAAGGGAGTAGCACAGCTAAGGAAAAGGGGGAAAAAATGGCGGACTGCGTTGTTTGGCGACCCCCGTGAAATGGTCGTTCGACCCCAAATGGGGTCCCGACCCACAGGTTGAGAACCGCTGCTTTATTCCTTTTCTTTCTTCCTCCCTCCCTCCCTTCCCCATCCTGCTCCCCCTTCCCCCTTCTTCTTTTATTTTCATATCTCCCTTCCTGGGCTAAAAGGCCCATAAGAAATGAGACCGATTAAAACCCAGAGTTGCCCAACCGTGGCGACTTTTAAGACCTGTGGACTTCCAACGCTCAGAATTCCCCAGCCAGCCATGCTATTCCACATGCAGGCTGAGGAATTCTGGGAGTTGAAGTCCACAGGTCTTAAAAGTTGCCAAGCTGGATGACACCTATCTCCTTTTTATATCTCCATTCAAGAAAAGCCTTTCGGTTGTTTCATTTGGGGACACCCAGCTGCTGTTCAAGAAAACACCGGCAGGGGGTAGCCCAAGCTCAATTCAGAACAACAGTGAATCTTTTTCAATTTTATTATTTATAAAATGGATACACTGCCTCTCTCGCTGTCCCGTGACTCTGGCCAGCTTGTGACCCGATGTTAAATAATTCTCCCAACACCCCGTTAATGTCCCCTTTACAGATCCACTGTTGGTTTTTAAAAGAAGCCACGGTCAAGGAAGGGGCTGAATTGGAAGATCTCCAAGGTCCCTTCCAAGTCTTTTATTCTGTAATTCTGTAGGAAGGACCAAGTGATTCCACTGATAACTGAAGGGGGGGGGGCTGTTGCAAAGAAGGCTGACATTATGGGGTTAGTAATCTCTGGAGATTTTACCCCTCCCCCCACAGTTTAGGAAGAGAGGACTTAAGTTTTTCAGGTGTGCCAGTCTTACTTACATAAGACTTACATAATGCTGGAGACTGCATAACAACAGTACCCAAAAATAACAATAACCCAAAATGAAACATCTGGAAGCAGCTCCCTCCCTCCCCATCCATTCCCCCCCACAGCCCCAATTAATTCTGTTTCCTTCTAAAAATATTGTGTTCCTGATTCCTACTTTTACTGATCTGCGTAAGATTGGAATTGGGTTTTTTTCCATGCCCTCCTTCCTTTAGGAGCGCAGTCCCAGCCTGAAATGAGAAACTCGGGATCTCATCAGCACTTCAAACTCCCAGAATCCCCCAATTGCCCAGTTTTGTTGAAGAATTATGGGAGCTGAAATCTACACAGCTGAAGGCAGGCAGTCTAGGGCAGGGGTAGGCAACCTTGGCTCTTTTATGACTCGTGGACTTCAACTCCCAGAATTCCTGAGTCAGCGATGCTGACTCAGGAATTCTGAGAGTTGAAGTCCACGAGTCATAAAAGAGCCAGGGTTGCCGACCCCTGATCTAGGGACTTCTGGGATTGATCCGTCTCCCATTACAACTAACCGACAGACTGCATTGCCCAAGAAACCCATCAAGCCTTTTGGCCAACTTTCAAAATACAAAATGCAGCTAGTCTGTGGCCAAGCCCCAAGCAGCAAGTCCAATTTACACAACCCAAGTATTTTAGGAACAGAAAAGGGGAGGGCTGTGTGTCTGTGCTTTAAAAATTCCCTGCATAGGGGGAAAAAAAAGGCAGGATTGAAGGATTCAACCTCCTCGGGATTGAAAAACGCTGCTCTCCAGGGTGCTGAAACACACACACCCCCCAGTTGGAATCCCGTCCAAGTTCCGAAAAGACCATGATTGGCGCAGCGCTGGCCCAAACACAACTGTGCCTTCATCAGAACGAAATCCAGCTCTAAACCGAGAGTTGTTTTAGGGGAACGGGACCACCCCCACACCCCACCCACACCCCTCAACCCACTGCCAATAAAACAGCTTGGTATTGTCAGACTCCATATGGCATTTTAAAAAAGGAGGCAAATTTGGGAAAAGAGCCATCAAAACAGAGGGAATAAAAGGAACGGGGCAGGGGGGGAGGGCGATTGAAAAAAAAATGGAAAGCATTTTAAAAAAAACCAACACAAGTGCAACTGGGGAAGAGCGAGCAGCATTCAAGGAGGAGATTGAGAGAGTTTTGAGGGTCACTCTGGAGTGATGAAAGGTTTGAAGAAGCTGGTAGAAGTGATAATCTACTTCTAGCTTCCAAGCTAGGATTTGCTATTTTTGTAGGCATGAAAGATGCAAACGAATCGGGGTAGTCTTCTCCTATATCCTGCTGTTTTTAAGTAGAGCAGACTCAAACTCCTGTAAGCCCCAGCAGTATCTGGGCAGGTAAGAGAAGGCTCTCTTGAGCAGGGGGTTGGACTAGAAGACCTCCAGGGTCCTTTCCCAGCTCTATAATTCTAAGACTTACAGCCCCATAAATGGGAAGGTAACAGTTGGGGGGGGGAACAATTGAAATAAGGTATATTTTAACTCTAACCACCAAGAGAAGATTTTCAAGAGGAGACTGGACAACCATTTCTCTCAACTGGTATAGGGTCTCCTGCTGGAGCAGGGGGTTGGACTAGAAAACCTCCAAGGTCCCTTCCCACTCTTGTTATTCTGTTAGAATACATTCCCAAGTCAGACTCTTTTCCTCCAAGCCCCCCCCCAAAAGGAAAAAACATTAGATCTCATCATCCCAAGAAGCACTTTTTTTCCCGGCTTTGCTCCCTTCGGGCAAAAATCATGCCCTTTTTGGGAGGGGGTGGGGAAAATCAGCAGGAAAGACTTTGGGGAACATGGCTACAAAACCTGGAGTCCGCACCCCAACCGAGGCGATCCTCCCAGGCCACCAGGCTCCTGGGCTGACCTGCATTTTAAGTTGAAGAAGGAACACTTGGTGGGCTGCACCGGGGCTGCTTAAGTGCTTAATGGAGCAAGATCAGAAGACGGGGGGGGGGAGACTTTGGAGAGGACCATTCGGCTTCCTTCTTTCACGGGGATGGAGAGCCGAAGGGGCTGGAAGGGAAGGGATGGAAACCACGCATGGGACTTACCTGGGCAGAGGAAAAAGAGCCGAAGAGAGACTCCGAGGGACATCATAGCTCAAGCTTGCCTCTCTGTCCCTCTTGGACTGGTGGAGGGTTTTTAGAGGAAGGGGAGAGAGAGAAGAAAAACCACAGAAAAGTCTGCAAAAAGGGGGGGCGAGAACCCCACGCAAAGCCTGCTGCAACGTCCTTGGATGGGGGAGCCTGAAGGACTTATTTGCGTGTGGAACTGAACAGAGTCGCATCGGAGACTTTGGAAAAGGGGGCGGGGGAATGCTAAGGAGGAGGATGGGGAGGAAGTGATGTCACCTGCTCCTAACAGAAGGTTGAGGGGCTGGGAGGGGGGAGGGTCTCCTTACCTGGGTGCTCATGAGACCCCTCCATTTAAAAAAATAAAATTAAAATAAACACCTCCCTTTCCAGTGGTTGAGAGAGAAGTCATGCATGATTTAGCATCGCCTACAAAGCAGGTTGTGTATGTCCGGCCCGAAAGAGGGGAGGGGGTCATTTTATGCAACCCGAGGAGGGTAAGGGAGGAGAGGAAGGAGGATTTGAAGCAGGGGGGGCAGGGGGAAACGGGTTTTCAGAAGGAAAGCATCCCAAGCCTTGGCAGTGCGTCGTCGCAAGCGCACATTGAAATTTAATGCTAAGTTGCATTAAACTAGGGCGATCTCCATGCGTGGCAACTTTGGAAGACTTGTGGATGTCAATTCTCAGAATTCCCCAGCCAGCAGTGTGTGTGTGTGGGGGGGGAGAATAGCATGCCTGGCTGGGGAATTCTGGGAGTTGAAGTCCACAAGTCTTATAAAGTTACCGAACTTGGAAAGCCCTGGTTTAATGCAACATTGTCTATTTGAACATCACGTGCTTAAGACGAGTGGGGGGGAAAAATGATCAAAGGCCTGGAAAACTAAAACATACGAAGAACGGCTGCAGGACTTGGGTGTGGCTAATCTAGAGAAAAGAAGAAATAGCGGGGACACGATAGCAGTATTCCAGAATTTGAGGGGCTGCCACAAAGAAGAGGGGGGTCACGTTATTCTCCAAAGCACCTGAAGGCAGGAGAAGAAACAATGGTTGGAAACTGATCAAAGAGAGAAGCAACCTGGAATTAAGGAGAAACTACCTGACAGCGAGGACAATTAACCAGTGGAACAGCTGGACATCAGAAATTGTGGGCGCTCCATCGCTGGAGGTTTTTAAGAAGAGGCTGGACAGTCACTTGTCTGAAATGGTATAGGTTCTCCTGCTTGAGCAGGGGGCTGGTCTAGAAGACCTCCAAGGTCCCTTCCAGATTCTATTCTATTCTATTCTATTCTATTCTATTCTATTCTATTCCATTCCTTCTAATTCTATTCTATTCTATTCTGTTCCGTTCCATTCCATTCCATTCCGTTCATTCTAATTCTACTCTACTCTATTCCATTCCATTCCATATTCTATTCTACAATCTGTCAATACTAATTCCTATTCTATTTTCTATTCCATATTCTATTCTATTCTGTCTATTCCAATTCCAGTTCCAATTCCATTCTATTCTAATACCCAGCCAGCTTTCATGCGCAAGATGGGAATAGCACTGTCTCCTGGTGATTGGCCCAGTCAGTCAACCACCTTTTGTACCTAATGTAGGGCTAGAACTCACCAACTCCTAGTTTCTACCCTGATCTCCCAGTTTCCCCTCCCGTAAAGTCGTTCTACTCCCGAAGCTCATCACGGAAGCAAAGCTGCTCTTTATGTGAACTATCGTGCCCACCCCCTCAACCCGTGGCGGCTACATAAGACCTGAAAGCATCCGTATCAGCTTTCATAAGACCTGTCAGCTTCCCCCCCCCCCTTGCTGGCCCAGTTATATTTATAAGCCACAACTGCCCCCTTTTGCTCCAGACAAGCTTATTTGGAAGAGTAGTTTCCATGGCAGCCTGCTCCCCCCTCCCTTGACTTGCTGTGACCAGCTGCACCTGTTGATCTTCCTTTTGTAACAGGCCTTTGTTCTGAAGTCACGCGGGGAGGCCCCCCCCCCTGTAGCGTGCAACCTAGTTGTTGTGAAACAGGACGACAGCTGCTGGGCAGAACTCAGTTGAGAGATCACGCAACAACTGGAGTTGCTGGGGGGCACACCCCGCAGCAGCTGGTGGCTCCCCTCAAAACGGGTCTTTATCCCAGCCCTGGGGGTGTGTGGGGGGGGAAATCCAGGGGGCCCATCCCCAACTGAAGAGCGCCAGGGGCAAGGACAGCCCGGTTTTGAAGGGGTGCAGATAAAACGAGACTTTTCACTCAAGGCCACAGGATAAAACAGTGAAAAGATCACCGGGAATCTTATTTATTTACATCTGTTATTTCCAGCCCTCTCCTTCCCGGTCGAGATAGCCTGCCGGGATTTGAGATGTGGGCTGTTTCCAAAGACCTGAATTTCCAGGGGGCGGAAAGAGTACAGGAACGAACGTTAAGATGGGTGCAGAAGAAACTAGAGGCTGAAATAACCGTTCTGCTCCCCCACTCAGGGACTCCCCCCCCATCTCGAAAATAAGTCTCCGTCCTTAAGAGAGGCACTAGCGAGGCCTGGCTAAAGCGGTACCGAGGCACCCCTTGTGCAGAAGAGGCAGTTCCTTAAAAGACACCTCTGTTAGAAAACCAGAGTCCCTGCCAGCTGGGTTGATGGGTCATCTCTGGAAGACCCCCAGAGGCCCCCCCAGAAGGGGAACCACTCCGAAACAGAACGGCGCAAGGAAGCGCCTTTCTCCATTGGCGACTTTTACGGAGAAAACCGACGCAATGCGCCAGGCAGAAGTACAGCCCTTCTGCTAGCCCGGAGGGGCTGCCCCATTCCGCAGCAGGATCGGGCCCCTAACGGAGGGTCCTCACTCGTTCTGAGTTTTCCAGATTGGTTTCTTCCCTTTCTTGAACTGGTTGGGACCGATGTATTTCAACAGGACGTGGCTGGGTTTGGTGATGACCTCGGCGCCCATCAGAGGCTGCAGGACTGATGGGATCTGAACACTGCCATCCTGGGCAAAGGAGAAGATGGGGTCAAAAGCAAAAAAGAAAAAAGAAAAAGATTCCCTGTGCGTGTGGTAGTCCTTGACTTACGACTGCCACCGAGGCCAGAATTCCCACTGCCAAGCAGGACAATTTTTTAAGCGAGTCACGCTCAAATGTCTCTTTTTGGGGGGGGTGACGGTTGCTAAGCGAATCACTGCACTTGTTATTGACAGGGTCGTTAAGCAAAGCTGGCTTGCCAATGGCGATTTTGTGACCCAAGGTGATGCAACCGTCACACATACAAAATCTGGGTTATCAAGCATCCACATTTTGATCCTGTGACCAGGAAAATACTGCGCTGGTCGTGACCGGTCACAAACGCCCTGAGTACCGCTGCAACTTCAAACTGTTGCTAAACGGATGTTGTGAGTAAGTCAAGGACCATTTCTTCCTGTTTTATTTACAGTAGGGATGTTCCTGAGAGCGAGGTTGACCTTGGCAAGGATTCAGCCGTGATTCTGACTTATTCCTGCAACTCAAAACTGGACTGGCGAGGGCCAAAGAAAACCAGCGTTCATTAAGATGTATTTAACAGCTTTCCCCCAAAGCTGGTGCCTTCCCGGTGTGTTGGGACTACAACTCCCAGCATTCCCCCAACCAGCTTGGCTATTCGCTCTGCGCCCTGGGAGCAGGTCATCCAGATTGGACAAGGATAGAACCAGTGCATGGTAAGGTCCTCACTATTTTATCATCACAGGAAGGAAGCTGCGATGTTTTCCCAAGCATTCTATCCTCCCTGGCTGGCTAGGAATTCTGGGAGTCGTAGTCCCAAGGCACCCAGAGAGCGCTCCAGCTAGGGCAAGGCTGCCATATTCTATGGAGCCTATGCCAGGGGTAGGCAACCTTGGCTCTTTTATGACTCGTGGACTTCAACTCCCAGAATTCCTGAGCCAGGAATTCTGGGAGTTGAAGTCCACGAGTCGTAAAAGAGCCAAGGTTGCCTACCCCTGGCCTACGCCAAGCAAACACCCCCCTCAACAAACCTTGAGTTGGTTGGACTCCAGGATGGCAATGACCATCCGGGGAATCGCGCAAGCAGTTCCGTTAACCTGTGAAAGCACAAAATGGGTCGTGAACATTTGGCAACTGGGCACACGAAGCCCCCAGCCCCAAGATCGCCCAGAGTGCTTTCTCCCTTTGCAGCCCCCCCCCACCCTCTTTATTCTGGAGACATTGCCCCCCCCCACTCCCCAGGGTCTCCCTGGACCGAGCTTACAGTATGTGCGAAGCTGAGCTGCTGTTTCTCATCGTAGTACATGATGTTCAAGCGCCGCGACTGGAAATCAGTGCAATTAGAGAGGCTGGATATCTAGAGGGGGAGGCAAGAATGGAGGAGGGCAAGGAGCACGGTGGGCAGGCGGAACAGAAACAATCCCACCTCCATCTTATTTATGTCTCCGTTCCTTTCCCATCTACTTTTTTTGTAATGTTTTTTTTTCACATTCTCAATGTTTTGCACGGCTCTTTTATGAGGTTATAAAGCACCCAGAGTTGCTTGACAGTGAGATGGGGGGGGAATATAAATTTAATAAATAAATGTGATAAAAAGAAATACACTGATGCAGCCATGAAGTTGTACTGTACTTAGAACAGGCTGTGCCCTATAGCTCAGAAGTGTTTATGAGGGGGGTTTAATGCTTGTTTCTCAGGCTGGGACAATCAGAAGTGAAGGGCTGTTTCTTTTGCACATATCCTGGGACTTCTAGAAGTAGTGGCTGCTCCAACATTGGAGGTTTTTAAGAAGAGACTGGACAACCCTTTGTCTGAAATGGTTTCTTGCTTGAGCAGGGGGCTGGACTAGAAGACCTCCAAGGTCCCTTTCCATCTGTTATTCTCAGTTGGAGCGGCTTATAACCAAAATGAAGAAACAAAAGAAAACAAGAATGGACAAACAAAGAAAGCTGGGCCCAAAGTGGGCTGGACTTAATCCAGCAGACGATTCCAGAGACGGTGAATTCTTCTCTTTCACACCTGGAGCAAAACAGGTGAGTTTCCCGGGAGAAAACTCCCAAGCTGTTAATGCTTGACCACCAGCAATAATTCCAGCACGGATACCAAACCAGTGGTGCATCCAGAGGTAGGTCAATCAAACCTTTGGACCACCATCTTGATTTTTTCCCCCCACCAACCCGTAGCGCAACCTCCCACTCCCCAAAGCCTAGGCCTTGTGACCCCCCCTCACCTCTCCGTACTGGTTCCGGCCGGGCATCCAGGCCTCAATGTCAAATTTCCTGAAGGCAGACAGGCCCAGTTCGTGCGGGGGCATGTCCAGAACTCTGCCACAAAGAGAGGCTGGTCAGAACAAGCGCCGCAGCCATAAAGGAACAGCCTGAAGCCCCTTTGCGCCGTCTTTATCCATCTGGCTCCTTGGATGGGGAGGTAGGGTTTACTGTGAACTCCTCCACAGTGTACAGATAGTCCTCAACTTACAACCACAGTGGAACCCAAAATTTTCTGTTGCTAAACGGGACAGCTGTTCCACTGAGTTTTGCCCCATTTTACGACCTTTTCTTGCCCCACTAGTGAAGTGAAACACTGCAGTTATGTTAGTAAACCGGTGAATCTGGATTCCCCGATTGACTTTGCTTTCCGAAGGATGCAAAAGGGGATCGTACGACCCCGGGGATGCTGCAGCCGTCATAAAGAAGGGGCTCGGACAGATTCCGTGTGAACTGTAAGTCCACTACGTCTCCTTACTTGTAGTGTAATCCCAGCTCCAGGAAAATCTCTTTCTGGAGGGCGAGGAATTCCTCCATCAAGGCACTGCTTTCGAAGCCCGTCTCATTGGCGGTGACCCCAAACATTTCCACCTGGGTGAATGCAGGAAGGAGAAAAGGGTGACCTCCCAGAATTCCCCAGGCAGCATGCATTAAGATGGGTGGACCTCAACTCCCAGAATCCCCCAGGGAGCATGCTTTAAGATGTGTAATTCCAACTCCCAGAATCCCCCAGGCAGCATGTGGTATTCGAAGCAGAACATCCAGATTCAGTCACAGTTTTGTTCCATACAGTGTTAACCTTGTGAACTCTAAAGCTTCCTCCTTCCGTGATGTATTCGAGATGGACAGTGAATAATGTTTATATGGTACTTATATGTAAAGGTGTAGTAGATCTATACATATGTTGTATATAGCATGTTTAAATGGGTGTTATGTATGTGTACACTTTTGAGAGCCAGCAACTAAATTTCATTTTTAATGTGGGCCATTGTGCCCACAGTAAAAAATGACAATAAAGGTTATCTATCTATCTATCTATCTATCTATCTATCTATCTATCTATCTATCTATCTATCATCCATCATCTATCTATCTATCTATCTATCTATCTATCTATCTATCTATCTATCTATCTATCTATCTATCATCCATCATCTATCTATCTATCTATCTATCTATCTATCTATCTATCTATCTATCTATCTATCTATCATCTATCTATCTATTATCTATCTATCTATCTATCTATCTATCTATCTAACTATCTATCTATCTATCTATCTATCTATCTATCTATCTATCTATCTATCATCCATCCATCCACCCACCCACCCACCCACCTACCTACCTACCTACCTACCTACCTACCTACCTATTTGCCAAGTGTGGCAAATTTTGAGTCAAGCCGGCCTCACCTTGTTGAACTGGTGCACTCGATAGAGACCCCAAGGTTCCTTGCCAGTCTGAGTTTCTGCTCGGTAGCAAGTGCTGGAACACACTATCCTGGCCAAGAGAAAAAAAGAGGATAAATCACGCTGGCGGGTGCAGATGAGGCCTTCCCACCTGCCCCATAAAGATCTGTTGGAAGTTAGTTTTTTTTTAAAAAAAAAAAAAAAACAGATATCTGGAAAAATCTAGGAAGCTAAAAGGGCAATTCTGAAGGTGTGAATGCACAGAAAGCACAACACCGACTCACCTGACGGGTAGATCCTTCAAAGCTACGGCATGGTCTGCAAAATAACCTGGAGAAGATAAAAACAGAAAGAAAAAAAATGGGAGTGATAGAACCTTTGTAGCTCAGAATCAAACAGTGGAATGTTTGCAGATTTCTTAATTAAAGAAATCCCATTTTTTTTGTCCTTGGTCTTTGTCACGTTTGGGGCTTCCTTGCAGATGTTTCATGACCCAACTAGGGAACATCATCAGTGCCAGAAGATGAGCCATCAAATAATCAAACAGTAAACAACAGCCTGATCAAGGAACCATCAAGAACCTTCCCAGTGACAGAGCAAGCTCTTTGTATATAAACAGAGAGCAAACCCTTCTTGCACTGATGATGTTACCTAGCTGGGTCATGAAACGTCTGCAAGAAAGCCACCGAGCTTAGAGAGCACCAAGGACCCCTCAGTCCTCCTCCCTTCTAGCACTGATGATGCTACCTAGTTGGGTCATGAAACGTCTGCAAAAAAACCTCCAAGCTCAGAGAGCACCAAGGATCCCCTTCTCCTCCCCACAAAACCCCCTCCCTTCTAGGACTGATGATGTTACCTAGTTGGGTACTGAAACATTTGCAAAGAAACCACCAAGATCAAAACCCCAAAGTTTTCATTGTCCTCTTCCTCTCCGCAACCCTGCTCCCTTCTAGCACTGATGGTGTTACCTTGTTGGGTCATGAAACGTCTGCAAGGAAACCACCCAGCTCAGAGAGCACCAAGGACCCCGCTGTCCTCCTCATGGCCCCTCCTTCTCCTCTACTCCGTATAACCCTCTCCCTCAAGCACCGATGTGGCCCCCAAATTCATCCTTGACCAGAGGCCAAAAGACTTCCCTGTTTTGACCATACCTGCAATGCCAACCTCGGATGTTCCCGCCAAGTTCAGATCCTCAAACCGGGACGGGTCTATGCTATACACGAGGGAGGAGTGGACTTCAGGTAATATGCCACAGCCTTCCTGATAAACAGAAGACACTGACAATGTTACCTAGTTGGGTCATGAGATGTCTACAAGAAAACCGCCAAGTTCAGAGAGCACCAAGGACCCCACAGTCATCCTCCTCCTCCTCCTCCTCCTCCTCCTCCTCCTCCTCCTCACTATTCCTTTCTAGCACTGATGATGTTACCTAGCTTGGTAATGAAATATCTGCACACCCCACAGTCCTTCTCCACAACTCCCCCTTTTAGCACTGATGATGATACCTAGTTGGGTCATAAAACGTCTGCAAGAAAACCGCCAAGTTCAGAGAGCACCAAGGACCCCACAGTCGTCATTCTCCTCCTCCTCCTCCTCCTCCTCCTCCCCACAAACCCCAAACCTCTTCTAGCACTGAGGATGTTCCCTAATTGGGTAATATAACATCTGCAAGAAAACGACCAAGCTCAGAGAGCACCAAGGACCCCTCAGAAGCTAAATAACCTATTCAGCTCCGTAGGCACCTTCAGTAGCCACAACAGGACAAACGGAGGGATACTCACAAACACGGCTCCTTTAAGCAAATCCGGGACGGTCATGGGAATGAAACCCTAAGGTAAAAGAAAAAGACACAAAGGACTGCAGGAATGCCTCATACCCCAGTGCCTATTAACCCCCCCCCCCTATTTTTAGTTTGCTCTTGAACCTTAATGCAAAGGAGAAGGAAAATCAGCATTATGGAGCGGGTGCCCGTCATTCTGAATTTTTTGCAGAGACTCTGGGGTATGACCAACCTCATACTAGCTGAGGAATTCTGGGAGCTGTAAGTCCATCACACCTCTTAGAAATGCCAAGTTTGAAAAAAACACTGATTTATGAGAACAGATGCTCGAGAATTCAATACCTTTTTGATCAGCTTGAAGAAAGTGAACTGGACCAGGGCTCGCTCAAGCAGAGCACCTGCCCCGCAGAGGTAGTACGATCGTAAACCGGAAATATGCGCCAAGCGTCTACGGAGAGGAAAAGGTGGAAAAAAATCGTTCAAGCTCCTCCTAAGGGTGCAGCCAAATTAATTTGCAGGGTTCCCTTATCTTTTTGGGTAATATTTAAACCACGCCACCTGTTTGTCTCTTTAGGTTCCAAGCACTGGAAATTGTCTCATCCTTGCAACTACACTTGGTCATGTTCTGCCTCAGTTGCCATTGAACAGGGATTGTGCAGAATGTCTGGTGAACGATCTTGCCAAATACTGATGCAAATCAGAAGGATCTTGGCAGCCCCTTTCACGAAAACCAGTTTTATTCAGTTTGGTTCAAAATTCTTATGAGCTACAGCTTGCCAAAGATTCTGCGTTTTAATAAAATATTTAGGCACAAAAGCTACCAGATTCCTGATTTTTTTTTTTTTTTACCACCACAGTCCAAACTCTATCTCCTAACAATGTGCAATAACTGAACTGGCATATTACGCTGTTTATTTTATTAAATGGTCATTAAATGAATACTACCTGTAGTTCACTCTGATTAAGAAGAAATTCAATCCCACTTGTCTTATTCTCAGGTTTCTATTTAGCAGACTAGCTGGATAGGGTTAGGCTTAGGTCAACATGACCTCATAGAGCAAAATGGACATTGCCAACAAATTGGGAGTGCTTGGGTATGGTTGGGAGGGCACTGACTTTTCTAGCCTGCCCTATCTATGTTTCCTGGTAAAATACATGGGAAAATCCCATTGGAGGAAAATTCCACTTAGGGTTAGGGTTAGGTCACCATGAACTCATAGAGCAAAATGGACATCGCCAACAAATTCAGAGTGCTTGGGTATGGTTAGGAGGACACTGACTTTTCTAGGCTGTCCTATCTATGTTTCCTAGTAAACTACATGGGAAAATCCCATTGTAGGAAAATTCCACTTAGGGTTAGGGTTAGGTCACCGTGAACTCCTAGAGCAAAATGGACATCGCGAACAAATTGGGAGTGCTTGGGTATGGTTAGGAGGGCACTGACTTTTCTACCCTGCCCTATCTATGTTTCCTAGTAAAATACATGGGAAAATCCCATTGTAGGAAAATTCCACTTAGGGTTAGGGTTAGGTCACCGTGAACTCATAGAGCAAAATGGACATCGTCAACAAATTGGGAGTGCTTGGGTATGGTTAGGAGGGCGCTTACTTTTCTAGGCTGCCCTATCCATGTTTCCTGGTAAAATACATGGGAAAATCCCATTGGAGGAAAATTCCACTTAGGGTTAGGGTTAGGTCACCATGAACTCATAGAGCAAAATGGACATCGCCAACAAATTCAGAGTGCTTGGGTATGGTTAGGAGGACACTGACTTTTCTAGGCTGTCCTATCTATGTTTCCTAGTAAACTACATGGGAAAATCCCATTGTAGGAAAATTCCACTTAGGGTTAGGGTTAGGTCAACGTGAACTCCTAGAGCAAAATGGACATCGCGAACAAATTGGGAGTGCTTGGGTATGGTTAGGAGGGCACTGACTTTTCTAGCCTGCCCTATCTATGTTTCCTAGTAAAATACATGGGAAAATCCCATTGTAGGAAAATTCCACTTAGGGTTAGGGTTAGGTCAACGTGAACTCATAGAGCAAAATGGACGTCGCCAACAAATTGGAAGTGCTTGGGTATGGTTAGGAGGGCACTGACTTTTCTAGCCTGCCCTATCTATGTTTCCTGGTAAAATATATGGAAAAATCCCATTGGAGGAAAATTCCACTTAGGGTTAGGGTTAGGTCACCGTGAACTCCTAGAGCAAAATGGACATCGCGAACAAATTGGGAGTGCTTGGGTATGGTTAGGAGGGCACTGACTTTTCTACCCTACCCTATCTATGTTTCCTAGTAAAATACATGGGAAAATCCCATTGTAGGAAAATTCCACTTAGGGTTAGGGTTAGGTCACTGTGAACTCATAGAGCAAAATGGACATCGCCAACAAATTGGGAGTGCTTGGGTATGGTTAGGAGGGCGCTTACTTTTCTAGGCTGCCCTATCCATGTTTCCTGGTAAAATACATGGGAAAATCCCATTGGAGGAAAATTCCACTTAGGGTTAGGGTTAGGTCACCATGAACTCATAGAGCAAAATTGACATCGCCAACAAATTCAGAGTGCTTGGGTATGGTTAGGAGGGCACTGACTTTTCTAGGCTGCCCTATCTATGTTTCCTAGTAAAATACATGGGAAAATCCCATTGGAGGAAAATTCCACTTAGGGTTAGGGTTAGGTCAACGTGAACTCATAGAGCAAAATGGACATCGCCAACAAATTCAGAGTGCTTGGGTATGGTTAGGAGGGCGCTGACTTTTCTAGCCTGCCCTATCTATGTTTCCTAGTAAAATACATGGGAAAATCCCATTGTAGGAAAATTCCACTTAGGGTTAGGTCACCGTGAACTCCTAGAGCAAAATGGACATCGCGAACAAATTGGGAGTGCTTGGGTATGGTTAGGAGGGCACTGACTTTTCTAGCCTGCCCTATCTATGTTTCCTGGTAAAATACATGGGAAAATCCCATTGTAGGAAAATTCCACTTAGGGTTAGGGTTAGGTCACCGTGAAACTCCTAGAGCAAAATGGACATCGCGAACAAATTGGGAGTGCTTGGGTATGGTTAGGAGGCACTGACTTTTCTACCCTGCCCTATCTATGTTTCCTAGTAAAATACATGGGAAAATCCCATTGGAGGAAAATTCCACTTAGGGTTAGGGTTAGGTCACCATGAACTCATAGAGCAAAATGGACATCGCCAACAAATTCAGAGTGCTTGGGTATGGTTAGGAGGGCACTGACTTTTCTAGGCTGCCCTATCTATGTTTCCTAGTAAAATACATGGGAAAATCCCATTGTAGGAAAATTCCACTTAGGGTTAGGGTTAGGTCACCGTGAACTCCTAGAGCAAAATGGACATCGCGAACAAATTGGGAGTGCTTGGGTATGGTTAGGAGGGCACTGACTTTTCTACCCTGCCCTATCTATGTTTCCTAGTAAAATACATGGGAAAATCCCATTGTAGGAAAATTCCACTTAGGGTTAGGGTTAGGTCACCGTGAACTCATAGAGCAAAATGGACATCGCCAACAAATTGGGAGTGCTTGGGTATGGTTAGGAGGGCGCTTACTTTTCTAGGCTGCCCTATCCATGTTTCCTGGTAAAATACATGGGAAAATCCTATTGGAGGAAAATTCCACTTAGGATTAGGGTTAGGTCACCATGAACTCATAGAGCAAAATGGACTTCGCCAACAAATTCAGAGTGCTTGGGTATGGTTAGGAGGGCACTGACTTTCCTAGGCTGCCCTATGTATGTTCCCTGGTAAAATACATGGGAAAATCCCATTGGAGGAAAATTCCACTTAGGATTAGACCTGGAACATACTGGAGTGAAATGAGTTTTAACCCTACATTTGGAATACAGAAATGTTTCATACTAACCTTTGCCTTAGAATGTCCAGCTTTTCTCCAATTTCTAGGTGTCCTTTGACCTTGAAATCAAATTCTGTTTCCAAAACAAAGCAAAGAAGCAAAAGGCATTATTCTTTCAAGTACTGCAGTGTTGCGTTGACTGCACAAGTTCTATTTTGGGCTGTAGATGGGCACTAAATCTTTTCAATGGCTTCTGAATTCTACCTCAACGGTAGCCCAGGCTATTGTCTTCTCACCTGGTTTTTCGCCAATAATCTCCACTATCCTGGGTTCGTTCTCATCTCCAAATTGCTACGGGAAGAAAAGAGAAAAGGGGAAGACACAGCATCAAATATTATTTCTGTCCAACTCAGGGTGAAAAGCTAAGTGAAAGGACTCTGCAACAATTTTAGAGTAAAGGTTCAGGAAATTTGGACTGCCTCACTCACAGGAGCTTATAGAAAGAGTGACAGAAGCTGGGGGTGGAGTTAAAAGAGAAATCAACCTAGAATCCCTATGTAGCCACAAACAAACAAAGTCCAACACCCCCCTCCTCGAATTCCATGGACTCTTTTCTGACTCAAAGCAGGTACTACTGTTAGTTGAGAAGATTCCTGTGTACAGGTAGGCCTTGACTTATAATCACAATTAAGCCCCAAATTTCTGTTGCTGGGATAGTTGTTAAATGAGGTTTTGCCCCATTTTGCGACCTTTCTTGCCACAGTTGTTAAGTGAATCACTGCAATTGTTAAAATTAGTAACAGTTATTAAGTGAATCCGGCTTCCCCTGTTGACTTTGCTTATCTGAAGGTCGCAAAAGGGGACTGCATGGCCCCTGGGACATCGTGACTGTCATAAATATGAATCAGTCGCCAAGCATCCAATCGTCTGACCACAGAGATGCTGTAATGGCATGAAGGTATGAAAAATGGTTGTAAGTCACTTTTTTCAGTGCCCTTGTTAACTGTCGTCACTAAACAAATGGTTTAAGTCAAGGACTACTGTATTGGCTTTTTAGCAATAAATCAGTTTATTTGGACCTAATCTTCTGTGCCTGACATAGCCCTAGACCAGGGATAGGACTCTTTTATGACTCGTGGACTTCAACTCCCAGAATTCCTGAGCCAGCATGGCTCAGCATAGCAATCTCTGCCTTTCCCCTCAGCATGGCTGGCTCAGGAATTCTGGGAGTTGACGTCCAACAGTCATAAAAGAGGCAAGGTTGCCTACCCGACTTAGACACACCAACATTTACTTCTCTATTTCATGCTCTTTACCACATCAGGGTGAATCCGGTTGGGCAGCTTTAGGGCATCCAGATAGTATTTCTCTTGCAACTCGATCTGCTCCTGGCGCAAGGCATGAAGGCGACAACGGATTTCCCTCCCCTCTTTCACCAAGGCATTGTAAACAGGCAGCTGGTGGGAGAGAGAAAAAGGGGGAAAGGTGTTGAAGAATTCACAGAAGAAGCAAATATTCTCTATTTTTATTGTTTCATTTTTTCCCCCTTGTTTCTAATTTTTTTTATCTGTAACCGTCCAGAATCATTGGGGGAAGGGAAGGGAAGGGAAAGAAAACTTCCTTACCATCTGTAAAGTACTCTCATCATGGCTTTGCTACAAAGAAAAACAACAGTGGATGGTTATTCATAAAACAAACCAATGTAATGATTGTGAATAATTAACTATCAGCCAAGGATATAAAACTATTTTTGTCCATTCTACAACTACGAAAAGCGACCAATTAATTTCTCTGAAGAGAAATGCCCAGACATAGAAGCATATTAATTTGTTAACATATTTTCCTATAATCAATTCAGGGGTTATTCCAGAGTGATTGCGATCACAGGCACTCACTGTAAAATTGTACGCTTCTGTCCTCACTCTGTTTTTCTCTACGCTGAGTTTTGCAATCTCCTCTTGAACCTGATTCAGTCTCTCCCAAACAGAAACCTGGTGGTTAGGATACAGGAAGAAAGAAAATTACAAGGGTTAAACCACATTAGTCAAAAGGAAAGATCACAGTATGGATAGTTCCTCAACTTAGGACCACAATTAAGCCCAAAATTTACACTGCTAAGTGAGAAATTTGTGAAGTGTGTTTTGCCTTATTCTACCACCACAGTCATTAAGAGAATCACTGCAGTTGTTAAGTTAGGAACAGGGTTGTTAACTGAAATCCAGACATTTTAATGCATGCTGGCGGGGCGTTCCATGGAACTGGAAACCCAAACATTTAATGCCTGGTGGCTGGGGAATTCTGGGAACTGAAATCCAGACATTTTGATGCAAGCCGGCTGGGGGATTCTGGGAACTGAAATCCAGACATTTTAACGCCTGCTGGCTGGGGAATTCTGGGAGTTGGGGTCCCCCCCCCTTATCCTAAAGCTGCAGAGGCTGAAAAACACCGACAAAGGCGGGCGAGAGAGGGAGGACACCGGGCACCGTTTTAAGCCACCCGTTGGGGGCCAGGCACCCGAAGCCGGGGAGATTCCAGCGCCCGCCCTCCCGCCCCCTTCAGCCAGCCAGCCAGCCAGCCAGCCAGGCCACCCCCCCCCCGCCCGCTTTGCTTACAAGCTGGCGCAGCTCCGGCGCCTTGAGAGGCCCTTTGCGCGCCTCCAGCTCCCGCTCGGCCTCGCTCATCCGCGCGCTCAGCCCCGCCACGTCCAGCCGCGGCCACGAAGCCCAGCCCTCCCGCGCGTGCTCGTACAGGCGGCTCCGGGCGCCGCTGGAGCCGGCCCGGCGAGGCGGCGGTCGACTGAGGAGCGGCTGCTGCCAAAGCCGAGCCACGCCGCGACACAGCCGCAGCGCCGCCGCCATGACAGCCGGTCACATGACGCGACGCAGCCGCGCCGAACCGGACGTCCCCCGGCCAGCCAATCCGAAGCGCCGGCTGACCTGCCGTGGTCACCGTGGCAACGGAAAGCTATTATTGAAGGCGGCCGGCGAGAGCTCCGGAACGCAGTCTGCGCATGCTCCGTGGGTTCTGTGGTGGGTTTGTGGACGTTTCGTGACCCAGCTAGGTAACAGCATCCGTGCCCCTGGGGCAGCAAGCCCCATTCTGCCTGGCACTGATGAGGCTGCCTAGTTAGGTCACGAAATGCCCGCAAGAAGGCCACCAGGCTCAGCACCAGAGCTCTACAATTATGAAGTGTTGGAGGGATACCTGGGAGACCCAGAATTGGATTCCTTTGTGGCCACAAAAGCTCCCTACCTGAATTTGAACCGGTCCCTCTCTCCGTCCTACCGCCACAGGGGTGTTGTGGGCAGATGCATGGATGCATGGATACCTAGACAAGGATATAGAATCTATTATATTAATATTATATATTAATGTTACATTACATTACATATAGATAGGATACAGATGGATGAGTAGATAAATGGACAGATGGATGGATAGGATATAGATGGATGGATGGATAGATAGATAGATAGGAGATGGACAGATATATAGATAGGAGATAGACGAATAAATAGGTGGATAGATAGGATATAGATGGATAGATAGGAAATGGTAGGATAGATAGATATACACACAGAAATAGGATATAGATGGATGGATAGGTGGATAAATATAGTTAGGAAAGGCAGAGAGCTAGCGATGTTACCTTCCATTCCTGAATAAAATATGGGGTATAAATCTTTTATAGTGCACAGGAGTTCCCCAAATGTGTTGGATTTTCCAGGTGTGTGATCACAGCAAAGCGATATGTCTATGGAGATTCTCAGTCATCCAGATCATGACTGTCCCAAAGGTGCTTTTTCTAGAGGCAACTGGATTTACTTTGTTTTTCCTTGAAAACATTTCGTTTCTCATCCAAGAAGCATCTTCCTTTCTGACATTCAGCCAGAAATTCTTGGGTGTGAAGCGAAACGTCTTGAAAGAAAAGTCCAGTTGCCTTTTGAAAAACCACCTCTGGGACAGCAAAGCTATAAAAACAAGTTCATGCCCTTTTCTGAACTAGAAATTGGGATCTGTCTTTCAACCGAGCCAGGCTGGTTTATGTTACTATCGACAGTATGTATAATCAACATACAATAGTTGTTGTAGGTCTCCAGTGTTACATCCTTGAGGAGTAATAGTGCAAAGAAAGAAAAGTACTGTTGAACTTAAGTCCCTTTCATCATCAACCACACAGCTAAATGTCATTGTGTATTCCTAACCCATTCCCCTCCACCCACCTCTGGAGATCCTATATGTTATTCCACAACACTGACATTTCACATCCAATCCTGTAAAAGGGCATGAAAAATATCAGCAATTTTGTCATTTTCCCGTTTAAAAAACAACCATTTTATTAATGCATATTGCTGCTTTTTTATTCGTGTTATTTACTCCTTCATCTGCAATTTTGATTGTCTCATTCAGGCTTCCTGCAGCATTTCTTGGGTTATTTTCTTTTCAAAGTTTGTTCAGAATAACTGTTTTTGTGTGGAACGCTGAACCACAACTGAGTCATTCACCATTTAAATGAATATGTCACCACAGTAATGCTGGCAGAGGCTGGATTCACTGAATTGCTCTGCCATTTGTATGAAGTCACAGGTATTTAACTATAGTTTATTAAATAAGCTATGATAGAGTAAGTTCAATATGCTAAGCAATAAGCAAAGCGTATAGATTTTCACTCAACACATTAAGCAAAAAGCAAAGAAGTCTACTATGGCTTAATCACATTGCATGAGTTCAGAGAAGCAATACTGAATTGATAGTACTAACTAAAGTAAAGACATTAGATTAAAGTTTTCTAACAGTAAGTACTGACTACTAGTTATTACCATAGTCAGTATCTGCTAGCACAGTGGTTCTCAACCTTTCTAATGCCGTGACCCCATAATACAGTTCCCCATGTTGTGGTGACCCCCAACCACTTATACATCACCAGGTGCCAGGGGCATGGCCAAAGAAAAGAGGAAAAAAATGGCGGACAACCTTGTTTGGCGACCCCCGTGAAATGGTCGTTCGACCCCAAATGGGGTCCCGACCCACAGGTTGAGAACCACCGTGCTAGCAGTTAGAAGATGTGATGAAAACTCCTTAATTGTACAACACATGGATAGACTTCACCATTCCACTGGAAAACCGTGAGCATCCTAGACCAAGCTAAGTCCAAAAACATTAGAGGAGTCCTCAGACTAATCAGCCATCAACAGACACATTGAGATAAGCAACATCTACATCTACATCTACAGTCAAAGGTGAGAATCAAAAAGCCAAAAAAGAAAACCAAAAGACCAAAACATCTCCTCACCAGCAATCAACACCTTAATAAGCAGAGATTAACATCAAGATTATCAGTAAATCAACATTCAAGCAGTAAACAAGACCCCAGTCAAGGAGCTACCAATTCAGACAAACAATCAAGCAAACAATAAACAATTCCTTAATCAAAGAATTATTAATGTTATTGTGTATTGCTGTAATGTTTTAAGGGATTTTAAATTGGTTTTTAATGATTGTAAGCCACCGAAAGGCTTCTCCAGGGGAGATGAATGGCATATAAACTGAAACAAACAAACAAACAAACCACCAAGAACCACCAGCACTGACAGGACAAGTCGTTTGTATATAAGCCAAGAGCATATCCCAGTCCTTTGTAGCACTGATGGTGTTACCTACTTGGGTCATGAAATGTCTGCAAGAAAACAAACAACCTTAGAATGCACCAAAGACTCCATAGTCCTCCTTCTCCTTCTCTTCCTCCTTCTCCTTCTTCTTTTCCTCTCCTTCTCCTCCTCCTCCTCCTAGCACTGATCAAGTTACCTAGTTGGGTCATGAAACGTCTGCAAGAAAACAACCAAGTTCAAAAAGCATCAAGGACGCCCAGTCCTTTCCCTTTTCCTCCCTTCCCCCTCCTCCTTCTTGCCCTCACCCATCCCTTCTCCTTCTCTTTCGTTCCACAAACCCCACTGTCTTTTAGCATTGATGATGTTACCTAGTTGGGTCATGAAACGTCTGCAAGAAAGCAATCTCAGGGAGCACCAAGGACCCCACTGGATTGACAGTCTAGAGTAGAATTACTTGGTCACAGGAGACGAGACCCAGATAAGAAACTGTTCGCTGTAGGTCTGGTTTTTTTTCCCCCTTTGGGGCAGGCCTGGAGAAGAAAGTTACCAACTAGCTTTGACGCATCCCCAGAAACATCTTCAAAACAGGTGTTTAATCCCGCTACTACCTTTCTGTGGGTCTTTTACCCCCGCCCTTGCCTTCTGATCTCATTTGGGATGGGGGATGGCTTTGTCTCTTATTGAATCACGAGATAATGGCGAGATTTCAACACTTTGAAGAGTCGTGATGCTTCGCCTCCATCCTCCAGAGATATCAAAAGTCATTAGGTTGACTCAAGGGTCCCTGGAGCCCCAAACTCACAAATCACCATTGAAGGCAGCAATTCCTAAGCTTCGGTGTTCCACAAACGGTGGGGCTGGAAAGAGCCCATTGTAAATTCCAAGCACCGATGCTCTCGTTCAGCCTGCACCAGCCTGCATAAATACACATTGCTAGCAATCTAGTCCATTATCTAAATTTGTTTGCTTTTACGACAGACTGTTTTGCTCCCATGATTTAAAAGCCAAGAGACGTTGGGTGCTTTTGCTTAAAGATATTCTGAGTGCAAACACAGTCAGTGGACACATGTTGGCAAGGGAATATTGGAGGCTAAACCTGAGTCCATGTGACAATAACCAGGCCAGCCAGCAGATTGCAAATTGTGTTTCGGGTGACCCAAACTGGGGTTTACTCAACCAGAACCAAATCAACCCTTTTGTGGCTTAGTATGACTGATGAACCAATGTTAATGCAAAGATCGCTTAGCTCTCGCGGGACCTCACTCCTGCAAGACACGATCGGCATCTTTTGTAAATTCGGAAGGCTAACAGGATCGTTATCAGAAGGAACCCAAATGTCCTCGCGGATAAATAAAAGTCAGATTATCTACAAAGAAAATAACCTTCCCAGCCGCTCCCAAATTTTTAAAAATCAATTATTCTTGAAAGAGTAGAGGAATGGAATGTGTCAGAACCACTAACTGTAATCCATCATTTAGAGACATCCAATTTGTTGTCCTTTGAAGTTCTTCCTGTCAGTAACTGAATTTGCTTACTTATTAAATTTATAGGCCTCCCATCTCAGGACCCAAACTGACGTTTTGCAGCTTACAATGCCATAAAAACTAATATACAAGCATTAAAATTAATAACAATTAAAATGAGGATGACTGTGGGGTCCCTGGTGCTCTCTGAGCTTGGTGGTTTTCTTGCAGACATTTCATGACCCAATTAGGGAACAGCATCAGTGCTAGAAGGGAGGGGAGTATGTGGAGAAAGAGGAGGAGGAGGACTGTGGGGTCCTTGGTGCTCTCTGAGCTGGGTTGTTTTCTTGCAGACGTTTCATAACCCAACTAGGTAACATCATCAGTGCTAGAAGGGAGGAGGAGGAGGAGGAGGACTGTGGAGTCCTTGGTGTTCTCTGAGCTTGGTGGTTTCCTTGCAGATGTTTTATGACCCAACTAAGTAACATCATCAGTGCTAGAAGGGAGGGGAGTATGTGGAGAAGGAGGAGGAGGACGACGACGACGACTGTGGAGTCCTTGGTGCTCTCTGAGCTTGGTGGTTTTCTTGCAGATGTTTTATGACCCAACTAAGTAACATCATCAGTGCTAGAAGGGAGGAGTATGTGGAGAAGAGGAAGAGGAGGAAGAGAAGGAGGAGGAGGACTGTGGGGTCCTTGGTGCTCTCTGAGCTTGGTGGTTTTCTTGCAGACATTTCATGACCCAACTAAGTAATTTCACACTGATGACAATCAAGCATCTGCAAAGCAAACCATCAAGCCCAGAGAGCGTTTATTTCTTCGTTTATCAAATTTATATGCTGCCCACCTCGCAGTCATCACCAACTCCTCATCAGGATCTTCCACAATGACCAGCCTCAGCATTACATCGCCACAATATCAAAGTCTGAACTTCATTATTGGGGCTGCCAGAGACAGAAAGCAAACATGAGTCTCCGGGCAGAGTAAGAAGACCAGCAGATGCTCTAACGTAGGAAGCTTTTAATGAATTTAAGTTCAACATCATCCTTTGACAGGTGCCGTGGAGACGGGCGCAAAATGCTAAGGGCCAAACTACCACCAAATGGAAAAAGCACACGCTGTGATAGTTCTACATTAAGTTCAGTTTATACCAGATGAGCCTAGCCACTACTCACTGCCGTAGTTGTTAGTTAATAATGTCCTCTTCCCGGTTTTGATTATCTTAATTAACGCTTGGAGAAGAAGAGGGAATATATTACCTGGATTACAGCTTCAGCAAACAAAAGCGAAGTCCTTCATAATGGTGCCAGGAGATTTTTCTGTACGATAAGAGCAGGGTGACAGCTGGAAACTGACAGAGAATCTGGACTGGACTGTGTCTCTTTAGTGAGCTATGGGTGATAGATTCGATTTCCTGAAAATCTGATGTGCATTGGCAGGTTTAACGTTCAATATCAGCAAGAGAGAAAAAAAGCAAACTCTGATTAAAATGATGAAACAGCCATAAAGATATAAACTTATCAATGGTTATTGATTTATTTGGACTAATAGTAGCTGCTTATCTTGATGGCTTTTATACCTTACATACCTGTATCTATATTTCCCTTATCCCATTGCCTTTAAACAGCCGCTTGAATCTGTCAGAAAATATCCTGTTTTAATTATTGTCTTCTCTGGATTGGAAAATTCAGCATCTTATTTTTAGAGATCTGGCTACTGATAGTCCCTAGAAGATGCTAACTACTTCTTTCCTGAACATCTAGCACCTGCAATTTTCTTTTTTATATATATAATACATTTTACTAAGTTTCGCACTTCTGAATACAGGCTATAGAATAACAGAATTGGAAGGGACCTTGGAGGTCTTCTAGTCCAACCCACTGGTCAATCAGGAAACCCAGTTCTATAAGTCTCAGGTTTTTATGTGCACCTTTTAAGTGGAACAACCTGCCTCCAGAAGCTGTGAATGCTCCAACACTGGAAGTTTTCAAAAAGAGATTGGACAACCATTTGTCTGAAATGGGATAGGGTCTCCTACCTGAGCAGGGGGATGGACTAGAAGACCTCCAAGGTCCCTTCCAGATTCTATTCTATTCTATTCTATTCTATTCTATTCTATTCTATTCTATTCTATTCTATTCTATTCTATTCTATTCCATTCCATTCCATTCTATTCTATTCCATTCCATTCCATTCCATATTCTATTCTGTTCTGTTCTGTTCTACAATCTGTCAATTCTAATTCTAATTCCTATTCTTGTTCTATGAGATTAATCCTCATTGTGTTTAATGCTATCAAAGTAATACTGAATGGTATAGTTCTCCTACTTGAGCTGGACTAGAAGACCTCCAAGTTCCCTTCCAGCTCTGCTCTGTACTATTCTATTCTATTCTATTCTATTCTATTCTATTCTATTCTATTCTATTCTATTCTATTCTATTCTAATTTCAATTAAGATTCTATTCTATTCTATTCTATTATTATTTCAGTTAAGACTCTATTCTATTCTATTATTATTTCAATTAAGATTCTATTCTATTTCTATTCTATTCTAATTTTCATTGTACAAACAACTGACCCAAATCGGATTTCGATAAAGGAAAGGAAAAGAGGAAGCAAGGAAGGAATTTCTGCAAATCTTAAATAAACTAAGCTCCACAGAGCTCCCTCTTCCATAGAAATTACTTTTGCAAGCCAAACAAACTTTAGTATCGCTTCGATAGCATTAAACACAACGAGGATTAATCTCATAGAACAATTTGTAGCTTCTCAAATACAAACACCCAATGTTTTCCACCACTGCCTGGTTTCTTTGCATTCTCCATCCTGTTCTCGACACGACAACCAGGGAATAGGTTAAAAGTGTCCTCCACCATCCCCCCCCCCTTATTCCTGGTTTGCTACCTGAGGTGAGATCCTGCCCTTTCTGGATGACATCCAAAGCGGGCATGAGCCTCTCCAGGGATGTTATCTCTCCCTCCGCAGACACCCTCTCCAGGGGAATGATGCGAGAACACCCCCCTCCTCTGACTGCTTTCGCACTCGGCTCAGGCCACCCACTCGAAGCCTTGATAAGGCAAGGGAGCCAGCATTTCCACACAGCAGTCTGGAAGCCTGCTGAGACCTGAGTCCTGAGACCAGCCATAGGTAGGATTCTCTCTGGGTTTTTCTTTTTATTCTTGTTTTCATCTATGATTGCTTCTCCTTCCAGCTCTGGGTTCAAGATTGCTTTTGGGGAGCAGATTTACTTCAAGGCTGTGAGGAACTGGGCAGGTCTAGTTTAAGGAAGAGAAGGACGAGAGGTGACCTGATAGCCGTGTTCCAGTATCTCAGGGGCTGCCCCAAAGAAGAGGGAGTCAAGCTATTCTCCAAAGCGCATGAAGGCAGGACAAGAAGCAATGGGTGGAAACTAATCAAGGAGAGAAGCAACCTAGAACTAAGGAGAAACTTCCTGACAGTTAGAACAGTCAGTGGAACGGCTGGGTGCTCCATCATTGGAGATTTCTACGGAGATTCTCAGTCATCCAGGTGTGGTGGTCCCAAAGGTGTTTTTTTTTTTTCTTCTTCTTCTTTTTCAGGAGGCAACTGGAAACACAAGGAAGTCGAGTTGCCTCCTGAAAAAAAAAGGCTTTTCAGAAGAGACTGGACAACCATTGGTCCAGAATGGCATAGGGTCTCCAGCTTGAGCAGAGGGTTGGACTAGAAGACCTCCAAGGTCCCCTTCCAGCTCTATTATCCTAAGATGTTTCCAGGGTAGAGTGAAATTGCTGTTCAGGAGCTTAGCGGTCGCTGCTTTGTCTGGCAGTGTTATGAATCTATATGCACAACTGTGTCTCTTGTGAAGTTGAATCTGTTGATTTCAAACAGCTATCAAGCTAAGTTTTTTTTTCTTTTTTTTTCCTGTTCACTCGGCAATTATTATTATTTTTTTTGTCCAAGCCTGAGCAAAGCAGACAAACAGAAAAGTTGCCGGAAAAGCGTTAGAAGCAACTTTGAAGTGGGTGTCAAACAGAAACATCAGCCCGTCTTCCATTTACCTGGAGAAGTTTTCAGCTGGCACCGTATCGATTGTCTGGTTGATGAGTTATAGATCTCTCTCCACACACTGTGTGAAGCCCAGGAGTGGCTTGGTTGTTTAAAATGGGAATTATGGGTTAGAGTGTTGGAGAAATGGTGACCCAAGCGGGTGGCTAAACAAGCCAGGGTATATGAGGCTAAACCATCATCTCTCACAAAGGATAAAACCTGCAGAGCGAGTGGAATTTTTAGATCCAAACTTTGATTCCAGAAATTGGAATTTCTCTCCTGTTCTTAAGCGAATCACTGCAGCTGGTAAGTCAGTAACCCAGCTATTAAGTGACTCTGGCTCCTCCATTGACAGACGGTTGCAAAAGGGGATCATGTGACCTTGGGACGCCGCAACCGACATAAAGAGGAGCCAGTGGCCAAGCATCTGATTTTTTGATCCTGTGACCACAGGGATGCTGCAGTAGTTGTGTGAAAAACGGTTGTAAGTCCATTTTTTCAGCGCCATCGTAACTTTGAACTGTCACTAAATGAACTGATGTAAGTCCTACCTGTAGTGGGAACACTTTGATCAGCCAAGGATCAAAATCCAGGTGTTTTGAAGGCAGCCTTTAAATTTATAGCTTGCGGGAACTGTTGGATCTCTTCCGTGCAATGTTAACTTGTGCGAGATTTTTGCATAAATACTTGTACATGTATTCGTGATGTTCCGTATTTTTTGAAGATGCCATGATTTGGCCCTGGACCGTAAATAAAGATATAAAATATAAATCGGGTTTAAAAGGACAACTTTACTTGAGAGCACGGTAGAGCCACATTCATAGGAACCTTTGAATGTGGGTGAACTAAGAGGATTTTTATATCAGCGTCTCTCAAACTTGCAATTTGAAGATCTGTGGACTTCAACCCCCAGAATCTGCCTTCTGTTAGTCCAGTGGTTCTCAACCTGTGGGTCGGGACCCCATTTGAGGTCGAACGACCATTTCACGGGGGGTCGCCAAACAACGCAGTCCGCCATTTTTCCCCCCCTTTTCCTTAGCTGTGCTACTCCCTTTTATTCTATTGGCTTTTGAAAGCCAATAGAAATTGTCCAGGCTGTTTCTGCCCTGCTGAGCCCGCCAAAAGTCCCATTCTGCAAATGGTGCTGCAGCAGTTGAGTAGTCCTTGACTTACGACCGGTTGAGTAGTCCTCGACTTACGACCGGTTGGGGGTCGCGGCATTGAAAAGGTTGAGAACCACTGAGTTAGTCCCTTCTCAGCTTAGTTTGTGAAGAAGGTATGTTCTGTCTGGTCCTAGTCTGAAAATTCATAAAACTCTTTTCATTTGATTAGGAAAAGGGAGAAACGCAGAATGCAGGATCAATGAAATGGGTGCGCGCTATAATTCACCCTGATCATCAGAAACAGCTCTTTGTGCTTTCTTAAGAAAAATAACCAGTTAAGCAGCTGCAGATCCAGCTGGCTGCTCAATTTTATTCATGAATAGACTAGTCAAGGACTGCCTACACCAAACACATTTCTGGCCAACCTCTGTTTCTTCTTTCTCAGACAGTGGCTGGCTGGGTGAGTTCTCGGTTGAAGAACATGGACGAGGACGCTCGGTTCCAAAGACTTTCCCTGAGATGGGGGCTTACTGATCTGTAGAAACCCCCTCCCCTCGGTATGCAGACGTCCCTCGAGCTGTTCCTCCTGTCGATTCAACTCTACCAGACAATAGAGGTGAGGAGTTTGAGGATCTGCCTCTTAATTGTTGTTGTTAATTGCGAAGTCGTGTCCGACCCATCGCGACCCCATGGACAACATTCCTCCAGGCCTTCCTGTCCTCTATCATCTTCTGGAGTCCCTTGAAGCGCACGCCTCCTGCTTCAGTGACTCCATCCAGCCACCTCCTTCTCTGTCGTCCCCTTCTTCTCTTGCCCTCCATCTTTCCCAGCATCAGGCTCTTCTCCAGTGAGTCCTTCCTTCTCACTAGGTGGCCAAAGGACTTGAGTTTCAACTTCAGGATCTGGCCTTCTAAAGAGCAGTCGGGGTTGATCTCTTCTAGGACTGACCAGTTTGATCGCTTTGCAGTCCAGGGGACTCGTAGGAGTCTTCTCCAGCACTAGAATTCGAAGGCCTCCATTCTTTGGCGCTCAGCCTTTCTTAGGGTCCAACTTTTGCATCCATATATTACAACTGGGAAAACCATGGCCTTGACTATACGCACTTTGGCAGGGTGATGTCTCTGCTTTTTAATATGCTAAAAAAATTAACTCCCTCTTATTTAGAATGAATTAATTAGAACAATGAATCAGTGGAACGACTTGCCACTAGACGTCGTGAACGTTCCACCAGTGGAGGTTAAGAGACTGGAGAGCCCCCCCTGTCTGAAATGGAATAGGGTCCCCTGCTTGAGCAGCGGGTTGGTCCAGAACAGGGGTCCCCAACTTTGGCAACTTTAAGACCTGTGGACTTCAACTCCCAGAATTCCCCAGCCAGCCATGCTGGCTGGGGAATTCTGGGAGTTGAAGTCCACAGGTCTTAAAGTTGCCAAGGTTGGGGTCCCCAGGTCTAGAAGACCTCCAGGTTTCTTCCGTTATTCTGTATTCTGCAGTCAGATGAAATGTTGAGATCCTTTCTTGTTTCAGCACCTTGGAGAGCAATTTATCACTTTTTCCCAAAGGCACTGATGACGGTTCTTCACACTTACGACCGTTGCAGCACCCTCCAAGGCCACCTGATCAAAATTTAGACACTTGGCCACTGACTCATACTTAGGACGGTTGCAGTGTCCTGGGGTCACGTGATCCCCTTTTGGCGGCCTTCTGACCAGCAAAGCCAATTGGGATTCTGTTCGTTCTGTTCAATTCTTTTGCTCTGTAACAACTTTCAAGTTGACTTTTCACTTGACTCTCAACCCGGCTTACGACCGCGATCGGCACCAGAATTTCCGGTGTCAAGCAAGGCGGTTGTAAAGTGAGACGTGCCCGATTTTCCCGCCTTTCTTTCCCATGGGGAAGGGAATCACCGCGGCTGGGAAATGGATTTTGATCGCGTGACCTTGGAGCGGGGAGAAATGCTGCAATGGTCGTCAGTCTGAGGACTGGTTGCAAGTCACTTTGTTTTCAGGGCCGTTGTAACTGTGAATGGTCACTAAACGAGTTTTGCCAGGAAAAGCTCGGCTGTTTTCCGAGAAGCAAAATCAAGGGGGAAAGCTGGATTTGCCTAACAATTCTGCATTTGCTTAACAACTGCAGGGAGTCACTTAACAACCAGGGCAACAAAAAATGTGGTAAAATCAGGCACGATCCATTTAACAACTGCCTTGCTTAGCAAAGAAAATCTGCCTTTCAATTGCCATCGTAAGTTGAGGATTACCTGTAATGGGCCTGGATGGGGAGGGTGAGCAGGAGAAAAACATGGTTGGGAGGGGGCCACGGGGTCAAAAAGCTTGAGAAACTGGTTTAAATGTCACTCCTGATAAAAAATAAATAAAATGCAGCCCCTACCCCCTCATCCAAAAAGAGTGCAGAGAAGAGCAACAAAGGTGATCAGGGGACTGGAGGCTAAAGCATATGAGGAACAGTTGCTGGAATTGGGAATGTCCAGTTTAATGAAGAGAAGGATGAGGGGGGACATGATAGCCATGTTCCAGTATCTCAGGGGCTGCCCCAAAGAAGAAGGAGTCAAGCTATTCTCCAAAGCGCCTGAAGGCAGGACAAGAAGCAGCGGATGGAAACTAACCAAGGAGAGAAGCAACCTGGAACTAAGGAGCAACTTCCTGACAGTTAGAACAATTAACCAGTGGAACAACCTGCCTCCAGAAGCAGTGAATGCTCTACCACTGGAAGTTTTTAAGAAGAGACTAGAAAGCCATTTGTCCGAAATGGTATAGGGTTCTTGCCTGAGCAGGGGGTTGGACTGAATGACCTCCAAGATTCCTTCCAACTTTATTAATATTATTTATTATTATTATTATTGTTGTTATTATTATTATCCATGAAAAGTACATTCAACTTTCCAACTTTGCAGCTTCATTCTCGACTTCCAATTTTGGGGTGAACTTACCCCTCTGCTTCCTCTTGTGTATTGCAGGCTCACCCCACAGGGCCCTCCGTCCAAGGGATGTTGGAAGCCTGGCAGAGATACCACGAGGACTGCCTCCGCCAGATGACCGAAGACCCTCCACCGACAGGTGCAGGAATACATAGATGCTTTTTCACTCTTGTGATTCGGTGTTCACCTTAGGCTTCTCCCAAGGTAGCACTGGGTCTCAACCTTGGCAACTTGAAGATGGGTGGACTCCAGCTCCCAGAATTCCTGAGCCAGCGTGGAACTCTGGGAGTTGAAGTCCACCCATCTTAAAGTTCCACGCTGGCTGGGGAATTCTGGCTGTTGACATCCACCCATCTTAAATTTGCATGCAGCTGGGGAATTCTGGGAGTTGAAATCCACCTACCTTAAAGTTGCATGCTGGCTGGGGAATTCTGGGTGTTGACGTCCACCCGTCTTAAAGTTCATGCTGGTTGGAGAATTCTGGGAGTTGAAGTCCACCCATCTTAAACTTGCATGCCGTCTTAAAGTTCCTCGGGGTGAGAAACACTGCTATAGTTTCTCCCTTCTCAGTCTGCTACAGCACTAATTTCAACTTTCCTGTTAAAAAAATGTGCATTAAAACCCACAGCTCATCTTGCAGGTGAACATTTTTTCATGCACATTGCTGTATCCCCACTGCAAAAGTGAACTCTGTTTTTTTGCAGCTGCTTGCCTTGTTTAGGAAATGATAGAGAAGGCAGAAATATTATCTGTATAGTAAATAACGCGGTGGGGAGGATTTCAGCCTGTGGGTATATTTGCAAAATGCTAATTGACAGCAAGATTCACACCCAACCCAAGCTGGATGTACATTGCACCAGTGCAGCCAAAATGCAGAATTTTGTTCTGGTTTTCCAAAAGCCAATTTGGAATGTTGACTTAATATTAACCAGGACAAACGTCTCATCCTTAACAGAGGCAGTTGTGGTCTTTCAAAAGTGTGAGGCAAATCTTGCAGTGTCTCACAAGCCCAAAAGGTGGGATGTGTGGATGAGTAAACCTCCAAGCTTGTTGTAAATATTTTTGCTCTTTTCCATAACCAGTGGAATCTATTATGCAAAAAAAAAAAAAAAAAAACCCAAATATACATGCCTAAGAAACTGTTTTTCTTGGCATAAATGCTATTGAGGAAGAATTGCACACTTCTTATTGTCAGATACAAATTGTGTCACATCCTTCAGCCTGGTGGCTAGATATATTTGTTTTCCCAGCAATTTTTATGTATTTTTCAGGTAATAAAGCTCATGCCACGATGGAGCTTTTAAATCTGAGTTCATTGTTGCTGGCTCTGTTTTTCTTACTGTATATATTTCTACCCACTTTGTCAAAGTGCCTTATGTTGGTTGACTTCTCGTTTGTTCATTCCCCTTTTCCTCCCCTCTGTTGTGTTGTAGGCCTGGTGTGCAACCGTACATTTGATATGTACGCATGTTGGGGCGATGCCCTTCCCAATATGTCAGCCCAGGTTCCTTGTCCCTGGTACCTCCCGTGGCACCAGCAAGGTGAGTGCTGTTTGAGGCAGAGAATGGAATGGAATGGAACGGAACAGAACATAATAGAATCTATCCCAGTGGTTCTCCACCTGTGGGTCGGGACCCCATTTGGGGTCGAACGACCATTTCACGGGGGTCGCCAAACAACGCAGTCCGCCATTTTTTCCCCTTTTCTTAGCTGTGCTACTCCCTTTTATTCTATTGGCTTCTGAAAGCCAATAGAATAGACTCTCTTGAATAGAGTCTAATTCTATTGGCTTTCAAAAGCCCATAGGAATTGTCCAGGCTGTCTCTGCCCTGCTGAGACCGCCAAAAGCCCGTCTGCAAATGGTGCTGCACCAGTTGAGTAGTCCTCGACTTACGACCGGTTGAGTAGTCCTCGACTTATGACCGGTTGGTGGTCGCGGCATTAAAAAGGTTGAGAACCATTGATCTATCCCATCTTATTCTCTCTTTCTCTCCCTGGCAGTGCAAGATGGGTTTGTGTTCCAGAAATGTGGCGCGGATGGGCAGTGGGTGGTTGATGCCTCAGGATTGCCGTGGCGTGATCATTCCCAGTGCGTGGGCCCCAACAACGATATCCCTTTCCAGGTAAAATCTATTACATCAGGAAAGTCCAACAGTGACCACTTTAAGACCTGTGGACTTCAACTCCCAAAATTCCTTAGCCAGCCATGCTGGTTGGGGAATTCTGGGAGTTGAAGTCCACTGGTCTTAAAGTTGCTAAAAGCTAGACACCCTCTCTGTTAGAGCAAAGACTGTAAATCTGGTGTGCTTGGAGCAGATTTCTAGATGTTCAGGTCATAACTCATTATTCATTAGTCCTCCACTTACGACAGCTCATTTAGTGACCGTTCAAAGTTGGAACGGCACTGAAAGAAGTGACTTATGACTGTTTTTCACACTTAGGGCCATTGTAGCATCCCCACGGGTCACGGGATCAAATCCTAGTGATTGGCCCAAAGTCACCCAGCTGGCTTTCATGCCGAAGGCAGGACTAGAACTCCCAACCTCCTGGTGATTGGCCCAAAGTCACCCAGCTGCCTTTCATGCCTGAGGCGGGACTAGAACTCACCGTCTCCAAATCACCCAGCCAGCCAAAGACAGGATTCGAATTCTCACCGTCTCCCGGTGATTGACCCAAAGTCATCCAGTCGGCTTTCATGCTGAAGGTGGAACTAGAAGTCACAATCTCCTGGTTCCCAGGCCAGCACCTTAACCAGCAGACCAAACCGGCATCGGGAAGGAAATTCTGGTTTAAACAGGATCTGTTCATTCACATCCTTCATATGGGGATGCTGTTTTTAAACAGGAGTATCTCTGAATTTCTCTCTGCCTCCAGAAACATTTGTGGATCCTGGAACAATTTCGCCGAATGTACACAGCGGGATACTCCGTCTCGCTCATCTCTCTCCTTGTGGCTTTGTCGCTGCTGGCAGCGTTCAGGTATGAAGAAGCTGGATCCAAAGGCCCGTGCCAAAGCCTCTGAAATCTTATAATTGTTGGAAGAGAGGTTGGGACTGGGGAGCAGGAAGGGCTAAATTAATCCCCCCATCCGGTTTTGTCCATCGCCAAGATCGTTCCTATAATCTGGATATGGCAGACAATATATGAGGAGAGCACCGTTACTCTACGGTAGACAAGAAATGGGTGCTACCAGGTAGATGTTTTTGACTCTTGGCGACTTTAAGAGAGGTGGACTTCAACTCCCAGAATTCCCATAGCTGGCACAGCTTAGAAAGGGTTCAGCTTCATTGTTCAGGGGGTCAAAAGAGACGGTGGGAGATTTGTACTTGCAAGATTCTGTTAATGTAGCCTTACAATAGTGCAGGGCTCTCCAACCTTGGCAACTTTTAAGACTTGTGGACTTCAACTCCCAGAATTCCTCAGCCAGCCATGCTGGCTGAGGAATTCTGGGAGCTGAAGTCCACAAGTCATAAAAGGGCCACGTTTGAAGACCCCTGCAATAATGTACGTAGAATTAGCTCACGGGGTAGTGTTTCCTGTTGGCCTTCTGGGGAGGCTGAACTGAACTCGATCGGATGGCGCTACGCATTGTGTCTCTTCTCCCAGGAAACTTCGCTGCCTGCGCAATTACGTCCACATGAACCTGTTCCTGTCCTACGTGCTGAGGGCCGTCTCCATCCTTCTCCGAGACACCCTCCTCTGGCGTCACTTCCCCAAGGACCTCCAGGTGGACCTCTCGGGCCTTCCACGGGGGCAGGTATCTCTTCCTACCAGGGCGGATCCTGGGGTCGGGCAGGACAGAGACAGGAGGATGGAGGGATGAGGAGTTGGAGGGTCCTGGATTTGCATTTAATTTTCCTTCCTTCCTTTTTTTTCTTTCCTTCCTTCCTCTTATTTCTCTCCTTCTTTCTATTCTTATTCTTCCTTCCTTCCTTCCCTCCCTTTCTTTTTCTTTCTTTCTTCCTTTCTTATTGTTCTCCTGTCTTTCTCTTTCCTCCTTCTTTCTATTCTTATTCTTTTCTTTCTTTCTTTGTCTTTGTCCTTTCTATTCTTATTCTTCCTTCCTTCCTTCCTTCCCTTTCCTCCCTTTCTTTTTTCTTCTTTCCTTCCTTCCTTATTGTTCTCCTTCTGTCTTTCTCTTTGTCCTTCCTCCTTTTCTATTCTTTCTTTCCTTCCTTCCTCCCTTTTTTTCTTTCCTTCCTTCCTCTTATTTCTCTCCTTCTGTCTTTCTTTGTCCTTCTTCTTTCTATTCTTATTCTTCCTTCCTTCCTTCCCTTCCCTCCCTCCCTTTTTTTTATTTCTCTTTCTTTCTTCCCTCCTTTATTGTTCTCCTTCTGTCTTTCTCTTTGTCCTTCCTCCTTCTTTCTATTCTTATTATCCTTTCTTTCTTTCTTTCTTTCTTTCTTTCTTTCTTTCTTTCTTTCTTTCTTTTCTTTCTTTCCAGGCTGTAACTGGCTGTCGGCTGGCACAAATCTTAACCCAATATTGTGTCTGCGCAAACTACTTTTGGCTACTAGTAGAAGGGGTCTACCTCCACAACCTGCTGGGACCTTTGGCCCTCTTGGAAGAAGGTTACTTCCCTGTGTATCTACTCCTTGGATGGGGTGAGTCAGTTGGTTGGTATTACATTTCAGAAAGAGATATTTTTAATTGATATTATTTATTTGGCTTCATACCCTGAGGTTTAATTTGCTGGCCCACCCAGAAACAGCGGACAATTAGCAATTAAAGGACTATGGGTATATGTCATCACGATAAACAATCCTGGCTAATAAGAACCTTCCACAGACACGGTAGTCCTTGACTTATGACCTCAATTGGGCCAAGAATTCTGGGAGTTGAAGTTTACAGGTCTTAAAGTTGCCAAGGTTGGACACACCTGTCTTAGGTATTTCACGGAAGGAGAGTTATAAAAGATTACGCCATCCCAGATAAGATTCAGCCAATAGTTCTACCTGTATTGCAGGCATAAGCTGCAGCTCCCTAGATTTCATTTTAATATAAGGAAGAACTTTCTGATCTGTGAATGTTTGTTTTTTTCCTATAGGGGCACCCATCCTCTTCGTCATCCCTTGGGGGATCATGAGATACCTCTATGAAAACAATGAGTAAGTTTAGTTAAAGTTACTTTCTGCTGCATCTTATAAAAAAATTATACGAGCTACTAATAGATTAATACAAATAAATATCCATAATTAGGCTTACACATCAGCCCAGAATTGATAGGAAAAAAAAATAACCTGGAGCCTGCAGAGTGGTTACAGAGAACTTGCCAGCCATACACCCCAACCATCATATATATGAGACAGTTACCAAGCATTTTAATTTGGATCATGTGACCAGGGGGTTGCTGCAAAGGTCGTAACTGTGAAAAACGGTCCTAAGTCGCTTTTTTCACTGCCCTTGTAGCTTTGAATGGTCACTAAACTAACTGTTGTAAGTAGAGACCACCTATCTATATTATCAGTTTGGGAACCGTTGCCTATTCAACCCAGCACATTTATTACGGTAAAAATTCACAGGTCCACCCAGTGAGTCAGTGACCTGTTACTGCCAGTTAATTAATGACTTTATTTAATCTGCTTAAATGCACATCCCAGAATAACCAATTCTTCTGAAGGAGAGAGGAAGGAGCCGAGTTTTATTTTTAGCTTAGCCGTGTGTGGTTTTCACGGAACAAAGTGCCTCTTTTGAATTGCCAAATGAAAGATTTCTCAGTAGACTTACGGCGGTCTGGAAGTTCCTTCTTTTTGAAGTCCTGCCAGATTTACTAAAATACCCCATTTGGGAAAAGAAGGTTTATTCCAGTAGGATAAATTGTCTTCTTCCTTCTAAATTGTGGGTTTTTATTTTTATTTCCATTTTTAATGGTTAGGTGCTGGGAGAGAAACGACAACCTGGGTTACTGGTGGATTATCCGTTGCCCAATCTTGGTGTCAATTCTGGTAAGTCCCAAAGGAACACAAAGGCTGCTGTGTTCTTGGCAGGATCGCTTCCTGACCTGTAAAAATTTTAATACAGGTAATCCTCAGACTTACAACAGCTCACTTAGTGACTGAAAAAAAGGGAGTCGTGATCGTGTTTCCACACTTATGGCACGCTGCAGCGTCCCCTTGGTTACGTGATCAAAATTCTTGGCAACTGATTCGTATTTATGACGGTCGCAGTGTCTTGGGGTCACGTGATCCCCTTTTATGACCTTTGGAGAAGCAGAATCAATGGGGAAGAAGCCAGATTCACTTCACAACTGTGTTACCAATTTAACCACTGTAGGGACTCCCTTAACAACTGTAGCCAGAAAGGTCGTAAAATGGCGCAAAACTCATTTAACTGTCTCATTTAACAACATAATTTTTTGTCTCCATTTGATCGTCAGTCGAGGGCCACAGTACAACTTGCCAAGAAGACTTAAGCAGGTTTTTTTCTGTGTGCCGCCCGATATGCAGGTGACAGGTGTGGGCAGGAAGGCAAGCCGTAAAAACCAACCCCTGGATTTATTATACCTGTATATTGCTTTGTTTTCTGCGTTCCTGTTTTTTTACTAGGTTTTGAAATGAGCCTTTTAAATTCTGGCTTTTAATGATTCACCACCTGCATGCTTTTTTTCCTTGTGAAAAAAGTGAGATGCGGATCCAAGGCCCCATCCAAGTAAAAAAAAACCAAAAAACTTCAGCTCGCTTTTCCATCCAGATTTCTGGGCCCTGAAATATAAAAGAGGGTGTCGCAATTACTAGTAAATCTCAGGTGTCACCCCTTGGCCTTACCTGGCTAACTCTTTGTCTAAATATTTTGTGCCATCTGTCAGAAACAGCGTAGGACAGTATTTATCAGTCTTAGCAACTTTCAGTTGCTGGCTGGGGGATTCTGGGAATTGAAGTCCACACATCTTAAAGTTGCTGGTTGGGAGACTCTGGGAGTTGAAACGTACACATCTTAAACTTGCTGGCCAGGGGATTCTGGGAGTTGAAGTCCACACATCTTAAAGCTGTATGCTGGCTGGGGAATTCTGGGAGCTGAAGTCCACACATCTCAAAATGGCCAAGTTTAAGATACGCTGGTCAAGAAAAAGCAAAAGTCCAGATGTGATGGGTGTCCATAGAATGCAGCTGCATTTTTGGCCCTTTTTCTTACTATGTCCTGCAACATTTATAGTACTCTCTTTTAACCTGTTGGGATGCCTCTGCCGAAGTGCTCTACTGGATGAATGCAGCAAAACTGCGGAATTTGTGAATATCCACCTCATTTTTTTCCCATCCTGTTTCCCAGGTAAATTTTGTGATTTTCATCCGGGTTCTTCAGATCCTGAACTCCAAACTTCGTGCGCAGCAAATGCATTACACGGATTACAAGTGTAGGTAAGGAAATTAAGTTCCGGATAAGATGGAGCCGTGATAGGGTGGGAATGCCAGAAGAATTTTTATTTATTTATGGATTTATTCCCCATCTTTATTATTTTTAAAAAAACAACTTCAAGTGGCATGCATACACCTATCTCCTCCTATTTTCTCTCCAGCAACTCTGTGAGGTGAGATGGGCTGAGAAAGAAGGACTGGCTCAAAGTCACCCAGGTGACTTTCATGCCTAAGGCAACACTAGAACTCACCATCTCCTGGTGATTGGCCCAAAGTCACCCAGCCAGCTTTTATGCCTAAAGCAGGATTAGAACTCACCGTCTCCTGGTGATTGATCCAAAGTCACCCAGCCAGCTTTTATGCCTAAAGCAGGACTAGAAGTCACCGTCTCCTGGTGATTGATCCAAAGTCACCCAGCCAGCTTTTATGCCTAAAGCAGGACTAGAACTCACCGTCTCCTGGTTAATGGCCCAAAGTTACCCAGCCAGATTTCATGCTTAAGGCAGGACTAGAACTCACCATCTCCTGGTTTTTACCCTTATGCCTTCACCATTAGACCAAACTGGATCCTTGTCCCTGGGTTTGGCTTTGTGTGTGTGAACATCGTCTACACGGTCTCTTTTCCCTGCTCAGGTTGGCCAGGTCGACTTTAACCCTCATCCCTCTGCTGGGCACCCACGAGGTGGCCTTCGCCCTGGTGACGGAGGAGCAGGCTCAGGGCGCCTTGCGCTACGTCAAATTCTTCTTTGAGCTCTTCTTCAACTCCGTCCAGGTGAGGCAGCCTTACCTGTTGTGCATTTGGGAAGCAGACAGATTTGTTCAATTAATGAATGAATGAGATGTATGCAGCTCCCCATTTCCTATAGCAAATTACAACAAGCATAGGAAAACCCTAATGCAGGGGTCTGCAATCTAGACAATTTGAAGACTTGTGGGCTTCAGCTCCCAGAATTCCTCATTCTGGCTGAGGAATTCTGGGAGCTGAAGTCCACAAGTCTTAAAGTTGTCAAGGTTGCAGACCCTTGCCCTAATGTTTTTTTTTTTAAAGGCAAACTCTCCAGCATCAGGCAACCTCTAAATCTAAAAAGAAAAAAGAAAACCCACCCAATTTATTATTTTTAATAAGAACAATATCTCCAGTAGGGCCAAGCTTCATCAAAAACCAAGCTAATCACGAAAATTGCCAGGCTTTTATGCATTTATGGTGGGGGGGTTTCCACCAAAGGGGGCTGTAATTGCTTAAAACCAGCCAAAGCAAGATAATTCCATTTCCCCCCCCCCCTTGTTTGTTCGTTTTCAGGGTTTGTTGGTGAGCACGCTTTACTGCTTTCTCAATAAAGAGGTAAGGTCACTCTCCAGCTGACCCTCTTGGAAATGCAGGCTTGGGGCTGAGCCAGTTCTTTGAAAAAAACGATCATAAGTCACATTTTTCAGGGCCATCATAACTCTGAACGGTCATTAAACAAGTGGTTGTGTAAGTTGAGAACTACCTATAGCGCGAATTCAGCGAAGTAGCAGTGGCAGCTTTCCAGCTCTTCACAGACTCATCAAATCCCAGAATTTGGGGGCGGGGGGTCCCTCAAGGCCATCCAATCCAACCCCACTTCGGTTCAGGAATTTGAATGCAAGCAATTGGCTGTTTACCAAAATGGGGGGGGGATCTGTTGTCCCCGCTGAAGCAACTTACCTACGGCATGTGGTCTCTCTGCTTTCTTCCTCCAGGTCCAGTCCGAGGTCCAGAGAAAGTGGCAGACGTGCTGGTTGGACATCGGCCTGCTTAAGAAACCGGGACGCCACTTCGGCCTCTGGCGTTCCTGGGGCAACCGAAAAAGCCAGAACAGGAAGCCCACCTGCGCTCAGATTTACATCCAAGTAGGACACAAAATTGCCCCGAGTGACTTGGACCATGCAGCAGGGGCTCCGTTCCAGCGTGCGCCCACAAACTATAACTCCCACTGGTACATCCCCATCAGCATGAAAGCGGAGAATTAGCACAGCGACCACATCTTCAGAGACTGTGGCTGACGCCAGCTCCCTTCCAGATGTGGGGAAAACCTGCCAGCCATAGCAAAGATTAAGGGATCTTAAGACAGACAGGAAGCCGATGCAGCTGTGAACATCTGGAGGAAGAATGGAACAAAATTGTACTTGCGAGCACAAAAAAGTCACCACTAGGCGATCACCATGGGAACTTTGGAAACTATAAGTGGGTGGATTTTACTTTGCCTTTTTGGTGGGTTATTAAGGAAGCTGGCAAGACTTACATACAACTGCCGTGACAGACACAATCTGGAACAATTCTCAGGGGTCAGAACTTTTGCGATCTTGCGATCTCACGATGACTTCATGCAGACTCCATGTTTTCTTGGCAACAGCATAGAAATGGTTTTCCGTTGGCCTTTTTTGAGATTGTTTTTGTTAAAAAAATCTCCCACTCTGCCTATTTCCCAGGTTTTATACCTGTTGAGTCCAGTTTTTGTTTTTATTTATTTTATTTTATAAAATAAGATTTAATGCAACTTTCAAATTGCTGTTATCTTTACAGGTATACGTAAGAAACCTCTGATTGACGGAATCCTTGAATTGATCTTAAAAGGACAGATTTTTTTTACTGGGATTTCCAGGCTTTGTGAAGAGATAATAAGCTTGGGACGTCTAATTGCTGTGGTTTTCTTGCAAGCTCATCGCTTATTGGTGCAATATTTTATTTATTGTTGTGAATTAAAAATGGTCGTCTCTGCAGCTCTTGTGGGCACAATGGAATTATTGCCTGGAAGATAACTCAAATGGAGATCCTGTGTTTTCCTGGATTGGGGCAGATTTGGGGTGGATGCTGGTTGGGGAATTCTGGGAGTTGAAGTCCCACACATCCAGTGATGGAGCACCCACAATTTCGGGAGGCCAGAAGTTCTACTGGTTAATTGTATTCACTGTCAGGAAATTTCTCATTTCTAGATTGCTTCTCTCCTTGATCAGTTTCCACCCATTGCTTCTTGTCCTGCCCTCAGATGCTTTGGAGAATAGCTTGATTTTAGATAGATGGATGGATAGATAGATAGATAGATAGATAGATAGATAGATAGATAGATAGATAGATAGATAGACAGACAGACAGACAGACAGACAGATAGGCAGATAGGCAGGCAGGCAGGCTGGTAGACAGACAGACAGATAGATAGGTAGGTAGGTAGGTAGACAGACAGACAGACAGACGGGCTGGTAGACAGACAGACAGACAGACAGATAGATAACCTTTATTGTCATTTTTTACTATGGGCACAATGGCACACATTAAAAATGAAATTTAGTTGCTTCCTCTCAAAGTGTACACATACGTAACTAAACATACTATATACAACACATGTATAGACCTACTGCACCCTTACATTTAAGTACCATATAAACATTATCCACTGTCCATCTTGAATACATAATGGAAGGAGGAAGCTTGAGAGTTCACATGGTTAACACTGTATGGAACAAAACTGTGACTGAATCTGGATGTTCTGCTTTGGATACCACGGAGCCCCCTCCTCCACAGAAGGTAACAAGGTAAGGTAACTTTTCTTTTTTTTAAATCATGGTAGACTTAAATGGATCTTCTCTGACAATGACTAGGTACCAAAGTAATCCAAGGTTTCAGAAGCAAGAGAAGGTTAAGTTAAGATAAGCTCATGACTAACTCAAAAGACAATGCTAGATAAGAACAAAAGAGGTCAAAATGAAATCGTCCCCCATTATTTGGCAAGATCTGGAGGCTGCAACCAGCAGCACCCTCCAGTCTGGCTGTGGACCATGGATGCCATCATTCAAAGCGGTTCCAAGCTGATATTTCAGCCAGATTAATGACTCAGAGGGTCATAAAGAGGCAACCTGGGTGTGTCTGAATTCCTGAGGAAGGACTTTGGAAGAGGAACAAGAAAGACACACTTAGGAAATAAAGTCCATTTTCAAAGTACAGGCGGAATGGCTGGGGCAGGGGTGTCCCGCTCCCCGTTTTTCTGCCTTACTTTTGTGAAACAGCAGAGCGCCGCACAACATTCCCAGAAATAAGAAGGGAGAATATTACACAAAAGGGATGCTTGACAACCGACTCACATTTATGACGGTCGCAGCGTCCCGGGTTCATGCGATCCCTTTTTGCGACCAGATTCACTTAACATCCGTGCTCTTAATTGAACAACTGCTGGGATTCCCTTGGCAAATGGGGCGAGAAAAATTGTAACATGGAACAAAGCTCACTTAACAACATACTTTTTGGCCTCCATCGCGGTCGTAACTTGAGGACTACCTGCCTATGCTCAGAGGCACAGCATGTTTAAGCCAAGCGATGCAACTTCCAGAAAAGAATCCTGCATTATTGAGAAACTCCAGGGGAAAAGAAAGGAAGGATGGTCTCTATTCTTCTATTAGGATGGGGGGGGAACCCTTCCCCCCCCCCAAAGCCTTCCTGCCCTTCTCATCCGCAGAGCTGCGCCAAATATAGCCCTAGAACTCTAACTCCCAGAGCCCTTTGCGACTCGGAGTCCCGAGCGGAGGAGAGGACGCGAGCCCATTGGGCGTCTAAGTACGGAAATGGGCGGTTCGAGGAGGGGCGCCTGCGCAGAGGGGAAACCCGGAAGTTCCGAGCAGTCACTTGCTGCTACTGCTGCTGCAAAGCGAGAGAGTGGAGCTGGCGGACGATCGCGCTGCGTGGAAGGTAAGGGGCGGGGAGGGTCGCCTGTTGCGGGGGTCGGGGGTGCACATGCATGGGAGGCTGAGGAGGATCAACGTAGGAGAAGAGGGAGGGGCTGCAGCGATAGGGGGACTATTGATCGGGGAGGGGTCGGGGTTAGGGTTGCCAACTTACCTGCCGCAGCCCTGCTCCTCTGCTCTTGAGCAGCAGCCCCAGGACGATGCGCCGACAGCCGCCGAGGCTCCTGTGGGCAGAAAAGCGGATTAAAACCAAAGGGCAAAGGCTTCCTTTCCCCATGGCCAGATGGTTGCTGTTGGGAAAGGCACAGGAGCGGGGCCAGCTGGAGAGAGAAGCAGGTGGCAACTTTCCTTGTGACAGGGATCCACCCTCCTCCTGCCTCCCCGGGTCCAGATCCCCTCGGGGCGGTGGAAAAGGTCTTCAGAAAGTCTCTCCCTGGGCCTGGATGGACTGAGTTTGGCAGAGCAGTTGGCAATTCCAAGGGGGATGGGAGGAGGGAGGAGGGTAAAAAAGTTCTGGAGAGGGGCTGCTGATTTTGCACAGACCTCCCCCCCCCGCCAGGGCATCGCAGCTTTCTGGCTGGGGCTTGCCGTAACTCAAGGACCATAAGGCACCGCCTTTAAGAGCGGCATCGTGGTTTATGATCCGGCTTGCCATCTTGACCTGGGCATCACTGCCGTATCTGGGGAGAAAGGAATGCAACTGAGCCTTGAAACTCAAAGTTTAGGAGCTCTGCTTTTGGGGTTGAGACCAGCTCTGTAGTGGGAGCCCCACTAACAGCTGTGGCCCGCAGCTTTGGGTCCCCCCTGTTAAGTGGAGGTGTAATCCCAGGGGCTGATTTTCAAGATCTTGAAGTAGATTGTCTGCCCCGTATGCTTGTTCCTGACCCAGACCTGGCAGAGGATGAATAGAAGGACTCTTCCAGTTTGGGGGCGGGGGTGCTCTGGATTGTGCCCCTTCCTTCTTCCGAGGGAGGAAAATTATTTGTCTATCTATCTCATCTATTCCCTCGTCTAACAATCTCTATCATCTATTATCTGTATTGTCTATCATCTCTCTCCATCCATCCATCCATTTCTATCTGTCTATTACTCTATCTATCCATCTAGCTACATTCATCCATTTCTAGCTCTCTCATCTATCCATCCATCCATCACTCTTATCTGTCTGTGTCTTCCTTCCTTCCTTCCTTCCTTCCTTCCTTCCTTCCTTCCTTCCTTCCTTCCTTCCTTCCTTCCTTCCTTCCTTCCTTCCTTCTTCCCTTGATTAAGGACCTCTATTCCTGCCACTAACATTATCCAGAGCGCCCTGATGGCTGAGGAGATGCCTGTTCTCCCCCCTGCCTTAAGGAGAACCGTCTCCCAGGCTCCTACGAAAGACAAAGAGTGGTATCTCAAAAAAAAACAAACACAAAAAACAATTTAGGTGCTGCTTGTGAATGCTGTGCCTGGGAGCGCTGAGTTGCCGCCTGTGTCACTTTCACCTGGCTTGTGCAATCCACCCTGATTTTACAGCCTTTCCGTACGCTCTTATCTCTCACGCATGTTCTGCGTTGGAGCGCTATCCCGGCTAATTATACGGTTGTGGATGTTAAGTTAATCATAAACATTGCGCTTGGCCAGAGGCCAGCCGCCACTGCGAAGAAAGGCCTGCCTTTTTAAGGAGCAGCAGCGCAGTGTTGCGTTGTTACACGGGAGGTTGTTTGCAAAGAGACTGGACAACCATTTGCCTGAAACGGTATAGGGTCTCCTGTCTGAGCAGGGGGTTGGACTAGATGTCCTCCGAAGTCCCTTCCGACTCTGGTTATTCTGTTTTGAATACAGGCAGTCCTTGACTTACAACAGTTCGTTTAGTGACCGTTCAAAGTTACCAAAGTTAGCACTGAAAAAAAGTGAATTGTGACCATGTTTCATACTTGTGACCGTTGATCAGGTGATCAAAATTCAGACGCTTGGCAGCTGGTTCACACTTACGACCGTTGCCGCGACCTTCTGACAAGTAAAATCAACGGGGAAGCCAGATTCACTTAACAACCAGGTTGCTAATTTAACAACCGCGGCGATTTGCTCAGCAAATGTGGCAAGAAAAGTCGTAACAATGGGACAACGTTCAGTTAACAAATGTCCCGCTTGGCGACAGAAATGTTGGGCGCGGTTGTCGTAAGTCAAGGGATTACCTGGAGTTGTGGGTCTGCTGGTCCCTTCTCAATCTTGAAGCCCCGAGGGCAGTGGGTGGGGGTTTTGTCCTCAATTGTCTATGATTTGTGAGAGTGGGCACTGACGCACCTAGATGGATTTTCTTGTGGGTCAAAAGTTGTGCAGAATCCGGACTGAATATATATTTTCTGGCGAAAACCTCAGTGGAATTACTCAGCATCTTTCCCCTCCTTCGCAATACGGCTGTTGCATTTCCCTGTCTAGATCGATCCAGCACGGATGTTTAAGGGGATATACAGGCCGTCCTCGACTTAACGGCCACAATTGAGCCCAAAGTTTCCATCACTAAGCAAAGCGAGAGAGTCCCGCTCAATTTTTACAACATGGTCTTCATTCCGTGTCTCTGGCCGCCCAAATTCAACCCAGAGACTTTTTACCAGGATTGTTCAGCGAATCACTGCAGTTGTTAAATGAGATGCACAAACTTGGACCTCGAACCCATCACACACTCACACACACATACACAGAATTCCCAGCCAGAATAAGGCCAGGCTAAATGATCTTGAAGGATCCTTGCGGCTAGAACTAACCTAGAACGAAGGAGAAACTTCCTAACAGGGAGGACAATTAACCAGGGGAACGACTTGCCACCAGATGTTGAGGGTGCTCCATCGCTGGGTGCTCTTTTAAGATGAGACTGGACAGCTGTCTGTCTGAAATTGTATAGGGTTTCCTTCGTGGGCAGGGGGAGTGGACTAGAAGACCTCTAAGGTCCCTTCCAGCTTTGTTATTCTGTACAGGTAGTCCTCGGCTTACGAACCACAATTGATGTCGCTAAGTGAGACCTTTGTTAAGTGAGTTTTGCCCCTATTTTTACGATTTCTTCTCTCTAC